CGGCAACGAGACGATACGCTGTCTACCAAACTCGCTGGATCAGACTGAAGCAGATTCCACGGATACGAGAGATTGGCCCAGAAGCTATGAACAACATGTATCTTCTGGACAGTACAGATGTTTCCGCGTATGGACAGAACGTTGTTGAGCCGGCGATCAAGTTGACGGAGCAGTTCCTCAAAGGCGAAGAGCGTCCATTGCCGACTGAGATATCTTCACTTGCTAATGAGGTTCTCACGCAAGTTGGCAACCCACCACCAAAAGCAACACCATGCAAACGTACATGCGAAGTCTGCCATACAGTGTTAATGACAGAAGAAGCATGGAAGCAGCATTTGAAGAGTTCAACTCATCGACGAGTTGTTCGCAAGAAAGCTAGAACGTCTTTGGTACCAGTGGAAAAAGTGCCCGAAGACAGCAAAGATGAGGGAGACTCTGGGCCAGAGTTAGCGTCCATGTTTTCAGAGTGATCAATACAAGCAGTCAAACCTACCATCCCCGTGATCCGAGGACTATCCGTACAACCGGTATTTAACAATCACGTCACTTACAACCATGATATGAGAATTCTGGTTACGCGTAAAGCTGGCTGCATTGAAGGTCATCGCTCTTGAAACAATATACCGACACTATATGCCGTCATCGGATCGACTCGGATGTTAGCCTTTCACCCGTGTAAACGAATAATAGAGGTATCATTCAATGGTTCAATCAGGTCTGTTTGACCTGCCTACTGTGAGTCACAAGTCTGCTTTACAGATCCAAGTGCTGAAGCCCTAACCGGGCTCCGAAGACGTTGAGAGTGGACAACTACTGTTGAACCTTTTCATAGGGCTTACCGGAATTACGATGAGTTGCACCGAGTTGAGCATACATCGAGGCCATCTATGCGACGTCCTTTTGCTTAGATCAAAGATCATGCCAGTTTGCATAATGGTCTGGTCAGCTGGCGTAGGATAGAAGTGACGACAATAACCCGCTCACCCGAATCGAGCACAAGACCTTCAATGCGGCAGATCATGATAGAAGTTAATTATGATGAATTGCTGCTCTTCAGAGTCTGATAGGCTCACCGGACACTCGGTGATATCACGTCCGTGGGGGCGTATCATCAGAACGCGAAACATAGACAAGGATACGAAAACCATATGGGGCCGGGCTGTTGCCATAACCCGACGAGTGAGAGTAGCACAGAGAGTCATGAAAAAGACTGCGGAGAAGAGCTTATAGCCTTGGACCTGAACTGAGCGTTTGGGTTTGAGAACGGCTAGTTTAAGTGGCTTAACCTTCCGGAGCTTCCGAAGTTTACGAAAATATCGATGAAGAGTTTTAGATCGTTGTATATAAAGGTCTGACGTAGGATGCTAAACTACAGACACTTTGGGATAGTATCGGATCAAGGTTTTAAGTATTTAATGTCCGTCAGTCTGCATACGGTAACCATTCTGATACAAACTGAGTCATCGGGCAGGGCTGGCGCTTTGGTCCGTTGCGGCGGACTTGGATGACAAAAGTCCGCCGCTATCCAGCTAGACGGGCTCGAGTTCGGGTCCAGGGGGTTATCATTGGTCAGTTTCAGCTAGAAGATTCGATTTTAGCATATCGACCATGTGAAACTCTGAAGGAATGCATCAGCGATTTTCCTGTCAGGCAGCTTTATATCAACCTTGCCCTTTGGGTCTTTGAGGCCAGGGTTACCGTCTATTTACAGTATGGAGAATAAGGCAACAAGATATCTGCCTGAATCAATACAGCCCTAAGAACAAAGGGGTATTTCTTTTATATTTATATCCTTGAACCCTTACGTCAACTGATGTGATTGTTGAATAAACGGAATACGCGGATTCCGGTATGCGCGTTTAATTATTCAATCCTTTCATACCACCTTTTGTGTAAAGGCATTGGACAACTAGCACAATCTTCGACAACCACTGAACAATCCGACAAGACCTGAAAAAAACCATAAGCCCCTGGGCTACCTCCCAGAAGAGACAAGACAAGCAAAGCAGCCAGCCATAACCGGCTCTACATTATACCGGTAGACTCGGCATCTTACGGTATCGTCAGCTGCCCTGCTTATCGTTTTTCGCACCAGGGAGTTTTAGAGTGTCTGATCGATCAGATCCATTTCACATCATCATTTTTGTTTCTTCTCTTCCTCTTTCAGCCATAACAAATCCTTTGTTCCATTTCCGCTCCTGTTCTGCTGCCCCTCCCCCTCACTCACCTGACCCCAGTGAAACCGACGGAAGCGGGCTTCTGAAGAACCCCAGCTACCCGCCCGCTGTACGTACTGTACTTTACGGTCTTAAGGTGGAGCTCACGCTGGCGTCATAGGATATTTTACTCAACCTTCAACTCTCAACGACGAGACTCTATGACTGTTATGTGAGGATTTGCTCAATTCTGCGGTCATGTCAAACAACATCACTCACGGGCCGGGTTCTGTATCGCACAAGAACCCTCGTGTCTTGGCCTGCGTCTTGTGCCAGCATCGCAAGATCAAATGCGATCGTAATACGCCCTGTTCAAACTGTATCAAGGTGAGCATCTACTCTGCAGCCGCCAATCTCTTATCAGCTTGATTTATTAATGCGACATCATAGGCAAATGTCACATGCACTCCAAGCACTCCCGCTCCTGCAAGGAAGCGCCGGAGACCCAATCAGGACCTTCAGGAAAGACTTGCACGATGTGAGCAGTTACTAAAACAATATGCCGATGGTTCTGTACCATCTCCTTCTGCTGTTGGTCATTCACCTGCTACAAATGGAACCGCAGCAGATACTTATCCTGCTACACCGACCAACATTGATGGCCAGTCCAAGTGGAAACCAACCGGAAAGATGGTCAAGGAAGAAGGTGGAGTGCGATTCATGGACAGTTATCTCTGGGCTAATATTCACGATGAGGTGAGTCCACTGACTTGATCTGCCAACATGCACTAATACCATTCAAGCTCCAAGCCATGAGAGAAATTGTCGATACCGATGATCCAGAAGAAGCCAGTGTTATGGGCTCTGAAGATTTGAGTCCAGATTACAATATCGATCTTCTGATACCAGCCGATACATCTACCAGGTCCTGCGAGGAACTCCAGCCTGAGCCTGTTCATATCTTTAGACTCTGGCAGTTATTTGTCGATCGCGTCAATCCTCTGACCAAGATCATCCATGTTCCATCCGTTCAACCATTTGCCTTGGAGATGGCTACCGATATCAACAAAATCCCACTCAACTACCAGGCTCTCCTATTCGCCATCTTTACCATGGCGACAGTATCCCTTACCGAGGCTGAAAGCCTTCAGATGCTAGGAATTTCTCGGGATGAAGCTCTTCGACGGTATACCATTGGAACCAAAGTGGCACTTACAAAGTTTAACTTTCTTAAAAATTATGACATGGTGGCTCTGCAGGCATTGCTACTATACTTGGTAAGACAACGAGTACCCCCATGTAACTATTGCTGACGATTCCAGTTATCCCTTCAGAACCGATATGATCGACATGCGGCATGGATTCTCAGTGGAATGGTCGTGCGAATCGCGCAAAAGATGGGCTACCACCGTGACGGCGACTACCTGGGACTGAACGCCTTTGAGACCGAGATGCGACGACGTATGTGGTGGCAGATCATCCTCCAAGACGCCAAGAACGCTCTCGTTTCTGGCTTGAGCCACTCGCTCCTCCCAAGCAGCTGGGATACCAAGATGCCACAAAACGTAAACGATGCCGACCTCTTCCCAGGATCAATCGAACCCATTCAACCCCGCGAGGGTCCAACAGAAATGGCCTTTTGTCTCATCGGCTACCAAATCGCCAAATTCCTTGTCAACGCCGAATCACTCCACGGAACCCCCGGATTAGAAGCTGCCGTCATGGGACACGACTTTGAAGGCCAAGACCCTGCAATTCTACCGAGCATCCAACAGTACCGAGATTTGGTGGACAATTTGGAGCAGAATTTGCTGGAGGTTGAGGCTCGCTACATCGACCCAACGGCAGGAAACGTACACATCGCCGCACTCAGCATTCGTCCGATGATCTGCAGCAAGATGAGAGAGATACTGGTACCCATGAAGGAGCAGCCTGAATGGGGAACAGAAATTCTCGACAAGAAAGATAACCTCTTCAAGATTGTGTTGATGAATAATGAGCACAGCACCGATGCTTATGGCGTGATGGACCAAACTGGTTTCCTCTGGTTCCTCAAATTTCATTTCCAGATTGATATCTTTACAGTCATGACGAAGCAGCTCTGCCAACGACCGACTGGTTCCCTTGCCGACCGCGCATGGAATATGGTTCAAAAGATTTACCACTATCATACCGAACTCCTCGACATTTCCCAAAAGACATACTACATCCAAGCCCAAACAGTACTGAAAGCTTGGAAGAATCGAGAACAAGCCTTCAGAGCAGCTGGTCAGCCCCTCGAAACACCGAACTTTATCTATCGCCTACGAGACGTCGTCAAGAGCGAGAACCGAACTTCAGAACCTTCGCCACAACAACCTGTCGCCCATCCTCCTCAAAATTCACATCAAATGACTGATCTTGATCCATTTTTGGGTAATTATCTGGATGTATCAACGCTGAATTGGGATTTATGGGGGAATATGAATCAACCGCCACAGCAGCAACAGAGTCAAATGCCGGTTTCGTTATTTGGTAATTTCCCAATGGGCAATATGGGCTAGGGTTATGAGATTGTTATGAAAAGTTGGGAGCTGGTATGATAATGATCTGGGAATCTCCATGGAGTAGGGTGCATATTGGATTTATAGAGCGGCGTTGGTAGGGATGGATATTACCAGGAGCACATTGTATCAATATATTTTGTTTGAACAGTCACAAATTATGATCCACAGCGTTTTGGGGTCTTTGTTTATTGTTATGACATGTCTGGCTATCCATTGTCCTTGATCACTCGCCACAGCCAGTCCTTGATCTTCCGCCCTTGCCCATCATTGCAGCCCCATGCCTCTCATCAGACACCCATCAGTTCTGAGCATGAGCATGACGCTCACGAGTCGATTCAAAAACCGGATAAACATGTCCTGCACCATTGCTCCCACGCACAAGAGGATGGTTCAAAGCACCATCAGGCATGGCATCAAGTTCAATTTCAGAGTTCACATCAGAATCGTCATGCTCACGGCCATGAGTTCCAGAAGGAGATTTGGGGCGAGAGCGCCAGTTGCAGAAAAGAGCTGCTGCGAGGAAGATGACGGCGATGGCGGTGCAGCTGACGGCGATGGCGATGACGACGCTGCTGTCGCTCATGCGGCGGTGGATGGTGTTTGTCATTGCTGCGGTTGGCTGTGAGGTGTTAGTTGGTGATGCGAGATAGGGGATGACTTACCAAGATGAGGACTTGACGTTGTTAGCAAGCGTCTACAGAGGATTCTTGACTGCCACTGGAGATGACTTGGAGATGTTCAGCAAGGAATAGATGCGAGTTGGAAGTATCGGAGAAGATGAGATATTGATATATACTATTATTGAGCAAACACTGTAACGGATCGATGTATTAGGGGAACACTGTTATTGTATATTTCTGTGTACAAACGACAAGTGAAGAAGATAATAGACTTGCGTGTAAAAACAAGATCATGTAACCGTTTGAACTTGGTCAATGAATGCCCAAGTCTGCAAACATGTCATGCCGTTCCTAGATGACTGGCACTGATAGCCACATATACCTACAACCATTCCCAAACAACAAACTAAGAACCAAAATCTCTCTCTTATTTGACCTACCTGAATATGAACCAGCACACTCTTCATAACTTACCTAAACCTGTTCCGCAGCTGACCCATTACCACCCACCACATTGAGTCTCGCCGCTCTTCTAGCACGCTCCTGAACCTCTCTTCTCTGCTCTTTCTTCTGCTGCCGATGAGCCAGCCACTGCAAACAACAGCACGGACCAATGAAGAGGAGAAACAGAACTGCCATACCGATGGTCAAACCAATGATGGCCATTTTGTCGGAGTGGCTGGGATTGCTGTGATAGTGTTGCGTTGAGGCATCAAATGTCGGTGCAGCAGGGGAGGTGATGGTGGTGAAAGTACTGGGGGAAGACATTTTGACTGTGATGGATAGAAACATACCTGTTGGTGAGTGCTTTTTGATGTTGTGGGCTCGGCAGATGGTTTGGGGGTTGGCGAGAAGAGGATGGAGTTAAATAGGTGGTGTATGAGCATGTGTGAGTCGGCAGCAGTGAACATGGTGATGTTTCAAGCCTCAGTTCTAAGAACAAGACATTGCCACGGCATTGATCATGAAAACACCCAGCCTCATAGTTTGACATCAGTTTAGTTTTCTTTGTTCTGGTGCCGGTTGAACATCTCTCAATGGGTGAACTGGACCAGCTTTAAGGTGAATAAGAAGCATGGTTCTTGAAGAAAATGACTCTGACCTAGTATTGAATGATGTCTTTGCGTAGCTCAATTACACATACACTTAAGCTCCTATGCCATGGCCAAGACTGTGCTGTGTATGTCTTCGTGTCTACAGGCATGGCATTAACAGCAGGCCTTTCGCGTACAGACGTGTTACCATCTATTGTTGCTCAGACTGTTCAGAAGTATGACATGCTCTTACGCAACAATGGAGACCTGACGCGTTGAGTACCTCCAGTCATCAACTGCACTATAGGCACGAGGAGTCATAATCACCGGTACTGCCTGTATAACAACAGTAGTTGACCTTGCCTTCAAGCATCCATAAGTAATCACATGCATACATATACATCAGAATGTAGATCTCAAAAATGAAACGACACCTAGACGGAAAAAACTAGGTGTCGAGATTAACGACGGATCCAATTTCCCAATATTCTTCTAAGAACTGTTCTCGAGTCCAAAGACCCTGCCTACAATGCTGTCCACTCTCTACACTAGACAGCGTGCGGCGAACGTTCTTGTCTATCTGAAGAAGAAAGGAAAAGCGAACGGAGGCAAAAAATTTCGCGATAACAAAACTCAAGACTCTGCTTAGTCATCCGAGCGACGCACGTGATGATGGAAGAGAGTGGGTCACGTGCGTCCCGAGATGAGGAATTGACATCATCCTATTGGCTGATTGGACCGAGAAGCCGAGGAGGCCCGTTCCGATGCTCGAGAATAGGAAGCCATCATCATTGATACCCAGATACGAATCTCGCCCTTGAAGCATCGACGCTGACGATATCGTTGACCGAACCTTGGCTGAACCCTTTCTCTTCGAAACCGATAGAAGTACTCAACATCCGCCACGATGCTCGCTCAACGTGTTGGCGTCGCCGCTCTTCGTCAAGGTACTTTCGCAAACCGAGCCTCGACATTCCGATATCTAATAGCTTCAATAGGCGCGACTAAGCCCTTCTTCGCTCAGAACATTCCCAAGGTTGCTCTCGCTGCTGGAATCTCTACCTCTTCTCCCCTACGGTATGTTGTCATCATCAATTGAGCTTCACGCATCTAACATGTGCAGCGCTGTTGGTTCTACCAAGGTCTCTCAACAAGAAGGCCACCAGATCCTCGTCAACCAGCGCCTCAACCGCCCGGTTTCTCCCCATCTGGCCATCTACAAGATCGAGCAGACATGGTTCGGTAGCTCCGCCTGGAACCGAATCACCGGCTGCACCCTCTCCGCGACTCTGTACGGTTTCTCCCTCGCCTACCTCGCCGCTCCTCTTGTTGGACTTCACCTCGAGAGCGCAAGCATCGCCAGCTTCGCCGCTGGTCTCCCCCTCGCCATCAAGGGCGGTATCAAGTTCACACTAGGCTTCCCCTTCGTCTACCACGCCATCAGCGGCTTCAAGCACCTCCTGTACGACGCTGGAAAGGGTTTCGCCAAGACGACTATTGTTCAGGCCGACAAGTACATCTGGGCTGCCAGTTTCCTCGGCGCCATTGGCCTGGTTGCTTTCCTGTAAAATACCAAAATTGAACAGAGATGGAAGGATAGAGATGGGCAAGCATATTCGCAGTGGATGATACAATGGATATAGGGAAGGAGTACGGCAAGGATGAGAAACTCGTGTACGAGTATTAGCCTGAGGGCATTCCTGACTTTGAGCAAAGAATTTTATTATCTGTACACAAGCGCCTTAAATGCTTGAGCCTGTTCTAACCAATACCTCGTGAGGTATTCGCAACCAAACGCCATTCGCCTGTCGTGAATATTACATGCCAAGTTTCTAATCCAAGAATCGAGCATCCAGGATTGTCCTGATCAGTCTCCGATTACCGGAAGAGGCAATCTTTTCCCCAATGATAGGTCCGATAAAGTCCTTCAGTTCGGATATCTCTGTCTCAGCGTTTGCTGTACCATTGACTCCATTGGCGTCTGATTCGACATGATCTGCCAGAGAAGCCACAGCTTGTACTATGCCTTGAACCAGCATCTCGTAGTCCATTGTACCCTCTGCCTTTTCCTTCAGAGGTTGTAGGATCCCAGAATCAAAAGTCTTTAGGTTACGTAGAACCAGCACGCGGATTGCCTCTGGACCTCCTGCTTCCAACAGACCGTGGATGGCACCGTAGAGAACCGCAGGGGGTTTGGTAGGGTCGAGAAAGTATTTGAGGCATGTCCTCGTCAACTTGGGTCGTAGGAGTGTATTGGAAGCCGAGTATTTGCGCGCAATTCGTCCAACCAGAGATGCAGCCAGCTGTCGAAGATCATACTGCTCCTTGAGAGCATCTGTCCCCTCATCAGTGCCCAATTTTCTGGCCATTAGACATGTAAGAGCGGGCGCTGAGAGGGGGCTGGCGTAGGGATCCAAGAAAAGGCTCTTGTTCTCGATGAGGGCATTCGTCAACTCCATCATCTGCCTAAGAGTGAAGGTGTCATCGAGATGGTGTGTTACTCGGTCCATGATGAAGGTGATGAAGTATGGGATGAGCTGGTGAAGACCAGGGTCGTCTCTCACGGAACCAAGAGCGGCTTGCCGTAGGCGCACCACTTCTTCGTCAGGATTGTCGTCGAGAACAGCAGCCTGGATTTTATCAAAGTAGAGTATGAGCTCCTTGCTCACAATGTGCTTAACAGATGGTTTCATGGAGACATTGTCATTGCCTGCCAAGGCGGACAAGGCAGGATTCGCACCAGGTCCCTTGGGGAGAAGTTCCTGCGATCGAGATTCGGAAGTCGTGGGGTTCTGAGGGATGGAAGGCTGGACACCTTCGATGGCGAGCCAGTGCGCTGAAGAAGTTAGCATGGAATCATGCGCTGAACGGAAAACGTACCTGTAAAACCCATGTCGCGCGGCACCTTAGGCAGAGGCGCATTGATGAGCTTTTCAAAATCGACCTCCTCATCCTCAATGTAGAACAGTGGCTGGCCAGGTCCGAGACTGGCCTCGCCGTATCGTAGCGGACGCGTAGAATCGTAGCCGTAGAGGGGCTCAACGTCGAGCGCCTTGAGGGCGAGGGAGATATCGTTGACGGTAAGGGTTGTTCTGCGGGCGGCGCGCATGAAGCGCAGAGACTCCACGATGACCTGGCCGATCCGGTATTCGACGTCCTGTGCCAAGCACTTGAGCGCTTCTTCGTTGAGAGAGCTGATGCCAACCGACTCTGCGACATCCTTGACGTTATCAGGATTCCAGAGCAGTTTGGGGGTATCGGTAGCCATGGCGCTGATAGATGCGCAAGAGGGCGCTACTCTCGGTGATGCGATTCAAAGGACAGTGCAGGTGGGTTGAGATGGTGTCGAAGAAAGTGTAAGGTATATTTATTGAGTTGCGTGAATGTGAAGCTTGACGAGGCTGAGATGGAGGTGCGCATTGGGATAATAGTGTGGCTTGATAGCGTTAGCGCCACACTGGAGAGGCTGATTGATAACAAGATTGTACAGAGTCTGATTATCCTTGGATAAGTTTGGGATGGCATACTTTGTCACGACAACTCTTCAATCCGTTATATAAGTTTCAACCATTCATTAACTGCCAGCTGATTATAATTCGGTGTTGATGGCGCAATCGAGGCGCATTAATCCCCAGCAGATGGAATAACTAAATGGAACCTCATGGTGAGGTGAAGTAATTGCAATATCGAGCGAAGATACCATGCCAGTCATTTGTATATCAGTCTGGAGAGTTTCTTCATCATGGCAGCTGCAATTCAGCTTCGTATCACTGCTGGGCATGTTGGCCAACCTGATATTGCATACGGGCCGGACCTTGATAAGTATCTCGCTTGTGTCAAGCGGCGTCAAGAGACTAAAGCACTGGCAAAGACGAGACCTGATCTTATTCGAACGTTGGCTGAGCCATGGGCTTCTGAAGAGTGACTTGCCTCGACCGTGTAACTGCCACGGACGAGGACCCCGAGCGTCTAATCACTCCGTACGCATGCCGTCGATGCACGGGCTACTGCGGTCTCCCTCGATCAGCAGCCATCCCTCCAATTACAGAGTTCCAAGTTGAAGCCCTTGACACACTGCTATTTCTTGCCGAGATGCTCGCCGTATCGTTGGACTTTGACAAGGGTGACATGCGGTATGTGAACAACTTGAGCATTTTCCACGCTAGAGGCGGCTTCAAGGATCCCACAGAGAAGAAGACAGCAACTCAGCTGAGCGAATAGCACTGGCATTAATTTAGACGACACTTTGTAAGGCTTTGCTCGAGAGATCTTGAGTTCGCCTGCAAGACGTCCGATGCTCTTCAGCCAAGGTGGGATAACGTGTACCAAGGCATCAAAGAGGGGAATCAAGTGTTGAGCCGTTAGTAACGAACAGCGGTGACGCTGACAGGTTCCAGGCTAAGAAGAGGGTTGAAGGGACTGCTTGAGCATGGGGAGGTAAGAAAAATGGCGGCTGACTTCACAAGGTCAGTGGATCTCCCGCCTACTTCCGTCGAAGTCAATTCGCTGCTCTTCTCACCCAAGAATATACATACACACTAACTTAGCAAGGGGTCATGTATCCCTATAAGTGCTGAAGCAAGTCTACCAGCTGGCAAAATTATGTGCGTATTCTCGATGCCTCAAATTGTGAAACAACACGATATTCGTAGACGACGAAGACAATGATGTGATAAAACTAACTCGTTCGTACAGAAACTAAATCTTCAAAAGTCCCAGGGGTTCAGAGTACGTTTGCCCAGTGACTAGGGAAACCCAGAAGCTGGGCATCGCTCACTGATGTCTAATAACAAGATCAATGACAGCAGTAGCCCCTATGTGCTCATTGTTAACGCCTCCCTTTGTTCTTGCTCTTGCTCTTATCCTTCTTGTTCTTCTCCTTCTCCTTCTGCTTTGTTAGCTCCTCTTCTTCCTCGTCCATCTCCTTGTTCTTCTTATTCTTTTTCCCCTCCTTTATTATCCCTTCTTCTTCGTCCTTATCACCCTCCTCCTTGTCTGCCTTCTCTTTGTTCTTCTTCCCCTCCTTTGTTACCCCCTCTACTTCTTTGTCTTCCTCCTCGTCATCTTCCTCATTCTTCTTTACGCTCGCCTCGTCTGTCTCCTCCCAATTTTCTTCCTCTCCCTCCTTTTCTGGCGAATCTGGCGGGTTGAGGCTATCCTCAAGCCAAGCAACGCAAACTGTCATGGGATACACAGCTGTCTTGACATGGTAATCATATCCATAGTCATGCCCGCGCTTCTGCAGCATAGGCTCAGATACAAAATCGACAAGTCGTCCTTTGTCACTGTCATCGCCATATTCGGCCTTCATAGCCTGACCCTGTATTCCTTCAAGTTCAGGCGAGTAAGGAAAACCGCAGGTTTGTTGAGTTATGGGGTGGTGAAAGACATGGGAGAAGACAGCCAGATTGGCGTCAAAGTAAAACTCCATAGTGACCACGTCATTAGCAAGATGCTGGAGGGTTGGTGAGTAGGCTCTGTTCGCGGGATCTCTTTCATGCTCCTCCGGGAAGTATCGACCGAGCGCTTTGGCAATGATCGGGACAACACAGGTTGGATCAATCCTTTGACACTTCCGTGGTGAGTCTTTAAGTGACATATAGAACTGCATCGTGGTGTATCTCCAGTGTGGAAACATGTGAGACGCAATTTCATCATCGTAAGAGAAGTTGTGTTCTGTTACTCTGGTTAGTGCTGTGTCGCTCCAGGAGCTTGGGAATCTCAGTCATCCCGCGCTTGGTACCTTGCAAGTAGCGCTCTATGGCCGCCTGGGCTTCCCAGTAGGGTGAGGCCCAAATAATATCCTTGCTTTTCTTGGAAAAGAAATTCTCATCTATAACCTCCCAAACCCATCGTTGAAATATACGCCAGGTCATATTCATATTAGGTACTCCGAAAAGGTCTTCTGCACTAGGGGCATAGCTCATGAACTTCTGCTGGAGGGCCTCGTCGAGACTGTCCCAGGGCACATCCCAAAGGCTGGGGACATTTACAAGAGACTCAATGCTGCCGCGAAGTTCCTTCCAGAATTCTTCGATATAGCCGTTTTTGCGTTCAAGAGCCAACACCGAATGAAGATACTCTTTACTCCGGTCTATTTTTCTTCTCTCTTCGTCAGCTTGCTGTTTTTGCTGCTCTGCCTTGATATATGTTAGTCTTGAGACTGATTGCTGATACCAGTGTAGGTGGTTACATACCCAACGAACGGCTGGATCGATCACTGGATCGATCACTGGAGCCTGTTCTTTTGGAGCCTTTCCTTTGGAATGCCCTTCTGGCATTTAGCCCTGGCTCCCAGTCATCTTTCTTCTTTTCTCGGGGTGGACTTTCTTTGAGGGTTCGGGACTTTCGGTGACCTTACGAGAGCGTTCGTTGGACTGATTGAGCGCCTGAATTCGTTTAGATCTTCGAGGAGCAGCCATGCTGAGAGAGAGAGGCTCACCGCTCTCTGGTGAGATATGATGAAACAACCGGGAGCCACGAACTTGGGCGAAATTAGGCAGTCTGATTTATGTACTCATACTCGTCACAATTCTGTGCGCGGCCGAGTCCACGGCCCCTGCCAGTAAGTAGTAAGACAAAGGAACAAGTCAAAGGCCGATGAACAAAGAAGTAATTCTCCGTGTGTTACAGACGGCTGAAACAAATATTCCCGTGCGTGGCTGGGCAAAAAAGGTGCCTGGGATGGATGGAGGGGAACCAACGAGACTGGCTTACACCAGAAGCCCCGAACCTGGTCTTGCTATTTCTTTTCCCTCATGTCGATAGGTGTTTGATTGGTCGGCTTCTTCAATAGTTCAAGGTGTGTTGGTGCGAGTTATCATGTTGGGCTACCTTGAACAAAGAAACTCTGATTTCTCTTTCGTCCCTGTTCATTCCATCCCGTGCCTACCACACTTCGGGACTTTTGACTCTCTAGAACAAGTCGTTCAACCCTTGACATCTGCAGTATGTAACTGGACTAACGTATCTTACCGCTAGCCATAGGTCCCCAAGCAGGGCATCAGTTCCGAAGGGTACATAGACTTGGGGAAAATCTCCGGTTTAGGCCAGGTCAAGGATACTTACGGACTCTTTTTTCTGCCTTGTGCCACAACGGAGGACACCATCACTGGCCAATATTGCACTTTTCCTGACGACGTGGGCAATCATATTCATCCTAACAGTCTCACAGAGGATAGTAGGCAGCCGGTCTAGAATGTGATATATCGGATAATGGCAGATACAAATCATAGTGTCCGTAAATCCTGACATTCTCAGGTCCCTTCCATAGCTCGCTTTTGGTATTACCATAGCTGTCATATTTCCTCTAAGGTCAAGTATAATCCCTCATCGTCTCATAATTTCAACAAAGCTGAATTTTCAACACTTCAACAGAAGATAGAAATCATGGTCGAAAGCTCGTCTCCGACAACCACTATCCACCGGTACCAAGGCCATGAAGGGTCAGTTTTACCGCTAGCATCTCGCGCTCACCTTAACTGACCAGTTTCTATAGTTGGACTTCAGTAGCTCGAGGTGCCGTGTTCCATGGTATTCAGGCAAATAGCCAGTCAAATCAGCCGATTGTGCAGGTTAATGCTCGAGCCTCAGGAGAAGGCTATGGCTTAGAAAGTAGAACTGATGGATCCATTCTTTGGCTTGTCCACTGGGTTAGTATCTCATTCATACATGTGCTGGTAGAACCTTTGGCTGATACACTCCCCAGGGCGATGAACTCTCTGCTGACGGCCAAAACAGAAGACCTGTTGATCCACAGGCAGTGTGGCATGGGAGAGATGACCGTTTTTACGTGAACATGTATCGCCAAGAGGGGCCAAATGCAATCCCTGGATTTGCAAGCTGCCTGTCCTGGAATGCCGTGGGTGAGCTCCAGAACTTGGAGTTCAATTTTCATTGGGATGGCACCAAGATGCATTACGTGCTGCTGTATCAAGGAAACCAACAAGTTCCTTTGACTATCGAGAACTACTATGATCTTTGATAGACATTTCCTTCACGTGGAGGAATGCTTAGGGCAAGATATCACTGGATCTCAAGTTTCACGCTATCGAATCGTTCTACCTGATTCGACCTTTGGGGGGCTAGCAGTAGGATTACATTCGTGGATAGATAGCATATTATGAGGTGAAAAATTGTTCACTACCTCAACTCTAGATACCGGAGTGTTTATGACTTGTGCAAAAGATCCTACCGGTTCATCCTAAGTCATCCTACATACTGTCCGCTGGATATTTCTAATCCATCACTAACCGCGACTATATGACGAGAATGCCTTCCTTTCAACATCGCCAGAAGGCGTCACGAGGAAAGCAAACAGGAGCTCAAAATATTAGGGGTAAAGTTTCTATATCTCGTTCCTCCAAGGTGAGGTGTTTCAAACTTCTAAATACTACCTTATCTATGTCTGTCCTTGTGTAATTACACAATTTCTCTCTTTCCAAGTCAGGCACAGCGCCGCAACATCAACCACAAATATACAAAACACCAAAACCCCAACCACGATATCCCATCCTACAATTCAATAAACAAAAGCAAATCATCCACAAAACGCAAAAATTTCAATCTCGGAGTTGCGGGCTTTGGGCACCACTTATCCCCATTCCATCTTTTTCTGTCTTGCTGGTGTTCCCATCCCGCAACTCAAGCTTTCCAGGCAGTAAGGAGATCGGATTCGATCCCACGTACCAACCCGGAAGCGGCGAGAGACCGGTCGTACACGCTTTGCTAAACCGTTAGGCCAAAGCGAGCTGCCGCCACATCTGGTGATAGGGGTTTAGGATTTCTGACATATAATGCTATGGCTGGGGGTGGTTTAGGTTGTGGTTGAAGTATTGGAGGTGGCGACTGGCAGGCGTTGGCAGTGTCAGGCCGATAGTGAAGGGTCCTGGCAGTTGTTGAATGGGGTTAGGTGAGACTGGAGGAATATGTTTGTTGATCCTCACATCAAGTCACATCTGTGACCACTTTTCTTGAGGAGCCTTTATGTAAACTGGTCCAAGTCTTCATGAAATAAAAGAGTATCTGATACGCATATCAAAAAATGATTCGTGATCCATCCAAACTACAGTGGCTCGTAAACCTGCAACATGCCCTCCGCCGCATGCTTCAGAATATAGGAAGCCAACTTCTTATAAAGTTTCGGTCTGCAGTCATCAGACACTCCATGACAGCCCTCAGCCTCAAAAGAAGTTTCCTGATCCATCGCTTCAGTAACGATCGAAAGATACTCTCTGCACTCCTCTTCATCCTGACCAAAAGGAGCAAGACATCCTGCCCACTTGAAGAGTATGGCGTTGAGTATAAGGCGACTCATTTGACCGTTGGCGCTGTGGAATGGATGAATACTGTGGAAAATGTGACTGTATTTCGCTGCGAGCGCCACGGGATCAACCTCTCCTTTTATTCCGGCGGCCAGGATATCAGCTTTGTAACTGGCCACCATCTTCTCCATCGCAGCAGGGATCTTGCTGGGGTCCATGTACGGGCGGGAAGTTGCCTGTAGGGGAGATGTGCGATATTGACCGCTGTACTCGGTATTATATGTCCCGTCAGTCTGATTGAACTCATTTGTCAAGAGGCGATGCGTTTCCTTGATCATAGCCTCCGACAGATCGTTCTTCAGGATTTGGCAGATAAGATATTGAGCAGCCTTGAGATGCTGACCCATCTCTCGATAGCTTTCCACGTCGAGAACCAAGAGGTCAAATGGATTACTGATTGAACCTTCAAAAATGGCTCGGCAAAGTTCGACTGTGATATTCAAGTTGAAACCGACACCTTCGATCTTGTTGGAGCCGTGGACAAGTCGATAGATACGGTTGAGGATATGCCGTTGCATTGTGTCAGGATCAATAGTTCTTTGGAATGAAAGTTCGCGAAAGAGTTCATATCGATGGCTGGGGTCTTCTTCTGGGGTCCTTTCGGCATAAGAACTCCTATCCATGGTTATCAATAGACGGTGTGTTTGCATGGTTGTTGAGTGGTCTGTGGCGTTGTCGTCTTGTTGGAGAGCCATGGTTCTTTGAGACAGCAGACGATACAGATTAAAAATAAGGTCTTATTCGTTGTTCTGATGATGCTGCAAGCTCTGGTCCACTGGCAGATAATGAAATTGATCAGAATGGGTGAGCGAAGAGGTATGGGAAAGCAGCGCTCATCGCGACTTGGAAAAATGTAACTTCCTTCTTTATCACATCTTGAGATCCCTTGACACTTTCAGCTTCTCTTTTCTGAGAGTTTGACTTTCGAAATAGAAACCTTGTAGTCTCTCTCCATTCAGTATCACGCTCTCGTGAAACTAAAAAGTCTAGGTTGACATATAGTAGTCCAATTAGAGCACCAATCCAACAGTAAGCTTCTCCCATGACTCCTTAATCTTGTCCTTCGCCGCCTTGAGCTCATCAACATCCCACATACATTCAACAAATCTTCCACTCAGAAACTTGGCCTCATCACTCGCGGCCCAAACAGCAAAGTCACTCGGAAGTGAAACATCCTCTGGAACAAGTCCATAGTCCTTGACGATATCCACAAGAGGTCGAGTGATAGCAGTGTCCATAATGAGTCCGGGGTGAAACTGTATAACGACTTTGTCTCGGTTCTCGTTGGCGTACCATTCAAGCACTTTATAAGCTCCAAGCTTTGATCCACGATAGGCTGAGAATCCAGGCATAAACTCTGTATACATTGCACTTGTGGATACGTGGATGACTGTGGCTCCGGGAGTGGCGAGAGGATCGAATGCACGCAAGAGGTTAAAGTTTCCTTTGACGTTGATCTCAAAGGTGAGCCACCAATCAACAGGATCTGCCACGGTGACATGTTCAGTCTTGGGCATGTATCCAGCGTTGGCGATGAGAATGTCGATCGTTCCATTGATTGCAGTGGTGTAAGCTTCAAGGACAGACCGAGTTGAGTCAGCGTCGACGATGTTGACGGTATAAGTCCAGACTTTGGTCTCGGGGTAGTTTTCTTCGATGTAGGCTTTGTTTTCGAGGAGTGTCTTTTCTGTTCGACCAAGAAGAGCTAAGTTGGTGATGCCTGATTTTGCAAATGACCTGGCAATGCTGGCACCAATACCAGAGCCTCCACCTGTGATCACAGCATTCTTCCCTCTGGTTGAAAGCTCAGGACGAAGAGGGGAGATGGCTGGGTATGAAGTTTTGTGAAGGGTATTGAATGGAGATGCCATTTTGGTGACGCTCAATTGAGTGATGAGATGAGTGAGTGAATGAGAGTTTGTATTGCTTCTTCTCTGCTTTCTTCTCTTCTATATACATTTTGTCGGCCCCTGTCAGCCCCAGAATCCTTCAGCATCTTTAGATATCTGGACACTGAGGCATCGTGAGTTCAACGTTGAGTTGCGTTACACATTATTCATGTGTTGACGCCTCACCCCTGCTACATGACTACCCCACCAGCCACCATAACGCCTCATAACGTTATCAATCCTCTCTTGGTCAGCAACGTTATTCCTCCAACATCGTCATCACAATCCCCATGCCATTGAAATGTCACCTCCGAGTAATGGAGATAATTCTGATGTATGTGGATCTTGCAATTACCAAGCAGAAATATCCGAATTACGAAACACCAGCTAACATGCATGAACAGCCAAAGCGAGAGCGCAGCAGAGTTGCACAGCGCGAGTATCGCAAAAGACATGCCTCAAAGTTCAACACTCTCAAAGATGAGAATCAGAGATTGAGGAATGCCTTGAAAAGAATTGAGAAAGTCGCGCTGAAGCGTGGTGGAAAGGACCAAGAACTTGAGGCGGCGCTGGCTGAAGCGAGAGAAACTCTCGGGGAAGAGACCGAAAGTCGAGCTTTGACAACTTCTGGTTCAATAGATACTGATCCAATCTCTGCTGAGAGATTATCGTATCTTTCAGGGTTGTTGTCGTCGGATATTATGCTTCATGCTCAATCTCTGGGACAAAACACCGCTCCTCCTCGTCTAAGTCTAGAGCAGCAACTCTGGACTAACACCGACAGATTGGCTCGTATCTTTGAAGCTCCTTCAGATGCAGGCAAATATCTCGGCGACGGTCTTTACACATTTGCGGGAACACTGTACTGGGCATGTACACGAAACACAGTATCGCTATGGGAGACATACAAGCTCAACATGCTTGGTAAACCCGGACTGCCAGCCCAAAACCCCATGGACCGATTATTCAACCACTCAAAGCATCTGAATGATCGAAGATTCCTGCTTTCACTTGCGCTGGCTCGACTAGAGTACAAGCACAAAGGCTTCATCGATCTTCCACGTGCAGGAACCGAAATGGTGTGGAAATCAGTGTTGCCCGATCTACGACGAAAAATGGAACAGGAACTAGTCGAGAAAGGACAAGGACCCGAATGGTGGAAGACTCCAGGGGAAGTTGAGAATCATTTGCGGAAGTATCTCGAACCAGCAGAGATTGACGAGTTACAAGCTCTTGTGGAGGGGAGAGGATCAGAGGAGGTTATGACCAAGTATAAACCTTTGGTCGAGATGATGATTGCTGAATTTGTTTGTTTTCCGGATGGACCGAGATGGAATCTTTTGTATGTTGCTATGGCTGTTGGAAGTTGGAGGAGTGATCATCCGAGACCTTCAGAGTTGGTGCATGATTTGAGTGCGAGCGTTTAGAGCGATTGTTTTGAATGATTGAATGATATTTCTATTCTCCTTGGTTCATGTAATTGAGACGATGCGATCATGCTGAAGTCCTTACAAGACAGGTCTAAGCTGATAGATTCTTAGATCCCTGGATGTCTACAGTCGAGGCCTGGTATCACGGACTCCACTGGACCCTTACAAACCCCTGTAGATCAACGCCCCACCGCTGCCCCAGCGACCACCCCAACTTATACCAAACAATCAATCCCAGATTGAACGTCCATCATCAACCATCATGACAGACAACGATCTAAAATCACGTCTGGCCTCTGTCCTCCCAAAACGTCACGACTTTACAATCTACCACATTTCAACACCCCCCACAAAGACCGACCCTCTCTACTCTCCACCACCAAACGAACGTCCCGAGCGAACGTATTGCGAAAACCATTTCCTCGCTGTTTCAATCGATGCAGAAGGCAAGCAAGTTTTAGTATTAGGAGTCGAAGTATTCATCTATACGACTGCTCGATCGACTACGTTATTCGTTTCAAAGGCTGATTCAACGGGGTATCTTACGCTTCTCAATCTTCCCAAGGGAACACCGAGTCCTATTCGTGAGATATGCGCCACGTTCGTTGGGTTCCTTGTTGAGAAAAGGAAAAGGAAGGATATCCAATTCATCGTCAACTTATTCGCCCGTGCGCAAGATCAGTATCTGTTTCCTGGAAGTGTCGACAATAAGGGGAAGCATGTCCTTGATGACCGCGGTCTTATCAAATGGTGGTGTCGCGTGCTCGATCCCCTTCTTGGACCTGCGCCAAAGTCGGTAGAAGCACCATGGAAGAGTTCAAAAGGATATATCGTCGTACCAGGGTTGGAGCCAAATGAAATTCGAGCGATGACACCTCGAAGAACAGACGCTGCTTGGGAGTTTACGCATCCGCTTGAAAGAATATCACACTATTATCGAGAATTTGACTGGGTACCTCCACGATGTCTGATCCCACACTTTCCTGACGATCCCAAATCACGATTCCGGGACGAACTTGATGAAGAGGCTGCAAGTTCACAGGCAATGAAGACGCAGGGTAGCTGGAAGAGTGTCAAGACTCTCGACATGTTTTGGGAAATGATGGCCTTCCGACAAGAATGCTCCAGTGGTCGCATGACAGGGTTTATCTGGCTAGTCTTTGACGACAAGGAACCAGAACCAGCAGCAAGCGAGTCTTTCCAATCGAAAAATCCACCGTCAACACCAAAGGCGCAGCGAATCGCTCAAATAACACCAAGCACAACACCTCGAAAACTCTTCCCTTGCAAGAATCAGCCAGAGACTAAGGCAAAGAAGAAGAAACCCAAAAAAAGACTCACGGGTCCTATCGTCCCTCGGAAGCCCCAAATCAAGCGGGCAAAACACAACTATCTCCTTGATCGTCCTGCCAATACGGCATATTACTCATGGACGCCTGAAGGTCGTGGCGAGAAGATTGTTGATGAGGCAACCTACAAGCGTATTGTAGAGTTGCTACTACACCTCGACTTTGCTACCCTCAACAAAGCGGTTGGTAGTACACGCCGCTGGTTGAGTGAAGGCGGAGGCGGTGGTAAATGGGGTGTTGTTGTATCTGGTGCACGCGAGACGCCAACTCAAACAATTCATAATCGCGAAAATGGTGTAAACAATCTTACGGGGCTTGTGAAGAGGAAGCGAACTGACTCGACTGTTGATGAGTCTCAAAATAAGGTTAATGTCCTTGGAGAGGGGCTCGTCAAGAAGAAGCCAAAAGAGGAGTCCAAGGTTATAAATGTACTTTCCACTGGTCTGATTAGAAAGAAGCCCAAGGAGTAAGTGTATGATTTTGTATGATTAGCGTTGGGTATTGTTTAAGCCGGAGTTGGTGTATATATTGGTTATCAAGGCATTCGTTATCATGATTCTATGCTACCTGCTTCTATCATCTATTCACACCCATCCATTGTGCTACTTCTTGAGAAACTCCAAGTTCACAGGTGTAATGGCCTCTCCGCCACTGAGAACAGCCATAATGTTTCTCATGCTCAACTCTTCAAAACCCTTGTGAGTGTCGACTGTTCCACCAGCATTATGGCATGTCACCAACACGCGGCCCTGCTTAGCAAGCTCCAACAGTTCAGGATGTATCTTTGGTTCGTTTGCATGAACGTCGAGAGCCGCGCTTGACAGTGTACCTTCTCGGAGGGCAGCAACCAATGCTTCCTCGTCAACAAGACTCCCTCGTGCAATATTGACAAACCGTGATCCACGTTTGAAGGATGGCAGAGTCTTTGAGTCGATCAGAGTACCTTCGCCAGCTGGTGTGCATAGAACAACACAGTCGCATCGAGAAAGTAGACTCTTGAGCGTCTCATGGTGGGTAGCTCGTACAGGAGCAACCACAGCAGCAGGCTTGGGAAGCACATCATAGTAATGAATGTCCATACCAAAGCCATATCGTGCACGGGCAGCAATTTGCTGGCCAATGTTGCCAAATCCAATAATTCCTAGAGCCTGATCGCGAAGATTGTACGATTGCATTGTGGCATCGCGATGATTCTCCTTGAAAGCCTCCTCATTGCCGGACATGGCGGATGAGATACACCATGGAAGGACCCGGAATGTTGAAATGATCCCAACAATGGCAAAGTCGGCTACCGCTTCAGCAGCTGCGAGACCAGAATTGCAGTAGATGATTCCTTGCCAGTTAGCGAGTGCCTGCAGGCAGTTGTGTCAACTAACCTCGTTCTCCCAATAGCTTCGTATCAGCCCAGTCAAAGCCGGCACCTGCACTTGCAAATACCTTGACACTCTGTGGTAGTAGACTGATCAACTCTTGGTCCCATTTTCCCATTTCACCTCCAGTTCCCCAAAATGGACGAAATATGGCATCAAAATCACCCCATCTCTTTTCCTTGAGGGCATTGATGAACTCTGGTCGTTGCCGCTCTTCAGTTGGCGGTCTGATAATCTCACACTGAATGCTGAAGCGGAGATATGTTTCAGGATTGTATTTGATAGGATCTCCAATATGAAGAACTCGGGGTTTTGAGGAAGTCATGGATGACCGTATTGAAAGAGATCCTTGAGAAATGAAGGGTAACTGAGGAGTAGGAGACGTAGCTCGCGGTGTAGAAGCTGGTACCGGTGTATTGGTTGGTTCCGCCATTTTGATCGTTGACTGTCTTATAAAAACAAAGTATGAGAGAGAAGTACTAGATTGCCCAAAACGTTAGGTAGTCAGCTATGTGTGCCTGATCATCAATGTGTCTCAGTAAGTGGAGCGATCAATAACACTCAGCCGCACGTTCACCTCCACTCGCCTTGTTTGGTTCGACAAGCCCCCACGGTAGTGATACCCCGGTCTCCGGTCCGTGAGCTTGACGACGATCCCTGTCAATCGACGGTTCCGAGCCGGATGAGCCCCGGTTTATGTTTCGATGTGGAGTTGTTGTTTGCATCAAATCACTAGCAAGAAATCGAGTCAAGCTGAATGTATCCAATTTGATTCATAGGAGGTACCGTACATATCCAAATCGGAGCCTGCATAAGCCGGTACCGGGATACACAAATACCGGTAACTATCATCCGGGGCCCCAATCTCGTATCCACCAGAATATCGTGGGGAAGATTTATTGCATGTTTTCGTGTGGGGAGATTCATACTGACAGCCTTGCTTTCGGGTCAGAGTGGTGGTGGAAGTACTGCATGGTGTGACTTTGGGGGAGGCACTTCTCTGACTAGCTTACAGCTCGTCCGATACATTCTGACCCGACAAGGGAGCTTGTAGACGATTGTTGAGATGATCCGACTTCTTGACTGGAAATGTGAACCGTCCAACGTCGACTTTTGTGGGAATACGTCCTGTCTCCAGAGCCTTTTTGATCAATTGAAGGGCCGATTTGTCATTTCCGTGTATTATAACTGAGATGCAAACCGGCTGATACTCTGTCTTTCCAGAAATATCAGACTCATAGGGTACCTGGGTGACTGGCGTTTTGTTAGTAGCTACTGAAAGCCAACACGCACAACTTACATGGAAACGATAAAAGGCGAGCCCCCAATACCGGCGCAAGTGTTGTAGAGTCGATGCCTTTGTAAATGGTTGGTGGACTAATATGCTTGTCAGCCAAGTATCACTATAAGGAAGTGTACATACGCCACAGGATCGTTCCGATGTTCAACTTGAGAATTTCCGCATGGAAGGATCACGAATGCGTCTCCCTTGGCATTGGGGGTAGAAGTGCGCATGATTTTCTCATGAAACCATTTTCGGTATACTTCGAGACGTTCTGTATCTTGGCGGTTTTCCTCCTCTGTCACTGACTTGCATTTGTTCCTGAGAGGTCAGTTATGTTTAGCGACTGTGCAACGTATAACAGTCATACCAAAAGAACTGCGGTGCAGCCTCGATGAACGGCCGTTTGTCGAACTTTTGCTCATATTCATCTCGAAAACCGTCAAAAGAATGGTAGTAATCATAACACCATGACCGGAAAGGTGCCTAATCTGTCAGTCAAGTCTTTTTGTTGAAGCCGACTAACCTTTTGCATGTATGCTTGCATTCCCTCATTCGATGCTCCAGATGGAGGACTTTTCTCCCAAATCTTGCCAACATCAACGTACTCGGCTTTCGTGTTCAACAGATCTTGCAGAATCGACACGAAAGTCGCAATGGCTGTTTTTTGTGACTCTTGGGGTGATGATAAGTCATCTGGTACGATTACTCTTGTGGAAGAGGAAGCTTCAGAATCCCCAGTCTTGGAATCTACTGTGAAATCGAGGAGTCCCTTGAGGTTTCGACTAAAGATTCGAGTTTTATCGAACCTAGAGTGGTCAGTGTAGCTCAACAGTAGATCATAATACTCACTTTGATGTCGGGACTATGTCAGTCGATAGGCTTTCAGGCTGACTCAAAGAGTAAATACCACCCTCGGACATCATTCTAGAATCTGTACATGGTCAGCTTTAGCTTCTCGCTATGACCTGACTTACCATCAACGCCAATGCTGTAGTCAATCCATGAGTACCCAACCGAGGCCGCAGCAGCACCAACTGAACCGCCTTTCATCCTGTGATATCCATCACCTCTTGCACTCCAAGGAGCTTGTTGGTCAACCCATTCTGCACCTGTACCCAAATGCGATGTCTTCGTTTTTCCGACGATGACGGCTCCTTGGTCGATGAGACTTTGTGTGTATTTAGCTGTAGAACTCGAGGCATTTTTGTAGAGAGATTTCCATGCCCGACTGGAAAAGGTTGTATAGGTTCCTTTCAATGATATCGTGTCGCTTATAGAAACACGGACGCCAGACAAGGGTTTCTTGGCAGAAGGTTGGGGGTGGTAAAGCCTTGATGGCACAGGAACTGTAACTGAATCTCCGTAGACAGACGAAGAGGTCAGGGGTTGGAACCTGTATGGGTTAGCTGCGATTTGCACAGAAGATTCAACATACTCGTCTGGTTGGTTCAGATCATCAGGGATTGCACCAGAAGTGAAGGCTCCAAATTCATCATCATACAACCGCCAGGCTTGGTAAAGGTTCGGACCGTAGAGAAAGTATGGGCCGGAAGGTAACTCGGAAAAGACATCTAGAGCCTTGATTTGGTCCATATGATAGATCTGTCGCGTATCGACATGAGCCTGGCTACTGTTGTCTCCGCTCTTTTCGACGAGAATGGAACCAAAGTCAGGAACAAAGACATCATCAATCGAATCAAAGAGTTGTAGGATTCCTTCGAGGTCTCCAAAGATTTCTTCAGTTGACAGGAGCGTGATTGGAATTAGAGCATCAGGGTTGATGGTTTCTTGAATGGTTCCCTAAACGCGTTAGTACGCGCATGGTCTCTTAATCGTCAACATACAAGCTTCAGAGGATGGATCAAATATTGCAGCCCTGCAACGAAGCAGGTCGTGATGGGAAGCATTGCTAATGCGTCTGCTGGAGACGGCGGCCGAACGTTGGCAAGTAACGAACGCTAGACGGACACTTGCATATTCACGGCCACGGAGTATTTTTGAATGATTGAATCGCTTAAATTGAGCTTGAGTACTTGTAGGTTTGGCTGTAGGTGAAAGATTGATAAATTGAGATGATGCTGGTGCACAAGGGAAGTTGAGACATTCATGGGGTACAAGTGCAAGAGCGTGCAATAACCCAACACGGCAGTGCGAGGCTCGTCCTCTTCAGGACTTGACCGCAATTTTCAACAAATATCCATCCTTCATAAAAGATGGGCTACTTCAAAAAGCCCTTAAAATGTCCAGGCAGTACGTTGACATAAAATGCCAAGAGCACTTTTCCAAGATGTCTGCAGTCTGCAGTATCTCGGTGAGCTCGGCGAGTCTCGGTAAGCTTATCTTTGTGGGGTATCAAAATTTCCATCTTCCCCCACCAAGCCGAAGTTGCAGATTCAACATCACACTCAAACACCAACAAAATGGCCAAAAAAAAGGGTACGTCCTCTATTTCTCCTCTGTATATCAATCTAACATGCTCAGCACCCTCAATCCACTCCCGCGCCGCTCGTCGCGCAACAGACATCGACATCGACACCGACAAGTCCCTAAAAGAAGTCAAACCTCCTCCCCGCGATGCACCCCATCGTCCTTCTGTTCTAGCAGCGCAACACTCCGCTGGTATTACCAAGAAGGCCAAGCGCGGTCGCAAAGAGAAAATGTCTGCAAAGGCTAGAAGACGTCATGAGAAGGGTCTTGAGATGGCTGCTGCTATTGTGGAGCGTACCAAGAATAAGGTTGAGAAGAGTAAGGGCCGGGGGAGGAATATTCAGCAGAGAAGTAAGAATTGGGATGAGATCAACAGAGCTGCTGAGGAGGCTGAGGGTGCGGAGAGTGATGAGGAGGTAAAGCAGCGTGGAGTCGATGTGGATGAGGATATGGATGTTGCGGAAGAAGAGACGTCGACGGCACCTGTTGCAGAGGTCACCACTCCTGCAGCGGTACCTCTACCTGCGGATGACGACGGTGATGAGATCCTATAGTATTTGGGACTGGACTTTGGAGTTTGGTGTCTAAAATGGGCTCAATATCCGGGATACGACAACCGGACTGATGACTTTCTTATTCGGCTATAGACTTGCCACTGGCAGATACCCAGTAGATGATGTTATATCAAGCATTTACACGTCCTTTTGAGCATCTGCCTCTTGTGATTCCTCTTTCGCTTCTGGCTTTGCAGGAGTTTGTTTTATGATTCCCTCGAGGTAAATCCTCATCGTCTTTCCAACCTCTCCATCTCTAGGCTTGTACTCTCTCGAGCCTAGTTCCTCAACAAGCTTCTTCACCTTGGTGTAGACTTCCTCTGCGGTATCATCGGATGTTCGTTTCTTCTGTCCCTTCTTCTTGAATCCGAGAATGAGCTCCACCTTCATACCCTTGCTGAGGAACCCAACCAGCTGCTTTGTCTTGACCCCTAAGTCATGCTCGCTGATGGCCCAGCTCATCTCGACTTCTTTGGTCTTTGATGTTGTCTGTTTGGATAAACGGCGGCGCAGATTTAATTCACGCTGACGCTCATATTCATCTCTCTTGTTGACAATCTTGCAAACAGCATACTGAGTTGGCTTGTCGTTCTTTGGATCGGCTGGGATGTAGGGTGTCACCATACGAAGTGATTCTGTCTCGGGCAGTCGGTTCAAAACGTGTTTTGTGAGAAGAGGTCCATCAAAGACACCATTATCGAGAACCATGATCTTTGGGTCCTTGATTTCGAAATCTTGAGGGAGACGATCGCGACCAGACTTTTCAAACTCCTCTTTCGTAGTGTATCGTCGATCGAAAGTTCGGTCTTGATCCTCATTGTCGAAAGGGTCTACTTCAACTTCTTCTTGTCGTTGCTTTGATTTACGGGCTTTCGATTGTGATGCGGAGAAGAAGCGATTCTGTATAGGTACGGCGCGTGAAGGTTGGAACTGTCGTGTGAGGAGAGCTTCATGTTGAACGAAGACCCTATACAGGGCTCGACGGGAGCTTTGAAGGCATGCAAAGCTGTTCATTATAGCGGAGCACCTGGAAGGAGTGTCTGTCGTGCCGCAAAAGAGTGTAGACAGTCGACAATGGCTGTTAATGTTAATGACTGATCGTCTTCAATGGTGGGCGGTTGATTTTGGCAGAAACGTCACTGTGGGGTTGCTTGCAGGTCTATCCAATCAGGTGCTCTTGGACCCCTTCAACCGCTGATTCAACACCAAGCTCTGGTGATGGTTTTGTTGTAATACGACTCAACTCCAGCCCGTCAGGGCACTTCACGATGGCTTCATTTCATTTCGCCCGCCGTCCTGTGCGTACAACAGTATCCTTCCTCAAGGCTGCCTGTCTCGTGCACCTTGGTATCACCTACGGCTATACCATTAGCCCAGCCCAAGGACCTTCAATGCTTCCAACATTCACAGTCGACGGTGATTGGATTCTATGTGATCATACGCGTCGCTATGGTCGCGGTGTTTCTGTTGGTGACTTGGTTGTCTACCGCATCCCAATTTTCAACAATCAGTGGGGAGTGAAACGAGTAACAGGCATGCCAGGTGACTATGTCTCTGTTGGAACACCAGGAGAGCAAGGAGAAGAGTTAATGATACAGGTACTTATTCCGTCCTCGTCGCTGACTTCACTAACTCTTCAGATTCCCGAAGGTCATTGCTGGATTTCAGGAGACAACCTTCCAGCATCAAGGGATTCACGACATTTTGGCCCATTACCACTAGCTCTCATCTCTGGCACTACAATAGCCAAAATATTGCCATGGAACGAACGTCAATGGATGAAGAATGGACTGGAAAAAGTTGAAGAGCTAGACTAATCACGAGCAATCTAATGTAAATATGTATCTCTTATCTGGGTATAGAAACTTACACCTCTCGTCTAATTACATCTGCTCTCCCCAAATCAACTGCCCAGTAAGTGATCTAGCGATATCTGCCACATGAATTCATCAAACAAAGAGAAAGAATACCATCCTTCAATGCAGCGCGTAGCCCTCTCGTACACCGTCAAACACCATTGTTATAAGAACAATTCTTGAAAAGCCCATGACAGGCGATGCAATCCGTATAAAGAGATAACCCCTGAAAACCAAACATCATTCTTAGAATGTTACATGACGCCAAACACCATATCACCCAACACCCCATACGCTTCCGCTTTTGAGATGAATAGAGTATTCCACGGTTAATGTGAGTTAGCCCTCGATGTGAGCCTTGGACATGCTCTGTCCCAAGAGTTCCAGGCAACGTTGAGCTAGGTTGACAACTTCACCCTCATCCTCATCCTCGAATTCATTGTCGGTTTCAATTTGTCGATTCGCAATGCTTCGAATGTGCTCGATGATGTCCTCTGCCTTTCCAATAAGGCCAATAAGAGTCTTGTCCTCGGATTCAAAGAGTTGGAGAAGGGTCCAGACGGCGATGTGCTGGAAGGTAGCGTCACCAGACTGCAGGAATCGGCAGAGGTATCCGTGAATTCCACCTTGAGGTTCGGTCCAGTTTTGTACAAAGATTGAGTAGTCGCCCACTGTTTTTGTTAGCTTGTGATTGAATGGCGGTAAGTTGACTCACCTTTAGAAGATAGGTTGCCTAGGGCAGCAGCACTGTTGCCTTGGACTTCAATGCTTGGCGAATGGGTGAGAGGAATAAGAACACCGCAGACTCCCAGATTCAACAGATGAGACTTGAGATCATCACTCAAGGCCAGAACGGCAATAGCAGCGGTCATCTCGGATTGAACAGTGATGGGCACATCAAGAACCAATTGCTTGCACTTTTGCACGGCACCAGCATCTAGGACAAGAGCCTTGTTTCGATCGGAACTGGCGGCAAGATTTCGAAGGGTCGAGATGGCATGGCACTGAATCTCTTCGTTGTCGGTAGATCCAAGCAGGTCGACGAGTGGCTTGAGGAAGTTTGTTTCGATAATTGGTGACTCGTTAAGAGGATGGATAGAGATATTTCGTATACACGCGACAGCAGAAAGGATAAGTGGTAGATAAGAAGATTGGAGGAGTCGGAGAAGAGGGTGCAGTCCATTGGCACGAACGATATCGAGCTGATACTTTTCGTCGGAGGCGAGGTTCCGGAGAGCGAGGGCAGCTTGGCATTGAACCTTGGGTGAAGTCGAGTCCATGAGGTTGACAAGAGATTGGACCAATTTGGGTTCGCTTTGAGCCAGTTTTCGTCGGTTGCTTGCATCGACTGCGATGTTGCTGAGAGCTGTAGTACAATAGTATTGAACATCGACGTCGGGAGAAGAAAGAAGTTGAACAAGGACGGGAATGGCTCCAGCATTTACCAGCTGTTGTCGGTTCTCGTCTACTTTTGTTAGCATTGCTATTACCATATACACAAAACATACCAGAGTGTGTCATGTTGAGCAGAGCGCCAGTAGCATTCCGCTGAACTCGCATGTCCCTAGACTTGGCCAATCTTGTCAGAGGACCCAGAGCTCCAGAGCGAGCAATCTTTGCTTTATTCTCCTCATGTGTAGCCAAGTTCGTGATACATCCCACAGCATTGCACTGGACTTCGACATTGGGGGACATCATCTGGCGGATTAAAGGTGTCAAACCACCGAGTTGCACAATGAGAACCTTGTTCTCGGCTACAATACGTCAGTGACTGCGAATGTTGGCTTAGATGAACATACTGTCAACAGCCAGGTTTCCGAGTGCAGCACTGGCAGCTCGCTGAACTTCGATATCGGGGCTTTGGAGAAGGAATAGGATAGGTTCAAGGGTATCGCGGTCAACCTCTCGGACATCTACATTGTTAGACCAGTCTGAAACTCGAGACTATTTCATACCTCGTTCAGTAATCTCAGCAAAAGTCAAACTAGCACTTCGTTGAAGATCAATGTTTTCCGAAAAGACCAAGGTGCTCAAAGCACGTAGAGGTTCGCCAGAGAAGAAGTCGGTCTCGCCGCGCTATCATCAAGTTAGTAACAATCATAACAAGATGGAGTAGCATGTACATTTTCGAGATATTGAAGAAGGTCGGCTACAGCCTCTCGTTCGCTATCGGCGAGAACGGGTTCATACAAGCCATCGCGGGCTCGACCTAATACTGTCAGACGCATACGGTGACGGTGACGGATAATAGCATGCATACCTCCGCAGCACGAGGAGCTGCAGATACCCATGGCAAACAATAGCACAAAAGCTTGATGGAAGAAGTATGTTGACCGACGGTGAATGAAAGTCGGTCTCGATTTTGATGCAGTATCGGTCAAGGTTCGGTTGTTGACGAAACGGTCATCCACTTGTTGGCAACGTCACGACAGGGATCCAGATTCGAATTATTATTATCGGGGACTCGGTTGTCGGGTGAAAGAAGGCACAAAACAAAACCTCTATCCGGGCAAAGGTGAATGACTGACTACCACAGAAAAGCCAATCACTGGCACGACGATAGTGTCAAGATCGCGGTGTGGAAGGGAAAATTAGTTGGCGATTGCCCAGGTGAGAGATGAATCCGAGGGGGAGTTTATCCTAGCCTCACAGTTGGTTGGCGAGGGAAAGAATGGGGATTGAGACGCGCGCCAGGAAAGAAGCAAGGTGAGCGAAGTAAAGCGTGAGCTAAAGGCAAGAACGGATGAATTGGGGAAAGCTACTTCCAGATACATTGGCGGTCACTGTCGGTACACGTCAGAAAAGGTAGCTGCAGGGGATGTTGAGGTTCCCTGCAGGAGGTGACCTCACTTGAGGTCATCCGCCGAAGGTAGGGTCCGCCAGGGACGACGTGCGCTATTGTTTTGGTGGTCTAGTGCACTTAGGTGCAGAGACAGCTGTTACAGTGGACCGCCTCATTATGCTAGCGGCGTTGTGGAGAAGCTTGGACCGTTTTGATGCTTTTATCCAGACATTTCAACGCCTCATTTTGAGATTAAATGATATTGGTTTACTGATGAGAATTGAGTGATCTTTGTGATATGAAATAATTATTGCGATATTAGTAAGTAACTATCAGATTGAGCTGACTTCAGAAAGTTGCTGCCTTCGATATTGCGTATACTGTTCTTCGTTTGTCGCGTGGCATGTGATAGAGGCATATATAAACCCGAGGTCTACGTTATGCGACCTGATTGATACTCGACTTTGACGAGTTTTGCTTTCCAAAGACGGTAATTCTCAGGTCACACAAAGTATGATGCCCATGTGCTTATCGTGTCATTGTTGGGTATCAGTCGAACAAGCTTTGGCTGCAAGTCATCTGCAGCAACTAACTACCCTGCACCACCACCTTGAAGCAGGACATGGCGGCGTTGACGTATGAACAGGGATCAAAAGACTATTGTGTGTTCTCAATAACTGGTTGTAATAGATGGGATTGTTGTGAACCGGACAAACTTGTCCTGGACCCTTATGTGCTTTGAATGCATCTGCAGATGATACAGAATAGACGGTAAAGCTTGGAATGAACATCCCGGATGCTGAGACATACGAGTTGCTAATCCTGGCTACATTCATATCAGTTCCAAAGCTCAACTGATTAGCAAATGGGGATAAAGATTTGAGATCGAGTGTTGACTTGCAATCTATTCTCCTACACATAATGTCTCACCAAGCCCTCAACTTGTAAACTTGTCAATATCACAAAGTTGAGGGATTTTGAACAGTAAAGAGGAATACTCAGCCATGATAGAATGGACCTCAAAGCAGACAGGCTATACTGAAGCAAATCTGACCAATCCTAATTACCGGAGATAGAATACTGTAAAACGGTCAATCTATGCCAAGACGTGAAGCTCATCGTCGATCCGCCATGACGTTCTGTCTGTCTCCGTCTCCGCCTGTGTAGTCCAGGGTCCGGTTAAGATCCAATGTTGGCCATAAGGTTAAGAAGTATGGAGTAGCGTATGCTGTACAGTAATATTATTGCTGGACTTTTGTTGGGCAGACTGTTTCGTAGGTGGCTCTCTTATCATTTATTACAAGTCGAGGGTGAGTAATGACCGACCGATCGCCGTGCGGATGTTTGCTCTCTTTTCCTTTTACCCTCCAGCACATTCCCTTGCAAATTAATTTGCGCCTTAATGATATGGAATTGCTGCCGTCGTCGGAACATTTTTACTGACTTTTTAGGCTGATGCTGCCTCTTTTCTTGTCCTTTAACACACGCCTGTGATTTTCTTCAGTGATGCGCTATACGTCAATATTTATCAGGACTTGACAACCTCAACCTTCGATCCTCGACTCAAACCATCAAATCCCGCCTAACAATTCGAATCGCATTGTGCAACAGTGATATATTGGTTGGAATGGAGGGAAACCCAGAACCTGAACCCGCACGAGGGGATCAACCAGAAACAAAAGCACCAGCAGATATCAATTTACCAAGCGAACCTCAAGGATTTCAAGGTCAACTTGAAGTGACAGAAGCTCAAATTGAAGACCCAACAAAAGCAAACGTCAAATCTTGGATTGAAGCCCAAGGCAAAACCCAACCACAACCTCCAACGGAACCTCCAACAGTTGAAGAAGTTGACGATGCTGTAGGTGAGCTGCCCCGCGTTGAAAATAACCCCAGTACAGTACCTGGCGTAACTGGTACGACAGCTGGAAACGCTTCGACCACAACTTCAGCTCCAGGCACAGACGCCCCAGGACAAGTACAAGAGTCAGCAGCCGAAGCCTCAGTTGGAGGAGTTGGAGCTGTTTCTGCATCTGGACCTGGACCGGCTTTAACTCCACGCGGGCGGGCTGCATCAACCTCCACTGCCCCCTCCACTACAACCGCCGGTCATAGTCATGTCCCTCAATTTGTCGCTCCGTCATCCTACCTCCGACGCAGGACTTCACTCCGAAGCCCAATGGCGCCCACCGAACCAAAGCCTCTAAGTCCTCTGGACAGAGATCAGTTACAGGGTCTGGTAAGTTCATCTGTCTTGCATTGTCTGCTTGTCGCATCCGTCTGCCCGTACAACTTCCGACGTGGGGCACGCGCATCCAAGCCTGACAATATGGAGCGAAGCTAATCTCGACAGAATGCCATACGCGATTTCCTCAAAGTTCGCACCAGCTACGATGTATTACCTCTATCGTTCCGACTCATCGTCCTCGATACCGATCTCCGCATCAAGAAAGCTATCAGCATCTTGACGCAGAACTGTGCGTCACCCGATACATGCAGATTCTAATGCTAAACCTCGCCACAGCAATCGTATCGGCTCCTCTCTGGAACTCTAAAACATCTCGATTCGCCGGTATCCTTACGAGCACCGACTTTATCAATGTGATTCAATACTATTGCCAGTTTCCTGACGAGTTCAGCAAACTTGATCAGTTCCGATTGAGTAGCCTAAGAGGTTTGTCGCTTCTCTCGGCGCAGGCATCGCTAACAATACCAGACATCGAGAAAGCGATCGGCGCAATACCCATCGAAACTGTATCGGTTCACCCTTCAAAGCCACTTTACGAAGCTTGTAGACGTATGCTCAAGACTCGCGCCAGACGAATCCCCCTCGTCGATGTCGATAGCGAGACCAACAAGGAAATGGTTGTTTCAGTCATCACCCAGTATCGTATCCTCAAGTTCATCGCCGTAAACAACGAACACAACACCGTCCTTTTGAAGAAAACGGTTCGCGACATTGGTCTCGGTACATATTCAGGCATCGCTACAGCCTCGATGGGCAGTTCCGTGCTTGAAGTTGTTCATCTTATGGTCAGACACAACATCAGCTGTGTCCCGATTATCGATTCGCATGGACGAGTTCTAAACGTTTTTGAAGCGGTTGATGTCATCCCGTGTATCAAAAATGGTGCCTACGAGGATTTGGATGGCTCTGTCGGAGAAGCACTCTGCAAGAGATCCGACGAGAGCCCTGGTATTTATACATGCAGTGAAGGCGATCGCCTGGACTCCATTTTTGATACGGTCCGAAAGAGCAGGGTTCATCGTCTGATAGTAGTGGACGATGATAACAAGCTCAAGGGTATCATTTCGCTGTCCGACATTCTCAAATATGTGTTGCTCTACGGAGTGGAGGACACAAGCAACTGGGCTTGAGAGTATTGATGAGGTTATAATGATTGCATGCCGCTACGAATAAGGGAGCTCTCAGGAGGGCGCCGGATAGGAGGCAAGCATAGAACAGGCGCAAGGGGAATTTACGTGGAAGGTTATCATGTGCACACAATCTTTCGCTATAGACCGCTGACAGGCCTGCATGCATGACACAGTACAGCTGTCTCAGGGATGATGACTTTTAGTGTTAGTGTTACAGTACAGCAATAGAAGCTTTTCGGCTTCGGGAACCGAGTGGCTGTGAATATTTGGATAGGATTGGTCAGGTCTCATTTGATACGACATGCGGATGACGGTCAAACTTGATGATGCACTCTGACGACATTGGTGTTATCTCTTCTATTTCAGTATTTTATCAACCATTTCCCACTTTGATCACCTACTTGATGCTATTCATATCCAGTTTGTGCACAAACACATTTGTATTCTTGTTCTTTGGCTTTGTGCCATTTTGTTTTGCCCTGCTCTTCTCCTGTAGACTCTGCCTGCCACTTGCAATCACTGGCATTACTGAAAACTGCCCGCTTCACTTCGTCCACGTTCCTTCCACTCCGACTTGATCGTGGCTAGATCCTTCCGTCCTTTCGCAATGAAGTTTCCACTGTTTCAACATCCACGAATCTCTTGTGACACGTGAGAATTTTGATCGCTCAACACCATCACACTCTACTTTTTGACTGTCTTATACGATATCTTTTTCGACGTGACAAAATCTCAGCATTAATCACATCTAATATTCCCGAAAGGCTTTGTGCCGATGGATCAGCATTATCACCCAGCACCTCTGGGCCATTACTCTGCGCCAGAGACTGTTCCTCATCGACTATTACCGTCCAGAAGTAGCTTGTCTCTTCAGGCTACAATACGGCATATAACAGACCAAGGACCTGTACATACCAGCAGAACATGGACGAGTAGTGGCGATCACAACATCCTAAGCGATACCGATGAATTGGACGATCGAGCCGCCTTTGTTCAGGAATACAACCGCCTAGCAAAAAAGGTGAGGTCCTTGAAAGAAGTAGAGACCAAGCTGACGATTTAGAATGGAGTGCGGATATTGGTGATTGACGACTTTGACTTTAGGCATACTGTAAGTTGTCGATGATGTACTTGAATAGTCGCTGACAACATAGGAAAACGGACTTGGTAGTCCTCGCAAGCAAGGATGGCTTTATCGAATCCTACGGTCCTCTTCCAATCATCCTACAGCAGATACACAACCAGCTCGCCAAGGACCTCGTCATAAACGCAGTGTTTCCGATCTCGCCCACAACTTGATACATCGTCGAGATAATCCAAAGATACTCGATCTGCAGTCGATGGTCAGAATATGTGGCAAGAGCATGCTCTACCTTCCACCTGAACATACACCATCTGCTCTCATACTTCCAACTTGCATTCGAGCTACTGCGCATCACATCGCTCAGCATGTCACTACTCGAGGGATCTTTCGTATACCGGGGTCAATCAGAGTAGTCAATATGCTGTTTGATTATTACTGCTGTACCGACAATATCGAGATCACAAACACTGTGCGATGCGCAAACCTACCGATGCATGTGCAGGCTTCTGTCCATGATGTGGCGTCAACTTTCAAGCGCCTACTTTCGGTAATGCCCGGTGGAATACTTGGTTCCTTGGCACTCTTTGATGCTTTGGTCGCAATCCATTCGCAGTTACAGGGTGATCCAGAGTTCCCTCGCACCAAACAGACCAAGGTTCGGGCTCGACTCATCGCCTTGGCTATCGCAACGGTCCAATCCCAATTCCGAAGGGAGCTCATCTGCGCTGTCTTTGGACTTTTGAGTCTTATTGGACGGGTGGCAGAAATCACCCCCAGAGAAGATGAAGAAGGTAGATCACTACCCACAGGAGACCTCATGGGCTACAATGCACTGGGTATCGTATTTGGACCTCTCCTCATCGGCGACTTGCTTGGACTCTATTCTATGAAGCTGGCCACCCCAAAGGCAGGGTTGCTGGTGCTCCCATTGAGATCTCCAAGATCACGACAAGATCGAAACGTAAGGAAGACACTCGGGAATGAGCTTGCAACGCCCCCAACAATGGACAAAATTCTCATCGCCAATACCATCACAGAAATGCTTATAATCAATTGGAGAGATGTGGTCCGACAAATGAAGTCACTCGGCATGAATCGACCTCACCCACGACCAATGAGTCCCCAAGATGATGCCAACGAGAATAGTTTTGTTATCAGGAAACCACAAGGTTGGGATCAGGAATGGCGAGGAAGCGAGGTGGGAGATCAGATCGCCAGAGAAGACAGTCCAGAACCGCCTACACCTACGCTGGGCATATCCAAACAGCGGTCGCGAAGTCGTGAGAGTTCAGCATCGAAGAGGCTCGCAGCCAGACCCAATATTGGTTGCTTAAGTCCAACTGTGGAAGAGAGTGTGCACGACGAGGATAAGAGCCGAAGATCAACACAACCAGGGGAAGGCAGTAGCTATGTTCAAACGCCGCACAATTTGCTCGAGAAGCCGACAGATGCAGTTCACTTGGAAGGCAGCAAGGATGCGCCAACGAAGCATACACCGCAGAGTGAGAGTGCGTATATCGCTCCAACACCCACCCCAGCTACAAGGACCAGAGGACCGTTACATCGAGATAGTTCCCATCTGTCTCAAGACGATGTACCACCGCGGACGTCCTCAAAAAGGGGGACAAAGACAACCCCTCTTGAACAAACCAGTGTCGAAGAACCTACAAGTCAGGACACTTCGAGAGTCTCAACAATGGAAACCCCATCAATTGAACGAAAGGGTGCCATAAGAAAGAAAAATCCTGGAAAGGAAAAGACTCTCAAGTTACATCGACGTTCCCTTGCAGTTGAATGGTCAAAACCTGTCAGGCCATCAGATACATCCATGGACAGGCCAAAATCAACCAGCCTGGAGTTCTCATCCGAGAAGGAGGCCCTTGAAGCTGCACTCAAAGCGCATTTCGAGGAACTCAGAGAGTTGGATTCCTTGGACCAGCGCAATTCAGCCTCTGTTAATGCTGATCAGAACTCGCAGGTGTCAACTTTTGCCAACAATCCCAAGGTTTTACAACTTCCAATGGATAGCCCAGAAGAGGAGGGCGAGTACACTGTTCGTGGGGAGAAGTCAACACGAACCCAGGCTCTACAAGAAGCCAACTCTGCTTCAACAACACCAAGGCAGTTTTATTCACCAATGCAGGTACCGGCAAGAATTGCTGGAGACAGCAATTCCATAGGGCTGGCATCCCCAAAAAGCCAGGTTGGGACGTAGAAAGTCTCTTCTGGTGCGCAAGGAGAGTTACCCAGAGATGAATTGCAGAGTCTTGAATATAGTGAGTCACAAAAGCAAGCCGAGGGCATTGGCACTGAAACCCCGGAACGACGACACTCTCGAGTTGTGTCTTTGCCTGCCGAAACACCAAAGACCGAAAGGCAGCGCACTGCATCTTCTCCCTGGTTCTCTGTCCCAAAGAGAAAACCAAGGGCATTGACACGTCCAAGCTTGTCAGCAGCAAACAATCCAGGGGGCGTCCGAGCCATGGCTGCCAAACTTGAAACCACTCATTCAACCGAGGCATCTCCAACAAAACCCAGAAGTGCAAGCAAAACCCAAGATCTCATATTACAATTTTCGCAAGAGTCACCGACGAAGAGTATCCGTTCGACAAGTTCCGTTTCAGCCTTGGGGAACAAACGGAATGCTTCAATTTCAAGCCAGGACCGGCGTTCTCGTTTACCGTCAGCAATAAACACCGTTCGAGATGGGGCTCTTGACCAGGATTTGCGAGTCTCAATCAGGGAAGAGGCAGCAATGAAGGCAGTTGAGCTTCAACAAGCTGATAAGGGGCAAAAGACAAGCTCCCATGAGCAACCGGAGATGTTAGCTCAACGGCAAACGATCCCTATGAGGAAGCCAGTTCCAGGAGTCAGGGGTAAAGAGGCATCATTAGAGAACCCAAGAAGTCTGGGAACAATGATGCCATACCCTGAACAACCCCCTATCGCTCAACACCTCAATCTTATGAGACCAGCATCCTCTGCATCGAATGCACAATACGGAACAGATTCGTCAGTTCCTCACATTTCAACTCCTTTTCAACGTCCTGGCAGTACAACTACTCTGCATACACAAATTCGAAGTCTCCAACGGCAACTAGACCTCAAGACAGAAGAAGCAGTCCAATTGAGGAGGCAGCTTGAGGTACAAGAAGATGCAGATGTTGGAACACTGAGTCAACAACTACGAGAAGCCAAAAGGGAGGCACAAACGTGGAGGGAAAGGGCAGAGAGTGCAGAACGAAGAATCAAGGTCTTTGAACGATTCACAGCACGACTGAAAGGGATACGAGAGGCTGTAGGAGTTGGTACGAGAGATGCCGACACAGACCTCACAGAAAATTACTCAGATGAAGGTGCAGATGGACAAAAAGAAAACACATTCTTGGAGAATGCAATGGGTTACGAGAGTGATAGTTCAGGGAGAACAGAAGATGCTGGGGTCGTCAAAGCTCGAATACGCCGTTGCCTCCATGGCTTGACCGATGGTCCTCCAGACAAACCATCGTTTGGACTCGACGACATCCAGAACACGGGTTTAGAGAGGCCAAAGCGGGATATCAGCCCGAGTACAGTCGAGGTCTGGATGGCGGCGCAGGAGTTGCTACATCTCGGTGAAGGTCAGGGCAAATGAGAGAAGACGAATAAATTGAGTTCCAGAACAACGTTGTGACGGTGTGGCAAATAGACGTGCGTCCAGGAACATTGGTGGTCTGGTCAAGATGTCAGGCTGTGCAAGGGTCTCGATCTGGAAAGGACCCTGGTGGCAAACTTCACTGTACCTTTTTGATTATGTATCAGATTAGAACATTTCAGTGGCAAGGGTGTCTGTGTATCAGAATATCACGGACTTGTCCAAGCAACTGCATTGGGCAACCTTTTGATTGTGAATGTCATGCTGCATAAGGTGATGACAGAATCCTGTTTCACAGGAGCTTTTGACCCGGTAAATCGATCACTTGAGGGATATTCCATGCTAAAGTCCTTTGCCACTGCAGATCAGGTGAATGGGAATATTGAAATCTCGATCTCTTTCGTATGCATTTTAACAGACACTGTGCTAAATATGGCATTTTGATATTCATGTGCCGAGACCATTGGAAAGCTGATTGGGCGTGTCGATCCCGCTTTTAGTTCCAACTTTGTGACTTGTCCTTGGGCAGGGATCTTCTATCTGACATCAAGGGATGACGATACGAACATAGAATGCTTGTATATACTTTTTGCGAGGTGTGTATGGCTGCAGAGAATGAGGAAAAAACATGCTATGGTCTCTCGTCAGATGCTCGCTTGATTCGCCACCTGCCTGCATCGTCTCGGTTCATTGACACATGAACACGCCCAATTCCTTCTAGTACAGAATCGAATAGGGCAGATTCTTCAGGGTCCTCTGGTTTAGAGTTCCTGTTGATCACGCCAGCGGGACGGTGGTCTGTCCCCGAGTGGCGGCGGGAGGACGTTGAAAATGCGGGGGACATGAGAGGTCCGTGTGAGAGGTATTGATCTTCTTGTGTCATCGGCGGAGACGGAAGCAGACTCGCGGAGGACATCGACGGCGGAGAATAAGCGAGGGGCGTATAAGGCTGAGCTGATGGTATGTAGGATTCTTGGGTGCTCTGTTGATCATAGGTCTGCGAGTTTGAATATTGTTGATTGGGTTGTGTACTGACGGAGGAGCGCCGAAACATTTCTACGGAATAAGTGCGAGACACTGTATCTTCTGGCGGTGATGGTAGGAGTGCACCTAGAGAAGGAGTTGGAGTCTGTGAGATGTGAGAAGGTCCAGATGGATAGAGCGGAGTGGAGGATCTTGATTGAATGTCCCGGCCAAGAATCATATCGGAGCTAGATGTTGCAAAAGATATTGCGGTGGTGGGTCTCGTCTGGCCATGTATCGAATGCGTATGAAGCTGCAATCTCTGTGCAGCGCTGTGTAAGGGTCTTGAAGATCTGATAGTCTCAGTCGAGGCTGAGTCAGGGGTTGCGATGGATATTCCATCTTGGTCGGTGGAATAAGCTTGTCGTTGTCGAGGGGGGGAAGTAACAGCGCCAGCTTTGGTAGGCGAGGTCCAGACCATAGCCACACGTGGGGTGTATGCCTGTGAGGACTGGTAAGGGCCATGATCTGGTTGACCCCGTCAATTGCCTGCAAAGATGGATTGATGCTTGTGTGTCGCCTGCACAACCGCGCTGTATAACCCGAAATCTACATGTGTTAGCTGTCATCCGGAAACGGCATAGTGGACCGAATCATGCTCTTCAACTGCCGAACATGTTGGGGAAACAAATTTGCATTTTGCGTGATGTTGCAACGTCGGTACGCAACAATGACGACAGAAAGACGAGCTTATCGACTTACCCACACCAGTCCCCAAATCCCGGGATGTCAAAACCTTGATCGACAGGTCCGGATTGACTTTTCCAATGACCTGCACAGTGTTACCATTTGTAAGATGGGCATCCTGTGAAGGTCGTCAGCTCAAGGTTGCAATGCATTCTGATGTCATGACACTGACACCAGATTTGATGCCAACTTACTCTGTTCAACAAGACGGTGACAGTGCCATCTGAGTCAAGAGTAGCTTGTTCACCCCGTAGCTGCGTAACCTTTCCCACGAGCATGACGACTTTGCCAACAAAATTGTCAAGATAGGCAGCAGTAATGCGCGGGGTTGAAAGTTGCTCAGACATGATCGTGTTTGGTTTTCGTCTGTGATCAAGTGAGAGAGATGAGGAGATGAAAGAGATAAGCGAGTAGACAGGGTTGCGTGTCTCAGATGCCTGGTTGATAGCAAGCAAGCGATGTTGGTGAGAGAGGTTGGACGATCAAACGCATGTGAAGCTGTTGGCGATAAATGCAGGAGGGGAAGCGCGTTGAGTTGACGCGTAATCACGTGATTTGAGCCTGTCACGTGATGTCTGGTGCGACTGCCATCACTGCCGTCACAACTATGAATGCTTTCTCCCAAGGATTCACCCGTGGAACGTGCTCAGCATCTCATAAACTTGTCAATTCCTCTTTAAAATTGCATCAGTCATCAATCCCCTTCGTCCTCAAAAATGAACGATATCGAGAGCCCCACTGTCTATGGACGCCTATTCGGACCCTTGCCCGATTCCTCCGATCAACCAGGTTGAACAAGTCCATTCCCATGATAAACCCGCTAGTCAAGCCAAGAGAAAGCCTCTACAGTAAAGAACAGCCCCGCTCCTCGAATCTGCCAAAGCCGACGCCTCAGCACATGCCGGAGTAAAAGCTCCGGAGATGATGAGCTGAGTTCGCCATTCACCAAAGAGCTGCAAAGGAATTGGAAAGGAAGCAATGTAGGACGCACAGTTTATCGATTGTCTAAACTGTGTCTTGGTGTTCGGCTCAATGCCGCGGTAAATACGGTTGTGACATGCGAAAGCTGATAAATTCGGCGACGACGACAAAGAACTTCAACTTATCCAGGAGTTCATGACCCCTGGAGTTATACGGTACCCCATATATTAAAATTTATCAGCTTGCAGCAAAGGCCACGCACCCGAGGTCGATCTTTACTCTGTGTGGGTTCCAAAATCCTGATCACATTTGTCGATCAGTTCAAGATATCTCTTGTCACAAGCACTGAGTCTTATGCGATGGATTTGCCGGACTCACTATACCATCACTGGAAGGACCCTGTGTGCGTCAGGAATGACTGTATACCTCACTGGTTTGCATTGCAAGAATCAACTCATAACCAGAAGACGTGGACAAGGTTCGTCATGATCTTCAGATATTGTTCCCAAGGGTGCTCAAGCTGTCAGGATTAAGCTACTGACTTGATGATGTCCGTCCTTATGATATCGAAGCTTCAGTCCACGGTTGACATGAATCTAGGTGGATACTGCAATCGTCTCGTTCGCTTCGCTTCGCTACTGAGTTTTGAGGATAGCGTCCATGTGTACAGTTCGTCTTGCACTGTCTTGCCAAGTGGGCCTTGACGATTAACCATCATTGATTGGTTGTTGAACATCGCGGACTCCAGGTCCGTTGCACCATGATTGGTTACACTCACCCATTCCAAAATTGAATATAGTATCTCCGCCGAAGGACCATTTGAATATCGAGGTACCATTCCTCACGGTTTGTGATTGGCGTGGTGGAGGATTTGGAGTCAAAGCACCTCTACCGCTTATGCTAGGCCTATCCTACCGCCTTTGGCTCAAAATTCCGAACGGGATGACGTTCTTTTTGACAGAAGGGACTTTTCCCTTATACAGCTGGTACTGCTCCTATGGTTATGATTCGTTCAGAGCAGAAGATGGTGGGTCAGGAAGACATTCCGGATCACTTATAACCTCAACGGCTCTGGTATCTGACGGTTTTGCATCCAGCACGTACTGGGTTACCGAAAATTGGCTTTGCACTGCGAATTGAAGTCAACGGACTTGATCCGGACATAACGTTATCAAGTCATTGCACACCTTGTTTTCTATCTTCACCCACAATCTTCTTATATATACTCCCAACCCTAGTCGCTGGATACATGGAACAACCAGCTACATCTTACCATAAACTGCAATCAGGTCCACTGATACACCATACCGGGGAATAAGTGACGCAAGACATTGTTGATAGTGGTCGCATCCGTTGTTGGCGTAATATAACATCCAAATCCTTTCACCAAGATTTGGATACGGCTGTTGCACGACTGTCGACAGCAACAACTTCTGACTTAACCATTCAACAACCAATATTTCTGACAAGTCTTGTCAACCGACTTTACCCAAAAGGTCAATTTGCCCCACCGTCTAGATCATATAGCTAGCTGTATAGGCGACGCCGAAACAAATTATTGGATCAAACGACCCCGGAAGCAGACAACAGGAACAAACAAACGACGAGGCAATTCGCCCCAGCGTCTAAAATTTAGTCGGAACACCTCCCTGCTACTTACCGAAACGCTTGTTCCCGGCCGTTCCATTTAGTTTATACTTGGGACTTAAGCCTCGGAATCGACTTATTCTATCATCGATCGGTGGTAAACTCCCATTCCTCGGTGAGGTCAGCCCGGCTACACTGGAGCACTCAAGGCACTGAGCTGTGCTGCACTACATTGCACCACCGGATTGGTTTCTCCATTGAGCTGGCACCTGCCTGGTTTTTCCATTCGCCCTGACGTCTTCACCTTTCCAACAGCAGAAGAGCAGCTACGCCTTTATTGTAACACGACCATCCCTCTATCACCCATTCCCTTTCGACATCGTGCTCCCGAGTATAGACTCTTCTTTCATCTTCTTTCTCTTGAACCATTTCCTTTCCTGGCCGCCGTTGGTCTCTGATGTTCTGGACCTTCTACACCCCCATCACCCAACCAATCCGGCTAAGCACCCCCTCCCTGTGCCCGCTCCAGATCTCCCGATCTCCAGAGTTGCACGCTCAATTCCCATCGGGCGAGCTCTTTGATCTCGACTTCGTCTCTCAGACGCGGCTCAACAGTCTGGTGCTGTTCTTTGATAGCCAGTGACAATCAGTCAGCTACATCAGCCTAGTTGGTGCCGTTGTAACCCCAGGTCCCACGCCTAAGAGTACAGCTCTCAACGTGGCTTGCAGGGCCAAGATGGACCGACCAAGCCAGGATTTTGGCGACCAAGCCCAGAACTTTCAAAACAACTTTCCCCTGACAACCGACGATGCCAATATTGATCCTTTGCTCGACTGCACAACGGGAGCTCAGATGCCCCCGATTGTTAGCAATCCCATGGACAACCAACTTCTCATGGGCTCTGCCATGTGGAGCCCGCTGAACAACCCCGTCAACTTCTACCCTCCCAGCATGCCAGCAATGGCACCAACAGCTTTGAGCAACAGTCCAAAAGCACCTACCGACACGCAATCAACCCCAAGAACTTCATCCACTGATTCCATGCTTGGCGGCCCAACACGGAAATCGAGCAAGTCGTCTATTCCTTCTGTCGATTCGGCCAATACCGACACCAAACCTCGGCGTAGCAGCAGAGCTACCAAGACACAACGCCAACAGCCACCGGCAGAACCTGCCACTAAGCCGCGTCGGCGAAGAGCTTCCAAGGAGCCATCACTCAAGGAGGAAGATGAGGACGAGGATGATGGGCTGGATGACTCAGGCAAACGCAGCAAGTTTCTTAAGCGCAACAGGATTGCAGCGTCGAAATGTCGTCAAAAGAAGAAGGAATGGGTTAATCAATTGCAGGATACCCGGGTTGGCTTGGAGAACGAAAATAATGCTCTACACAGGCAATACAACGGCCTCGTGGACGAGTTGAGCACCATCAAGAATCAACTCATGCAGCACGCATCTTGCAATGATGCCAACATCGACCAATGGCTAGACAATGAGGCAAAGAAGTTCGTTCAGCGAATTGCAGCGCAGAGCAGACAACCTCCCCCAGTCCCAGCATCCCATGGGCCTGGTGACTTTTACAGCACGCATCGTCGTAGCTCAAGTGGTAGGTGACCTGAACCTTGTTCAAGTACCATGAGTCCATGACTAACCATCATCTAGTAGCCACCTCTATACCGCGATCGATAGACTCAGATATCATTTACGACCACGTGCCGAACAACCTTGTTAATTCGAGATATTGAGTGCAAGTCGATCGGGATTGGAGAAGCTGTAATCTCGACCGCGAATGAAGTGGGTTGAGTTCAGAAGCCACGCTATTTTGACCCCAACTCCACACGAATACAACAGCCTTGCTATTGCGACTTTGAAATTCCTTCGGCTCGACAATGGAAGGCATCGACATGCTACATCCCGAGTCAAAGATGGATCAAAGCCCTCAGGGTTGCGATAAAGACGATGACGAAAAATAAAATGCAGGGCGGGATGGTCCAGTAGGAAGATATCCTTACAATACCTGGTTGCGGTTCCAGCAAAAGTACCATAATTGGCCGTCCCATACCAGGAAGAGGAGTTTTGGCGTATGACTATACTGAAAGGAGTTTGGCAAAAGGGGCATGGGCAAGGAGATGTTTTATGATTTGATGCTTTCACGATCATGATCTGATTTGTGCAGTTGAGATGTACGATTGCTAATCTGGGGGCGCCGACGAGTGTGAAGTTCTCGAGGCAGCTGGTTTGATTCATGCCCTTGGCCCATATTTGGTAAGGCCCGTAGGGGTAACCCAGGGTGAGAAGAATGAAAGGGAACATAGCTTCCTGTTACTATGACAGGATGACTCGAGGGCTTCCATGGGTGAGATACTGAGCTAGCACAAAGAAAAAGATTCAAACCTGAAGAAGGAAACGACATCCTGATGCTGAGCAAATGATCCGAGGCAATAGGCTTGTGATCAAAGAGACTCATGATCGAAATCATCGCTGGTTATCGTAAATGCCAGGGTTTACCGACATGGGGAAAGATCTGTATTCCTCAAGGACTCAAGATCTTGTCAAGGCAGAAAGTTTGGGCTCTCGATGTTATCAATGGTAAAGTTGAGTGGCAATATCAAGTTTGCCACGAGATTCAACCCCTTGATAGCCCCGAGCTTGAACAGATGTAGAAGTTGATCAACTTGACTCCGCATTTCATACCAATTAGAGCCATATTGTGAATGAGTGTTGCCACCGGAACGTCCGACTAAGAATTGAGGTTTATGATTGGTGGTGATACGTTGAAACAAGGACAGCGGCTACTGGTAGGAAATAATGCGGCTGAAGTCAATTACCGGAATAACGATAAATGCGTTGATTAGGTCACTGGTGAGAGCTTGAATGAGTTGAACGTAATTTATTTCTCTTGGTACTCGTATATAGAGACCCCCATTTTCTAAATGTACAGTAATATGATACACGCTCATCCATATCTCTACCTCCTCTTGGTCCATCCTCTCGAGTTGGAGATACCCCTGATGTTCTTGGTGTACTTCCAAAGGTGGCGGTACTTGGGTCCTTGTCGCTTGGCTTCCCATCCACGAGGCTTGACGGGAGGCTTGAGGCTGTACACACGTGTAGGTCTGAACTCGACATCTGATCCGGGGATGTTGTGGCGCGCCATGACGCTCGCGGTGTTTTCGTCCCAGACGCTACGGAACATGTTGAACCCGAAGGGTGTTGTGCCGAACTTGTCGCGGAAGGACTTGAGTGAGAAGCCATCTCGCTGGCTGTATAGTTCCTTGAGCTTGGCGACGTCGATCTTCTTGCCGGGTTGCTGCTCGAGGAGATAGATACCGAGACGGTGGTACGGGGCACCCTTTTGAGAGAATGCGGGGAGCCATGGTAGAGCAAGCTGGTCCTCGCCTTTTATCCTGCTCAGAGGTAGTGATGTCTCGGTAGGGCTGATGGGGATGTTGGCGGCGAGGAAGTGGCAGCGCTTGTTGAAGGTATCAGAGTCAGGGTTGGGAACATCAGAGTCGAGAACGACTACAGAGACGAGTCTCTCGCCCTTGTCGAAGACTTGAACTCGAAGACGGGGTGCGTTCTCGCTGACGACACTGTCGACGATCTGACCGGGAGGAATCTTGAGCTTGCGGAAGTATAGCTGGACATCGGCGGTAGGTTCGAGTTTGGGGAGAACGTCGGGGACGATGTTGAATTGCTTGATACGTTGGGTGATGAGACGTTGGTCGTAGGAGCGCCACTTGGCCTCGGCGTAGTGACGATAAATAGGCTTGTTCATGTCGCCTGGGTGCGTTAGTCACAGGCCCTGCCTGGTAATCGGGACAATGCTCACCTGTTCCATCTTCAAAACGCTTCTTGACAATAGGATCATTGGCATCCGCAAGAATCTTGAGTCTCTCGACATATTTGTGCAGACTCTTCAGTTTAATATCCTTCATCTTCTGTCCCCCCTTGATATCATCTGGACTCGTAGCTTCTAACCGAGAAATCTTCTCAAGCTCTTTGCTAATCTCTCCCAACTTCTCTTCACGATCTACAGCCAGAATCTTTCGAGCCTCTTGAAAAGCCTGGTACGGAAGATGTTCGAACGGCAGATCGCCCGTGCTCCGAATAGCCATTCGGCGTCGTCGGGATCCAATCGGCATCTTTCCAGACTTCATAAGCTCTTGCTCGAACTCGGGAAGCACGGTATTGGGATCGAGGTCTGCTGCGCTGGGCGTGGTCGTTTGAGTCTCGGCTGATCGTCGAATTGCGGCAGAGGTGAACGGTCGGACGACGCTGGGCCGCAGCTGCCGAGTGATTGGCCGCATAACGGCCTGGCAGCGCGACATGATGTGCAGCGGAGCGTAGGGCGGTAGACGTGGACGTTAAAGTGACGCTGGTGGTATCTCGAGATATGGAAAAATGCTGATGGTTTGCAGGTCTGGCCCCACTAAAAACTCGGGGATCGGAGGATGTTGCCGATCCACTTTTTTGCAGCATCGCATCACGGTTTTTGAAGCCTCGACACCAGATTCAGCGAACTACTGCCCTCGGTCACAGCAGAATCTCCCTATCCACGGCGACTAGGGAATTTGATATCATGGCTGGCAAGGGAATTGGGTGCTTGGCTGAGGCCATGGGTGCCCTGCGGGTGTCTGCCAAGGTATGTTGAAGAGACTGCAATTTGGATCATGCTAACAGATGAAGCCGGCGACTCTCAACAAAGCCTTCACAAGGTCAATGGCTACAGAAGTCTCTCCAAAGGACATTACAGAGACTAAATCTCCCAATACCCCTCAAGGCATTCTCGAATCATGGAAGCCCAGTACGACTCCCGTCAACCGGCAATAACCTCACTGACAATTGCAGTCACAACCGTTCCCGTCACAATCCACGCCTTTCCCTCGTTGGAACCGACAGCTCTCGAACGATGGTCCGTCAATCACCTATACCTCCCTCTCCGCCGCGATCTCCTCCATCTTGCTGTCGTCTACGAAGGTGACAACACCCGCCAAGGAACCGCCTCATCCAAAACCCGTTACGAAGTCCACGGCTCCCACCGAAAGATGCGTCCTCAAAAGGGAACTGGCCGTGCTCGTCTAGGAACCAAGCAAAGTCCTGTCCTCCGTGGTGGTGGAAAGACATTCGGTCCTCATCCCCGCGATTTTGGCACCAGCCTTACCCGAAAGGTGTACGACAAGGCATGGCGCACAGCTCTGAGCTACCGTTACCGGAAGGGTGATTTGATTGTGTGTGAGGATGGCATGGATCTTGTGTTGCCGACTGATTACGAGCTCGTTGCTGGAAAGTATCTCAAGGATGGACTGAAGGAGGCGTATCTCAAGCGGTACATGACTGGAGTGCTGGGAAACCTTGGTCTAGGCCGTGCCAGCGGTCGAACTCTCTTCGTCACTGGAAACCGACGTGAGGCTCTTTTCGGCGCCATGGAGCAGCTTCCTTGGGAGGGTCGAGCACTAGACCTAGCGGATGTTGATGTCAAGGACCTTTTGGAGACAGGCAAGGTGGTTTTGGAGCGAAGTGTGCTGAAGGAGATGGTCAAGAAGCACCAGAGCGATCTGGTGAGCAGAGTTGTCATGCAAGGCCTGGTCAAGGGAGGACCTAAGACAGGGACACCAGTGATTGGAGCATGAGCGTGTAAAGTAACCTGTATTATTTTGTATACAATCACAACGCATTGCATTGATCAGCGGAACCCTCTGAAAACTAATCATCTCAAGTTTCGAATCGTTGCTCGGGTATCATTAGATTCGGTTTATCTATGAGTACACTATTATACAGACTGTACAGTATCACAATGCTCCGCCAACAAGCGAAACAATCCACATGGCAACTCTAACTTTGAGTCCAACTCTTCGTTCAGTGCGAGCAAAGTCATCTCGTGTTGCTTTGGTAGCATGTTCCTGCAACCATAACTGCTCCTCTCCAAGCCTCCCCTTCAGCCCCTCATCGCGAGTGACGATCAAAGCACCAGCTTCGAGATCATGCGAGTAGCTTCGTTTAGTATAGTTGGAACTTCCAATAATACTCATAGCTGGATTTTTGTCACCTGGCATTGTCACCCAGAGTCCCTTGGCGTGATATGTCCATCCGCCAGGTTGACCAACGACACCATAACGCCATTCCTTCAAGGTGATATCGTCATCTCGGCCTTGGTGATGTACACGATGGACGAAACGACGGGCGAGGAGAGTGTAGGCATCAGGAAGGAGACCTGAGACACCTTTTGACTTGTAGAAACCGTTTGCTTCAGGGGAAGCTGTGATGACAGTGTTTGAGGTAGACGCAGTGTTGAGAAGGAGTTTTGTCAGAGAGGGAGCGGGATTAAAGTAACCTGCTGTAAAGGTCCATGAAGACTCGCGGTATGCGGGCAAGGCGAGAGTTTTGAGGATATGTGTAATGACGGGGAGTTCAGTTGAAGTATCGGGTTTCATGACCTGGGACATCTGACCAAGCATGTAAACTCTTGTATCAGAAATGTCATTCCCAGGCTTTGATGTCGGATGCAACAGAGTCTGTAATGTTGATGTAGTGCTCTTTATGAATGACTGGGGTTTCTCTAGTGGTGAAGGAGCAGAGTTGTTCTCTGGCCATGAGAGTGTGAAACCCGCTGGCTCATTTGAAGGTTGAACCAAGAAGCTAAAAGACGTAACCCCTGAATGGATCTTCCAAAAGTGATCAGTCACCTCCTTTGAGGCAAAAAGATGATATCGATCTTGACGGTTGGTAAAGTAGTCAGTCGACAAGTTTGCCCTGAAAAGTCAGTACTTCTTCCATAACCAGTCTTCTTGACATACCCAGACATGATGATCTCATCATCAACACCATAAAGCTTCATATGCTGAAGTCCCCAGCCCTCGTTTATCCTCTTAGGAATATACTGTTTCCTCAACCCAGTGAGGTTCGGCGTGTGGTACATACGAATTTCCACACGGTCTGCTCCAAACTCCTCGACCAGGGGTGCCAGTAACGATGCACTCGATGGATTAGGCGCCTCTCTCGTTCCTCGCAACGCATCCGTAAGAATACTCAATTTCACATGCGGATTCTTCCTCAACGCCTCCTGCAGCGTTTCAATAAGTTCCTTCTCCGATTTTCCAATGTACAACGTCGATAAGAAGATCCGTCTTTGTGCTTTTCGTATCCGATCCTAAACCCATCAGCCCTGTCGTTTTCGTATCGATGGTAGTCGAACCTTTAACGTTTCGTAAAACTCGGCTGGTGTACGAATAATCTGAATCTGTTCCCCTCGAACATCGAAACTCGGTGCCAATCGATCCAGTTCGGTAACGAAAGGAGCCAAAGCTCCAACACTATTCACAGAACTTGGAGGAGTGTTTCCAGCTGGCATCGCATACTGTCTGGTCTGAACCCGTGCGCTTGGAACTCTAGGCCTGAAGCTTGCGGCACGTAGCCTCGTAGTGCATCGCGCACAGCTCCGAGTGAGCATCTCGAATTAAAGCTCGTTCTAATAAAAGTGCTTGTATCCGTGAATCGCTAGAATTTCTGGTGTAAAGCTTGAGGTACGTACCTATGCCGTCACGAACTTGATTTGCCGAGGTTGATCCGCGGCAATCTTCAAACCACCCATCATTGACGAGCTATCAACAACCATCCAGCTGAGGTCAATTGTCGCTCAACCCCCATCATGTCGACGATCTCACGAACATTGTCCAACCTGCGAAAGGTTGGAATCAAGGTATGTCTGTGACCAACCGTCAATGAGCCAATGCTAACTTGTGTAGGACTACTTTGTCCAGATGCTGGTATGTACCTGACCGAACGATCCTCGACTATGGCTAACGACGCCTGCTTCTCGCGAATAGTACATCGGTACGCTTCCTCGATTATCCGCCGAATCATCCACTGACGTCCGTAGGTGACACCAAGGCTGGTCGTCTGATTGGCACCGATCGCGCCGGCAACAAGTTCTTCGAGAACAACGAGGAACTCCCCCTCCGAACACGCTGGGTCGAATACGCCAAGCACGATTACGACGCCGCTCACATTGAGCCCGGATGGCACGCCTGGATCAGCTACAGCGTCGATAAGCCTCCTACCGAGGATCCTCTACTACAAGCTGGTGTCCGAGCCTTTGAGCCGTCACGCGCCCTTCCCAACTTTACCCAAACCCGTGGCGCTTTCAAGACTTACAACACGTATGTTTCGCATTTCGTAAGAAGGAAAATTCTGACCGTTTTAGTTCCAAGTCCAAGATCTCGGCATGGGAACCTGTGGCTGCGCCTCGGGCATGAGGATGACTGGTTAAGTGTACATAAATTCGCGTAGAGGTTGCAATCAAGAACCCCAAAAGGGGTTGAATTCAGATGAGCTGCTAGATTCTATAGCTAAAACATGGCATAAGATCTAGAAAATGTGCACTCTATGGTCTTTCATGATCCTTCTCTTATACGAACTACATAAGAAATCCTCACGATCTACGACTTTGCTTCAATTGCAGATTTGATAGCTAAATGGTCAGCTGAGTTTGGAAATTGGACAGAATACTTACCTTCACATGTCACTCTAGCATCTCCAAACAACATCTTTGCGTTGGGCATGTAAAACATGGGGTTTGGAACATCAGCTGCCCTTGTTAGCTGCATTCGAATAGGGGACGGGTGACTTACCATAACCACTGGCCATGCCTCTCTTCATGACGACAACCTGCTTGGCTTTCCAGGCATGCAACACAGGCATGCCCTCAATAGAGCTGCCCTTTTCCAGAGCAATAGGGTTGACGGTATCGTTAGCACCAATGACAACAGCCAGATCAGTCTCGGGGAAGTCATCGTTGATCTCGTCCATTTCCAGGACGATATCGTATGGAACGCTGGCTTCAGCGAGAAGAACGTTGCACTGACCAGGCATGCGACCTGCGACAGGGTGAATGGCGAAACGGACAGTAATACCCTTGGATCGAAGAGTTTGAACAATGCTCGAGATGGCGTATTGAGCCTTTGCAACGGCCATACCATAACCAACAATCAGAATGACCTTTTCAGAGTTGAGAAGTGCATCAGCGAGGTCATCTACAGAAGTCTGAGTAACTTCTCCTTGAGGTTTAAACTCTTGTACTGCAGTTGGTGTGCCCAAACCTCCGAATAGAACGTTTGTCAGGGATCTGTTCATAGCAACGCACATGATGTACGATAGAATTGAACCGGATACACCAATCAGGGCTCCAACAGTGGTAAGAAGAGGGTTCTCAAGCATGAAACCCTCGGCAACAAGAGCGAAACCACTGTATGCGTTCAACACAGTGATGACGACGGGCATATCAGCACCTCCAATCGCAGATGTGGTGGTGTATCCCTTGATGAAGCTCAAGACGGTGCTTCCAGCAAGTGCTCCAGCTGCAATCAAGGGGCTCCCTGGGGCCATTGTGATGAAAGCTCCCATGGTGGCTGCGTTGGTTGCGAGTAATCCCGAGTTGATGATGTGTCGTCCAGGCAAAATCTTTGGCTTAGATGTCATCTTGCCAGCAAGTTTAAGGAATGCAACAATAGATCCAGTAAATGTGATACCACCAATAAAGACACCTAGGTAGGCCGTGACGAGGTGAAGAGTTGAAGGGTCCATGACATCTGCCATGACACTACCGATACTAGTCAAGACAGCAGCGAGACCAACCACGGAGTGAAGAGCGGCAACAGTCTGAGGGAGATCGGTGGGAGTGATTCGCTTTCCAATAAGCATACCAGCGATGGTACCAAGGGCAGCGAGGCCACCAAACTGAGTGAGGACTTCAGGGGTAAAGCCAGCAGCGAGCAAACTGGCCAAGACACCTGTACCAACACCAAGAATACCAAGAGCATTACCCATGCGAGCAGTTGCTTGAGAAGCAAGACTGGAGATGGAACCAATGCAGAGAACAGAGCTGACGAGATAACCGGCTTGAACGAGACCAGCAGCACCAGTTGATGCAGCAGCCACGAATCCACCACCGCAAACAACGGCAGGAATTGCGTAGAGCCAGGGGTACTCAGGGGGGTCAGTAGGTCCTGTTTACGTTAGCTAGGTCGAGTCAGAGATCAATAACTCACGCTTGAACATATCCAGCATACGCTTAGTGATCACGAAACCACCACCAACATTAACAAAAGCCAGTAAAACACTCAGGGCACCAAAAGCTTGAGGAATAGTCTCAGGCAGAAATCCACCACCAAGGATGAACAAACCGCCAATACCGACCATACCGGATATGGCGTTGGTTACACTCATTAGAGGAGAGTGAAGCGCAGGAGCAACACCCCAGACCGCACGATATCCAATAAGACTAGCCAGAGCAAAGGTGAACGCATTCGACATGAGAAGAGGGCTGGTCCATTTTCCAAGAGCCAAGATACTACCCATACCGGCGGTGACAGCAGCAACTTCACGAGTCTTCTTTTGCCAGGGAGTCAGAGCTACAGGTTCAGGGGTTACGTCGGTTGTCTCGGCCTTTACGGGTGGAGGAGGAGGTGCTGCTCGAGGAGCCGGTGGCAGAATATCTCCTTCTTGGGTAACAATTGCACCTCGAACGACTTCATCTGACAGATCAATACCGAAAGCATTGGGTTCAGGGGCCATTGAGAGCAGAAACTTGGTGATGTTGTTGGAGTAGAGGGTCGAGGACTGAGTTGGCAGACGAGATGGGAGATCAGTGTATCCTAGAAATGTCAGCAGATTCTTCATGCATGGGGTGTTTACATACCAATAATCTTGACATCGTTGTAGATGGCCAATTCACCCTTCTTGGTAGCTTCACAGTTGCCTCCAGCTTCAGCAGCCAAATCGACAATGACACTTCCAGGTTTCATAACATCGAGAATATCGTTCTTGAGGAGTTTCGGGGCAGGCTTTCCGGGGATCAATGCAGTGGTGATGATGATGTCGACTTCCTTGGCTTGTTCTTTAAACAGCTTCATTTCAGCTTCGATAAATTCCTTGCTCATTTCCTTAGCATATCCACCAGCACCAGATCCATCTTCTTCAAGTTCAACTTCGATGAATTCGGCGCCGAGAGATTGAACCTGTTCGCGCGCAGCAGGTCGAGTATCGAAACCACGGACAATGGCACCCATACGACGAGCAGTAGCAATAGCACTCAAGCCAGCAACGCCAGCACCAATAACCAAAACCTTGCAAGGAGGAATCTTTCCAGCAGCAGTAACTTGGCCAGTGAGGAATCTACCAAAGACATTGGACGCTTCGAGAACAGCTTTGTAACCGGCAATGTTGGCCATACTGCTGAGGGCATCAAAGACTTGAGCTCGAGAGATACGGGGAATCATGTCCATGGCGAAACTGGTAGCTTTTCTAGCAGCAATCTTTTCGACGAGTTCTTTGTTCTGAGCAGGCTGGAGGAATGAAATGATGGTTTGGCCTTCTTTCATGGATTCAACTTCTCCAAGGCCAGGGCCGCGAACTTTGAGAACAATGTCTGAGTTGGACCAGACTTCCTTGGGACCATTGACAAGAGTTGCGCCAGCTTTTTCGTAAGCAGCATCGAGAAAATCAGCAGATGTACCAGCACCACGTTCAACTAGAACCTGCTTGAAGCCCTTCTTCTTGAGGAGTGCAACATTGGCAGGCGTAAGAGCTACACGGCGCTCTCCAGGGAAGATCTCGGTTGGAACACCAACAACAAGATGATCATAGGGGGTTGTCTTGGGAAGAACAACGGTAGAATATTTGCGAGGAGGTGTAGAGGCATGGCGAATCAATGCGAGAGGCTCGGAGATGTCTGCGATAAGAGCATATTGTCGAGGTGAAGCTTTAAAGGTGCTGTGCCATTGCTTGCGACGAGAGAGGACATCTAGAGCTTATTAGCTCGAAGAGCTTCAATCGTCGACAAAACTTACCTTGGACTCGATATCCCTTCAATTGCTTCTGTATAAAGAAGGACGAGGCGCACAGCTCGGAAGCTGATGCCGGAACCACGGACGAGGCCAGCGGACGAAGCATTTGGGATGCCATGATTAAAGAATCATGAGAGCGATTGCGAGACCGGAACGAGTGGATCGCTTAGCTCCGTCACCTCAAGTGCCGAACTCTTAAGAGTCTTGTGTATCCAAAAGCGACAAAACAGTAAAACGTGAGAAGTCCAAAAGAGAGGGAATAAAAAACAAGAGACAAAACAATCGAGGGATTACGTTATTGTCTCTGTGTCATGTGTTGTCGGGTATCCCCCCATTCCTCCAGCTCCCGCAGGCCCTGGAGCTTGGACCTGAAGAGTTCTCCCGGGGTTCTATTAGCCGCCCCGGGAAGAGGGGCTTGGTCCACTGATGCCGCTAAAACCTGGGGGAGGGGCCGCAGCTGCGGAGAAGCATCAAACGATGCAGGGATTCATCGAATCATGACATTCTTTGCCAGCGGGAGCTTCGGGGGAATTTAAATAGCGACATGTTATGCATCCAGTCAGATGAGTTTGTGACTACGGACCTGCCTGATGAGTCTTGCCGAGACGCTTGGCTCCAAATGCAGATGGTTTCCCCTCCTCGGATGTTGAAATCCGGGCGTGAAACGGTTAAAGATGGGCCGAGATCATGATGTATGATGTATTTGACGTGGGGTACATTTCATGTGGCTTATTTATCGGTAGTAGCTGGGCCAGTATTGCCAGGAGAGAAGAATGCATCGTCATTTGCTGCGAACTGAAGATCTCAAGATGCTTGGTGTACTTGTCGTACAGGACTCGGTCTATACGGTTGCACCCAGGCCGTTGAGAAGAAGCTACTACGACCATAGAGATAGGATCCTGAGTCCTGTCACACAAGATCTCTTGTTGCTCAAGAAACATCCCCTGTAGACGGCGACCACGGTCGGCTCAAAAGTCAGCTCATCAGTTAACGAAACCCAGTCCAGTTCGTATCTTGTCACTCATTTTCTGATATGAAAGACTATTTTCAGCGCGGTTTGAAACCTTTCGCAGCTCCTCCCAAAACTATATGCCTCACGCAGATGAGAATAGAGCTAACTGATGAAGCACCAAGTAACGAGAAGCGTCCGCGTGTATGAGTACAATTCTCTTCAGAATGGGTTATTCGGCAGTTGATCGATTTTCTTCACAGTTAAGACCGAATATAGAATCAGAATGACTGACTTCCAGACCGAACATTCATGATGTCTTGTAGCTACAAACTGAAGAGGCGCAAGTATTGCATTGACTTGACTAAAGAACCATGCTTGCTTATATACCACTGCCCTGTGAAGCTCGGCAAGATATGAAGATCCATGGATCTTCAGAGGCCCTCCAGGGTAGTGCTTCACATGTACATTGCCAAGGAGAGGTTCTCGATCAAGATCGCCCAGGTTCCCGATCTCTTTGACACGGTATATTGTGAAGCGACAGGCACATTCAATAGGATCGGTCAATGGGAAGATTGTCCACCCAATTACTATTTTGAATGCTAACGTGCTGAGAACTGAGGCGAGTGAGATGAACATTTCCACTGGGAGAACTTGATGACGGCTTGGACGGTTCACGCCCAATAAAGGCACAGTGACCAAAAAGATCATGCAAGTGCTCTTATTCATTGTATCAGTCTGTATAATATTGTACCTTTACTCTCAGCTGTAATCCCACATGTTCCGCGGTGAGCCCAAGAATGGTGTCTTTAGATGAGGGCTCATCGTATCCACGATGCTCCTAGAACAAGAAAATGAAGAAAACCATTTTTCACTTTTTATTCTCAATATTTACTTAGTGTAGGAAAGGTTACTTATTCCTCACATCTGCTTTGCTTCATTCTCGAGTCGTTGTAATGCACCGTTTTCATTAGGATCAGGAGATGCTATATTGCTGAAAGACTTGAAACCCTACCTTTTTCTCTCATTTTATAATAAGTGAGTGAATACCTGGTTGCATGGATTGACATCTGATAACAGTTCTACTAAGCGTCGTAGTACATAGTTCCCCATTAAGCCTAACGCCGGTGTAATGGTGTGGATCTCAACACCAAAAATGGTCTTGTAATTTAATCACGAGAGCCTCTTCCACATGACCCTAAATCACCCAACTCTCACAATGAGAATCTTATAACAAATTTTCTCTCGTCATCAATAAATCCAACGGAACCAGAATCAACATGCCTCGGAAAGCCCCTATTCATCACTTCTCATACCGCTCCCTAATCATCCCACCAATCCTCCTAGCCGCAGCAACCATTGTCGCTCTCTTCCTCCACTCAGACGTCAACTTTGCTCTTCTCTGGTCCCAATGCCACTCTCACGCTCGTCTTCCCGGTGTTAGTCGCATTCCAGGTCTCGGTACGCCTCTATGCTACCTCATCAGCTTCTTCCGCGCCGCGCTTCACTCACTACGCAGTCGCGCTGTTATGGGCGTTGTACTGGCCTTTATCGGCGGTCTTTTGACAGTGAGCACCGTTGAATCAGCGCGTATTTGTAACGCGCCGAATGTTCTCATCGCCTATCCTACTGGTCCGTGGTTGGTGTTTGATCTTGTGGGCGGTGCTGTTGTTTGGGAGCTTGTTATTATTCCTGCGTTTCTGCATCGCGCAAGAAGTGTTTTGAATGCACAGAGGAGAGATGACGGTGGTGATGTCCATCAGATCTTTACGAGTCGTCATCTCCCTGATAGTGAGCTCGTGGCTATTCCTATCAGTGTGGCCCTTGGTTACTTTCTTCCGTCTTTTCTTATGCTGTTCTATACAACTCCCGAGACGATTGGCATCTGGCTCTTCTTTCCGATCTATGTCGAAGTCATTCGCCAAATCATTCGTCACACTATCTTCGCTCTGAGGAGAGTTGACCCAACCCTCGTCCATCTCGCATCGAATCGATGGTCTCTGCTGTTTGTTTACATGCTGCCCATCGTCTGCTCGATTCTAGCGCATGTTTCTTTCATCTGGAGCTTGACTCGACCTGACGACCGCAAAGAAATGACGAGATCAATCATTGTCTTTATTGAAGTCAACGCCCAGTTCATCTTCTGGACCGTTCTGTACTGGATGTTGGTGGAGGTTGGGTGGCGGGTTCCTTTGGCAACAATCATCACTTCCATTGTGGTTGGACCTGGTGCTGGAACGTGCGTTGGATGGATATACCGAGAGAAGCTCATTCATCACGACAATGAGGAAGACAATGGAGATGAGAATGCTGCTCAACCAGACGAGGAAACTCCTCTGTTGCAATGATTTGATACCCTGACGTTACTTTTATAGTCCTAATTCCCAACATAGACATGCTTCATGACTGATCAATAGACTCGAGTATCTTTACAGAGCTTTGCAATAGTCATGTACAGGTTTTCTTATGATACAGATATGATACAGATTAATCTACTCACCATGCTCTCAATCCTGTAGTCTTGAGAGTATCCTCTCTCTGATAACCTGCGATGCCACTACTGCTCCATGCTGCAATGTGACGGCACCAATAATGGCCATGATGGCACCGTTGAGCACAACGTCGGCACCTGAAGCTCTGAGCTTTTGCACCTATTGCACGTTAGTCGAGTTACCGCGGACAGCAGATATATGTACCTGTTTGGGCTTCCACCGCACAACATCGATTAATCCCACTTCAGCTGCCAAGCCAGATAGTCTCTCCTTGCCGACAACGTCCTTGGGTCCCTTGATGGAAAGATTGTCTACTGTTTGCAGATTTGGATGCATGAATGGCTGGCGGTCAAATCCGTCGTCGAACTTGGGTGCTCCCATTGGATCTTGGGCAACAATTGTCTTTGTCGTCTCCATGACAAGAGTCATTCGTCCTGGTAGAGTCAGTATTGACCAACATCCCTCGTGTTCCACCAACCTAGAAGCGCCAATCGGTCGTTGAATCCTCTTCTTCCCTGATCAAAGCTCTTATGCGTAACAGCCAGCCACTTGAGCTCCTCGGGCAGAAGTTTGCTGCCACCAGGGCCCAGTAGACGCTCGTACACCTCGTCCAACTTCTGGGGATCGTTGTTGACAGTCCAGACCTTGTTCTGAGGATTCTTTGCCCAGTCGAGTTGCAGAGGCGCTTTCATGGCAGCAGGCGTCTGGCTCCATCGTGGCACGAGACCAGAGGAAGAAGGGCTCTTGGTCTTGAAGGATTCGGGTGTCGAGTCGGTAGCGTAGGTGCGCACGCAAGGCATGAGGGTTCGGGCGGCATGTCTACTCCGCCAGAGGCTGGAGCGGCAGGGTTGGAGGGCCATGGTGATGAATGGGAACGAGCCGGACTGGGGGTCGAGGCGACTTGCGATCTAATGTTCACTTGATCATCGAGATGGGGCTAAATGTGAAGCTTGGCCGCGAACATTTTCTCAAGGTCACGTGGAGGGAAGTGACACCGCTGTTGCCCCACTCTTGTCAACACCAAGTTTACATCGAGATGAATGATACGGAGCTTCACTTTTTTTCCTGCTAGGACCAACATCATCGCTAGGCTACGCGCCACTTTATCTCTTGTCAAAAACATTACGATAGAAATGATCAAGCCAGTCTCAAAGCAAATAACTTCCATCGTATAGTCAGGTAGTAAAAGTAACCAGAGGAATACAGGTTCAGGCCGAATATTCCCGCCTAAATCAGATTTTCAGTGCGGGAGCTCCTCCGCACTTACTCCTCGTCCTTGATCGTCTTCACCTCATCTTCTCCGTCCCCCTCTCCGTCCTCCTCCGTCTCTATCACCTCGTCCTGGTCAAAGCCGCCGGGGTATCCAACACACACTCGCATAGGAAATGCGACAGTCGCAACGTGGTAATCAAATCCCCTGTGATGCCCATAAAACACCAGCATAGGCGACACAACCAGATCGACAGGCCGACCTTCGTCTGTAGCATCGTCGTAGTCAATTGAATTCATCACCTGTCCGTTGAATCCCTCGACTTGGGCCGAAAATGGAAATCCATATGCCCCCTTGGTCTTGGGATCATGAAAGACATGCCGAATTGTAAAGCGACCATAGTCGAACATGAGCTCGAAATTGACAACCTTTTTGGTGAGATTTGAGAGCGTCTCTTTACAGAAGGGGTCAGGATTCTCAGGGAAGTGTTGGCCAAGCGCTTTCTTCAGGATCTTGACCACGCAGTCCGGCTCAATCCTATTTTCGGATCCGTGCACTTCCCCGAGGGAGAAATAGAACTCGAATGTGGTGTATCGCCAGTTGGGGTACTGGAAAGTCTGGGGGTTTCGGTCGTAATTGAAGTTTTTCTCTAGGGCCAAGGTCAGTCCCACGAATCAAGGGATTCTTTCATCTTTCTTACCCCGTAAGATGCGCTCCATCGTGGCTTGAGCTTCCCAATATGGCGACGTCCACTCAATGTCCTGACTCTTTCTAGAGAAAAAGTTCTCATCTATGATCTCCCAGATCCAACGTACAAACATATACTGAGATATGCGAGTTGTCTCAAAGAGCTGTTGGGCATGAGGCGAATAGGCAATGAACTTTTGCCGAGCGGCTTCATCAAGACTGTCCCAGGGGAGGCCCCTGAAACCAGCTACCTCCGCGAATTTCATGATGCAACCATGAAGGGAGTCCCACGTCCAGAAAATCTCAATTTGTTGCTGCCCCAAACCTATTATCCGCTGAAGAGCCATCTGGAAGTCTCCAAGACCCTCCTCCAGTTTCTCAGCCGTCTGCTGTGCTTCGTTCAGCTCTGGATCGTTTGGGGATGCATCATCCAGCGATGACTTTGAAAACGTCAGTTCTGAAACGAATATAGACGGCTGTAAAGTGGCTACTCACCCCGTCGACTCCTGGGTCCGACGGTTCTACCATGGCGCTTCCCCCAGTCTTTTTGTTTTTCTCTGGAACGACCTTTTCCTGATTCTTTGACGTTTTTGCGATCTTGGTGACTTTGTCTTGGTCAGGTTGACTGCAAGACTCCAGTCGCTTGGATCTTCGAAGGCCAGCCATGTTCTGAAAAGGAAGAAAGACGCGATTGCCGCTATCTGAGAAATTGGAGGGAGGGGGGATTGTTTTGAAAGCTACCGATTTCGAAAATGCGAGCAGCCTTTCACATTATGTACTCATCCTTGTCTAAAGTTGATTGCCTTCCGGGGGGAAAAATACACCAGACTGGCTTACACCAAAATCCAGTCGCTTGTTTTCTTCCTCCCTAGATTACCAAAGCCAGACCACCTATGTCATCCCCGCAACACATGACCACAAGAGTACAGCACCAATCACCACAGACTGTCAGATAAAGGAGTGAGTTTCTATGTATGACAAGCGGGTAAGCCGTCCGTGTGTGGCTGGACAAACAACGCCTCTGCTGGGATAGTTTCGGCTCTGTTGATCGTCTGCTGTATGGACGAGAGGCAACCAGAGACTAGCATCAGCTGGATTAGAGAGGTGAGCAACAAGCTTGTCGATGAATCTTTCACTTTTCATTTTATTTTTGTAATTATACTAAAAGGGGGTGATGGGACTTGTTTCGTTATTGGTGGCATCTTAGACAAAGAAACGCCAACTCTCTATTCATACAGCCCGTGCCTCCCGGATGATGGCCTTTCCCCTTCGCAATATCACATATGCCGTCTCTCATTGGCTTGATTGTCTTGTTTTGAACCGTGTAGCTCAGGACATGTAACTGAGCTAATGTAGCTTCCAGCCGTGAGGTGGGTATCCAAGCAAGTTTCCGTTAAAGATGCCCTCACGAGTGGCTGTTTTGGAATACGCTGACCAGCCAAGTCTCCTTTTTCTCTCTGCCTTGTATCACAACGGAAACTATTGGGATTGACCGACATTTCGTTCTATTGATACCTTGTAATGGTCCCTTCGATGCGTGACTAGTCATATCGTTGCCTATCGTATCTTCAGTCCTGCCGTGCACAGCAGGGCAAAATGTCTAGATTACGATGTATCGGATAAGTCATACATGGGCTGTACTGCCCGCCAGGCTTCTGTTCCTGGGGTACTCATAAGGCCGGTGTTACTTAAGCTCCCTCATCTCCTGCCGCGTCAAACGCTGGAGCTTTTCATCCAGCTTTACTTTTTCAGACTTGTTGATGTTCTTCATAAAGCTAATTTCTACTTGTATTTATTGAAGAGTCATAGAGATATGGCTCTTCAAAGATTTTACCCGAATCCGGGAGTAAAACCCGCGTCATTGTCGGTTTAGACTTCGGAACGACGTAAGTTTCATGGGTGTTATACCACACAACTTTTAACACTCACTTACTCACTCGACTCTGTAGGTTTTCTGGAATCTCATATGCGGAATTGACCGAAGAACTGAACCGACCAGTCTCCTTCTCATGGACAGTTTCCAACAACCACATGTACAAAGTCCCGACCACAATTGAGGTTTCTGGTTTGAATCTCGAATGGTTCAAGCTTAGCCTGCTACATCGTGATGACCTACCATCGGATGTACGAAACTCACCCAAGTTTATTGAATTAAACAATAGCCGGGAAGCTATGAGTATTACAGCCATCAACGCTACAGCGCAGTACATTAGCAAGATTTGGGAAGTCTTCTATGACGATCTTCAAAAAGTGATCCCCGACCCTTATATCCAGATAACAGTCACTGTTCCTGTTGTTTGGCCTAGCCATGCTCGTCAAATGATGCATAAAGCCCTCCATGAAGCAGGTATCCTCAATAAGAAAGTGGAGCTAGCTCCCAAGTTTGTTGCAGAGCCAGAGGCTGCGGCTCTGGCATTCTTTTCCGCAGCATACTACCTACAACAGCCACAAGTAAGAGGAACTTTCCATGCTCGCAGTTATCCGTTTATGCCTAACACGCTCCCAGAGCTCCATCCTTGAACCTGGACAGATTCTCATCGTTTGCGACTGTGGCGGCGGTACCGTTGTAAGTTTTCCGTCACCCTAAGCTTTCTTGTTTGGTGCTCATCCACCCTCAAGGACACGGCCTCCTATGAAATAAGCTCCGTTCACCCCTTCCGTGTGAAGGAGGTACTTCCAGGGCAATGTATCCTTGCCGGGGTGTGCCTCCTAGACGATGCGTTTATGCAACTTCTAAAGGACAAGGTCGAGAAGATGACCTCCCCCCGGGCGTTCCAGGCCCTGACAGAGAGTGATTTTCACCGTATAGTCTATAATCACTGGGAACTGGACATGAAGGTGTACTTTAGTGACAGTTACCCGACCAAGCATATCGACCTGCCTACTAAATGGGCTGCGAGCCGCCAGAAAAGAATGCCCGTTGGCCAAGAAGTCGATATCACTTTCACCCAGTAAGTGACTGAGACTCGAGTGATGTCTTATGGGCTGCAACAGACATACATCATGCTAACGGTGAATTCAGGTGTGAACTTGCTTCGATCTTTGACCCTATCGTGGGAAAGATCATAAGCCTGATTGAAATGGAGGTGAACAAAGTCTCCATCTCCCCATCGAAGGATGTGTCGGTGAGTGAAATGCCTGCAAAGCCCGTATTGAGCGACGCCCACTAACATGATGATCACCAGCACCTCATTGTGGCTGGAGGTTTCGGCCAGAATGCCTACCTGCGACAAAAGATTACGCAGACAGTCAACAGAGTGTCTCCCACCACTAACATCCTCGACTATCCAAACAGAAAAGGGTAACTCTCCCACCCTGCCTTAAACTCAGAATAACTGACCGTGCCATGAAGGTGGAATGCAGTGTCCCAGGGAGCCGTTATCCAGGCTCTCCAAGCGCAGACGAATCAGCAACCGGTCCTGGTAACCTCTAGAATCGCACGGGCGAGCTGGGGAGTGCGTGCTAGCGACGGCAACTCAGTCTTCTGGCTTGTTCGTGAAGTTAGTATTTCTTTCAGGTGCATGCTATTAATATGTCACTAACAATCCTTCAAACAGAATGAATCTCTTGACGCTACCAGCCCTAATCTGCGACTTCTACCAGCAGAAGCTCTCTCGGCCGATGATCCCGCTAGAAGCGACGTCTTCAATATCCGTGTTTGTCGCAAACAGCAGCAGAATGCAGGCTAGCCCCATCAAGATGTCTGTCGACTCAGCTGGAAGACCGTTGATGTTGGGTTAAAGTCCGACACGAATGCCGATCTCAAGGCACCCTTGCAGATCGAATTTATATGGGACGGGGCCAAGATGGAATTCTCGCTGCTCTATGGTGGTGTTCAGCAGAGCTCGGTGAAAGTCGAGCACAATTGGGAAGTTTGAGCGGTGGTTACCTTTCGTTATACCTAGATCCCATGTCTAGGTATTTGTCAACATAAGAATTGGTCGTAATGGAAGCAGATATTGGTATACATACCGAGGTTTATCTGACCATGTCTTTCATTCAGTCTAGGTAGTTTTAAAGATTGCCAATATGAGCGAGGTTGAAGAATGTGTATATTCCACAGATGTGCCCTCGTGATGAAAGCCACCAATGCAATAATGGCAGATTACCCTTTACCCTCAGAATATCACTGATGCCCTCTCTCATTGGTTTGATCGTCCTTTGAACCCCGTAGCCCAGGTAATGTCAGAATGTACGCAGCTCACCCATGTTCATCAAAGGGAGGAAGGACCAGGACATGCGGGGGCCACAGTTGCCAAAGCTACAGGGGTATACATTTGCAAGCTGTGGCTAGGATTCTTTTCATCTTCAAAGGTCAATTTCCAATACTTGTATTGAGCTTACTGTACAGTTCTTGTTGTTTGGGCTATATAGGTTTGCCAATTGATGCCTGAGGCCATTCGTGAAGCACCTATACATATGGAGGAGGCCAGGTGAGCTTTAATGAGAGACGCCAGCTGACACAGTAGCTTTCCTTCGAACTATTTAATAGGCATACCCTGCAGAGCTTCTATTTACCGGCGCTCGACTTTACGCCTGACCAAGGAGGAGTCTAGTGGGATGCGGCGGTAAAGCCTTGGGACCTTTTGCTGACCTTGAAGCTAGCGTCGACTTGGGGGCTTCTCGAGTCGAAGGTAGTCGAGCAGCCTTGGGAGCATCGGAAACACGTGGCGCGAGAGCAGTAGCCAGAGCCCTAGCGATGATAGGTACCAGTGCAATAACTGGCAGAGGTGCTGGCAGCGGTAAAGGAGCAGCAGAAGGCCCAGGAGCAACTTCAGGTGCACCCCCAGCCACAGAAATCGGCACGACGATAGGGATAGGAGTAGGCTTGGGCCTAGGAGCGAGAACAGGAGGAGATGCCACCGCTGGGGTCTTTGCAATTCGAGGAGTCTTTACCACTGACGGAATGATAGTGCTACCCATCAGAGATCGAACAGTAGGAATAAGTGCAGCATTGGGAGTCGATCGAACTTTGGGCACGCGACCTACACCCGGTGTCGTTCTGACAAGAGGAGCATTGGCGACACCTGGAGTACGATCGACCTCTGGAGCCGGTAGAGTCTGCGAGACCTGACGTGAACGAGGAGCTGCATCAGTCGTCGAAACCTGTCGAGAGCGAGGCGTGATGCCAGCACGAGAAACTTGTCGCGAACGAGGCGATGGCATAGCAAGAGGACTCTCAGGGATAGCAGGTAAGATCCGTGCTGGAGTCTCTGGGCTTCCCGGCGCTGGACCGGTTTTTGGACCAGCGACTTGGCTGATTTTCACAGGATCGCCATCTGCGATCTCCGTTGCAGTGGGAGTGGCAGGCCGGTTGAGAGTAGCATTCGATCCCTGACGACCAAGAGAAGCGTTGGAGCCCCGACGGCCCAGAGTTGGAGTTGTAGGACGGCGGCCGAGGGTGGGTGTCGTTGGTCGACGGGTTGGAGTACTAGGACGTTCTGGCTGTCCCTTACGAATGGGACTGGTTCGTCGTTGAGAGGACTGTGTGCCCATTGCATAGCGAGGGGATTCGGCCATTGTTGACATGAGTGATGGAAGAGGTATGCTCCAAACTGACCTTTAACAGGGCACAAGTGAGAGGGAAACTAGAAATCTTCCAGGTCAGCTGAGATGCTGCGGCATTATATCCCTATCTGCAGGCTGCCAACTCATCATCCTCTATCCTCTATCCTCTATCCCTCCATTCTGAAACAGAAATACACGGAAAACCCCGGGCAGATGGTCTCTTTGCTTTTTCCTGACATGAATCAGTCTCAGCTATTCGTCAATCATGAGGTGATGTGATGCGTTGACTAGGATCTTGTAAGTTTACCCCTGTCTTGACGGCTGATTAGCTCCCGGATGATGTGCAGCTCTAGTGCGAGACTGGGGTATCCTGGTAACGGATCGATGGATGTTTGAGATAAGCATCAAAGCCTTTTCCGACGAGCAAGCGTATTCAGCAGCTAATTTGGCAGCACAGTTCCCGATTTCACAGGGAGAAGCGAGTAAGATAGGTTGAACAATCAGTACTATCACAATGGTACCGTCTACTTCATCTTTCTCCAACTACTCTTACCACTCACTACCGTCATCTTATTCTTCTCGGGAACCGTGTATCCTCCATCCCTCTCTAATCGATGTCTTTCCCAAAAGTCACTCATTTCCTCTCTCAACATTCTCTTCCCACTTCTTGAATCCCTCTCTTCCCTCTGTCGCTCATTTCGTTGTGGGAGCATATCGGCAACCCTCGCGGCAGCAGGTTTACACAGTGTTCTCCACACCCAGGACATCATGTGTCGGTAGACATGGGCAAGCCATTTGATCAGAAGTCGAGCATTTGTGCTAAAGGCTGCCACGAGAGAAAAGACAACAAGGGCGAAACTAGCGGGCAAAGAGATTGTGCCGATGGTCCTGAGTGACAAGTTATTCTCACCACCCCATTCTTGTGTGTTCATGCCGAAGAGACCGGTAAAGAAGGTCAACGGAAGGAATATAACTGTAAATGTGGTGAAAATCATGACACTGCGACTTTGTGCACTTGCAAGGTCAGCATGAAGCCTACTCAGCCGTACCTCATCAACCTGCGCCTGTCGCTGAACCATCTGAAGAAGTTTGTCGTAGTCGTTTCGCGTACTCCGGACTCTCTGGATCATCTCTTGAGCTTGGTGTGTATACTCCGAGACCTTCTTGATCGCTTCACTAAGGAACAGTCTTCCGTTTGCAGTGCGATCGCGAAGTTCCGGACGAGTGTAAGTGGAAAGTATGGAGCTGACGACTTTAGACTGACGTTCAAACAGGTGGACCAGAATAAGCAGCTCATCCTCGATATCTCGAAGTTCAAGGAGGGCGGATGTGTTGTCCCGGTTATCCTCTTCTGATCTGCGGCCTTCGGCTTTATGGCGTGCTCTGATGGAACGAGCTTTGTTCTCAACTGGTTCATATGCCGATGCTTTATCACGGAATCCTTCGGCACGGAATGTTTTGAGCGAGGAGGTGAGTTTTTCGGTCTAAAGGTTAGCACGAGTTACACGAGGTGAGGGTAACTTACGAGAACGCTGATGGCTTCTTCAAATATTCGAAACACTTCGAGGTCTGGGTGCGAAGATCTGTCGAGGAGAACTGTAACAGCATGGAGGACTGCTAATGCCGCTAGGTCCAGAGCATTTTCGCATTGCCGGGTGAGATCGACGTTGACTTCGTTAAAGATGCTGTCGCGAAGATCTGCCTGCTGATACAGAGGCCCTTCAATGGCATCACCCTCACGCCTCGGGAAGAAGGAGAGTAGGGTATCTGAAGGTCAGCTAAGCTCACTGCAGGGATATACGACGTACGAGAGTCAATGGCCCAAAGCCACAGCTGATCCACCATGAGAACATTGCCATTGAGTATGGCTTCCTCGGAATCCTCCTCATTATCCCCATCCTGGCTACTTGTCTTGGATCGTCGACTACCACTCCCACTACTACCAGAGCTACTATTCGACATTTGTCCATGAAGTCCCGGGCCCAAACCGGGAGCAAATTTCCGTTCCTTTGTCAGTTTATACAGCATCTGATCATCATCTCGCGACCGAGTGTCCCTCAACGATGGATATCCGTATTGATCTAGTGTTCGTCGACAGTTGAGGGGTGGATCGTGGCCCAAAAACTCCCAGATGACCTGCGATTCAAGAGAATCAGACTTTGCCACAGACTCGGGAACAGGTCTGGCTCGCCCGTGGCCAAGTCGCTGAATGATAAGTTCACGTCGGCGAATGAGTCGTTTGTACGAGTCAAAGTGAAGATACGGGAGGAAGAGACAGGTGTAAATCCCCCCTTCTGGCCTGGGCGATATCGAAGACTGTTTCGAAGATCGACCTCGAGGTGACACTGCACGGTTAGCTCGGTTTACAAGTTGAGGAGCCAACTTACTGTGCCGAGGAGCTGAAAAGTAGCAGCCCGGCTTTGCAAAGTACGCATAGTGCTGAGAGTGTCGCCCTCGAGAATGCCTCGTCGCCCAAAAGTCATTGTTGAACAGAGGAGCATAGTTGCGATTGTTCGTTGTCTGCAAGGTCTCGAATATTTTCTACTAAAGTCAGTCATGCTCAGTCAACTTCATCAAATGGCATACCGTCACCCAGCTAGGATTATTATATGGTAAATGAACCCACATAAACTTGCGGGTTTCCATTTGAGGTTTCGAAAACGCAACAGGCACTTCATCCACGATTACTGTCTCACTAGCTCTCCTCTCACCATTATTAGCAGCCTTTCGGATAGCAACGATCGCTTCTGGCAGTCTCGGAGACGAATCGATATCGTCATCATCACTGAAGCCCTCGATGGTGCTTCGACTGCGTTGCGAGAATGGAGGAAAGTCTTTGTACTCGTATTGTGAGGCTTGAGTTCCCATGCTGACAGATCTACTCAGAGATCTACCCATTCGCCCACGCGGAGGAGGTGATAGACGATCGACAGCCAAATCTTGCTCAAAGTTGGCACGAATAAGTGGTGAAGGACGTCGCATTGGTGTTGAGTAGTGTGTTGGTGGTGATATTGCTGCTGGCGATAATGGTGTGACGGGAGATCTTGCTCCCGCCTGAGGTGCTGACTCTGATCTTGTCTTTTCCGCATCAACAGGCCGTATAATAGGAGATGCAGGAGGAGACGCCTGGACAGATCCTTGCGAGATCCCAAGAGGGTTGTCATGTGTTTCATCAGCGACTTTCTCGGTCGGCAGCATCGTCGTTTTCCCTCGATTCCTCAAGAACCTCCCTTCGTCAACCGCCTCGACTTCATTCAACCTCTCAGCCAAACACTCCTCTGGTCCCTTTCTCAAGAAATCTCGAAGTGGCAGTCGTGTAGACCAAGCTCGAATTGTGGCTACATCCAATGGACCTGGTGGATCTTCAAAGAATCCGTGAACCTCGACGTTGACCTTTTGCTCGAGATTCAGCGACCAATTTCCATCTTCACGAGAGTACTCATCTGCACGTCCGATGAGAGCAGATAACTGCTTCAGAAATAGGCGCATGGTGTGCACATTATGCCGCCCGAAAGAAGCAATATTGGCATGATCACTCTGAAGTGGGAGAATGGTCTCTTGTCGCATACCAAGAATAGCAGACTTGATCGAGGTTAGTGGCGCGGTGAAGTAGACATCTCCAGAGTTGCCTGAAAGGCGAGAGTCGATGGTCTCATACAGCGTCCAGATACGAAAGTCGTGCGCTATGGATTTGAAGTCGTCGTCCAGTTGGGTAAGAAGAGTGTTTCCCACGCGAAGATCATCGGTTATTGATGTTGGAATAGGAGCTGACAGCTGAAGCAGATTCTGAATACCAGTTGCAAGACTCGGCATGGCAAAATAACTTGATCCTTGATGAGGAGTGCCTATTCTGTTAGCATGGGTAAACCAGAGCTGGTTCACTTACCGAAGAATGCAGCACCATAGCACTGCCTGTAGATACCCTCATACGATGGATCTCTGCTCGCCTTTGTCAACACCATCTTGACAATAATACCACCAATGCTATGCCCCACAAACACAACCGGTCTTGTCTGCTTCTCTCGTTTTCTCAACTTTCCCAACTCCTCCAACAATGCATCAGCCAGGGTACTCAGCCTCGTATCCTCATTTGTTGATGGATGCTCATACAACAAAATCCGTGCTCGGTCAGCTTCACGGCGAAGTCCTTGTCGAACCCACGATGGAGCTGGTCGATCAGCATCAGACGCTGCACCTTCCGCGTCGCGCATAGATAACGCCCCATAGTATCGACTCATGAGACCATCGCGACTCCATGTTCGAAGAGGATCTGCTCCGGGACACGGAACAGTTACAATGTCGACAGTTGTTTGATCATGTGTGAGTTCTCCTTCTGGGTCGATAATGAATCTGGCCTTTGACACCACATCTTCTTTTTCTGTTGACTCTTCACTAATCTTCCCTTCGGGTTCTTTCCTCGTCGTGTAATCACTCAGTGGCGGCAGTTGACCTGGGGGACTCCCTGGGTTTACATGAACCGAGTCCTTGTCATTGCTGAGTTCTAGCTCAGGTGAGTCCACTGGATCCATATCAACAGTGTGAGTCCTATAATTTTCCCGGCGTCTTTGCCTGGGGAGTTTTGGTCGAGAGGCTTGAGACATGAGAACGTGAATCGAAAAAGTCATAAACCAGATGGTTTTGTTCAGAAGTATCATCGGTATTCATATCACTCAACAGTCACTCCGAGTCATCCGCACAAAGACATCTGCCTGGCTTAGCCTTGCTCGTGACAAAGATCCATCCTCAAAATAATATCCGATTCCCATATCAATTGTTGATGTGCTAATATTATCTCTGTAGGCTGACTCCGTAGATCCCATAGCGTGGGGCTATCTGAGACAAGGTTAGTCAAATGACTGCACCACCTGAACCATCCCGATGACTGCTAACCCGTTTCAACCCATCCCAGACCAAATGCTTCCAAAATGCCGTTGATAAATAGCATATGTCAATATGCGATGCCGAAATGCGCGCTCAACTCCAATCAAAATGTATGTATCCGAACCAAGCGCCTTTACTGCAGTGAAAAATCCCCAATAGTAGTGCAGTGCACCACAGAATCTATGTAAAGTCGATTCTCAACCTTGCACGTCTGTCCGGGTCTGACAACAAACATGCCGTTGGGACCAAGATTAAATGTCTTTTCGTTCATCGTGACCCGAACCTTTCCTGACGCGACGGAACATGTTCGCAGTTTGTCGTCTTCAACAGTCCAATGGTTGGCGCTACCGGGTTTGAGGACCATGACGTTGAAGCTGACGTCCTCGGAAACAGTGACGGGCTGACCACTGGTGAGATACGAGTTGGAAAAGGCGACGTCTGATATGTTAGCTAGGCTTCACAATCAACGGGAAACTCACTGTCTGAGGAAGATTCATCCTTTATTCTTCCTGGAGCAACCTCCCAATCCTCCATTTCCAATTCAACGCCCATTTCAGGTCTGCTGATAATGGCAACTGCCGTTTGGTCTTTTATGCCAACGTCGTTCCCAGAGGAACGTCTTTTTCTTCGCTTTGGTTGGACCTCGGTCACGGTTCTGACACCTTCAAAATCATCGAGATCCATCGAGGGGTTCAATTCCTCAGAAGAAGATGATCTCGATGAACCAGAAGCCCCTCGTCTCAGTTTTGGCTCAGGACACCAGTCACAACCGTTTGAGCGACGTTGCAGATGACACCAATATCTACATCCCACGCAAGACTCTAGAGCAGAAAATGCTTGCTTCGCTGATACAGACATGCCAAGCGGGAGAGCGATGCAGGGTTGTGATAGTCGTGCAGATGGTCGAGTGGTATTAACTGTGCACTGCTCGCTACCAACCACAACTGTGCCTGTGAGATATGCCAATGCACAGGAATAATGAGTGATGTCCAGGTTGCTCCCCCTGTGGGTATGCTTCCAACTCTCAGGCAAGTCACGCTTGCGAGGCAATGTCAACATGAAATCGATGTCTTCTCGTTGGTGAGACTTTTGTGCTGGACTGAGGTGTTGGTGAAGATATTGTTTAACATCCGATTCTTGCATAGCTTGAGGCCGGTAGGTAGGATCCTGTGAACGTGTTGTCTTTCTCTCCTGTTCGGCAGCTCGAGATACGCGGTTTTGTTGGAATGAAGCAAATACAGACAATCCTGGATCAACTGGAGGTGGCGCATCAGGAGGGAGTGGGTTTCTGGAAACAATGATTCCAGGTGTACCTCCAGGGCCATCTTTTTGATAGCTGCCGACCTTGGACAATGTGCCGTCTCCGTTATCATTGAATGTCGTCGAACAATGCCCAGCGCCAAAATGTCCACCAAGACCATTGAGCTTGCCAAACACGCGGCGGCAATCTCGCACAGGACATACGAATGGAAGTTCAGGGTCATCGTGAAGTTTGTAGTTTGCTGGAATAAGTGCCCCGCGAGCAGAGACAGTGCCACCTTCGGGGACTGAGTATGTTAGAGCAGCTCGATGCATGTTGATTTCGAGGACCTACGAGGATATATGCTGTAGGCTCGACCAGGTTCAGCCATGATGATTGCTTCCAATCGAGCATCAGGTACTGGAAAATCTGGCGATCCTGCTGGTGCTGGGGTTGGTGATGGTGTCCCTTGACCAGTGTACTTTTTGAGTAACTCGGCCCCGGTGAGAGAAACCACCGGAGATTGAGATGAAGGATACATGGCGCTCTTCTTGATAGCTGCACTATTAATCTCTGCTAATTGTCTAGCAACGTCGTCTTCCGTAAAGCGACATGCAGCTTCACGAGCACGTGCGTAATCAGCGGGAGTCCTTTTGGGGAGAACGTCCGAGGGGGAATTTCTCTTTTGAGGGATCATTCGAGACGCTCTAGATGGTCCTGTAGAAGCCTGTGAGAGGTATTGTGCTGGTCATGTCAGATAATGAATGAGACCTAGAAAGAAACGTACCCTGTCTACGTTCCCACTCAGACTGAGCTGCTTGAATTCGAGGGTTACTTGATAGGATACCAGCCGCTGAAGCTTTAACGGCTGCGTTTCCGGCAATGTTGCTGACGATACGTGAAGGTTCCGGAATGTTGACGTTGGCTTTGAGGGCTGGATTCCAAGGTATAAAGCTTGTGCTCTTTATCATTGAAGGGTCATCACTGCCGGACATTGTAGGGCCAAGCATTTGTTGTAGGTTCCCATGGGCGAATTAAAGAGACGGAATGTGAAAGTGAAATGAAGGAGTGAATAAGAAGCCCAAGTCGGGTTACACACGTTGAGATGAAACAAAGATAGAAGCGAGTGAAGCTGATGATGAAAGTGAATTGGAGACGCGCCGACGCGAATGAGGTTATAGCGCGGCTAGGGTCTGATGTACCTCGCTGCAGAAATAAGGTGTGAAATACCTCCCCTCCAACAACCTCCAACTCCCATCAGCGCAGTATTATCACAATTGAACGATCAATACCATTTGAGCATTTAACAAACAAATCTATTTTCAGGTTCACTTCTACTGCAGTGATTCATGATTTCGGCATGTGTCTCATAATGTACAGCTATACATACACTTGTCCAACAGCTATTCTACAGCCTATTCCATATCTAATGACCTATTTCTTCTTTGAAGCCTTCTTCGCCTTCTTGGCTTGCTTCTGGCTAATCATCTTGACAGCCTTAATCTCCCCACCACTCTCAGCCCTCTTCTGCTCAGCCTTTCTCTGTCCCTCAAGCTCCCTCTCCCTTCTCCATCGTCTATGTCTGAACCACTGCTTTCGCGTCCTGAATCTCTTGGTCTTGAGGCCCGTCGTCTTGGCCAACTTTCCAATAGCCCAGTTATCTTCACGGTAGCTGTAGTCCTTTCGCAGCTTGAGCAATCTGTCTGGTTCGCCCGCTTCGACACGGTTGACCTGGAAGGGAATTCCAGAGGGAGAAATCTCGGGCTTGGCGACGACTTCTTTGATCGGGTAGGCCGTCATGTTTAGTTTTCGCTTGCGTTGGGCGTGCAAGGGATATGGTAGTTTGTCGTTCTTGTCAAAAACTACACCGATGTATTTGCGGTCGGGATGTAGTGAGGGATCGCGGTAGTATTTGACGTATCCGGTTGCCATTGCGTGAATGGTATGATCTCGACCCATGATGCAGTTCTCTCCAGGCCACCAATGTGTACCGCGCTGTTTGTAGAGGATGTTTCCGGGAATGACGAATTGATCTGCAAGTCAGCCCAGTCCAGTTAACCCACTCAGCGTAAACATACCTCCTGTACGCTTTGCACCAAGCTTCTTTGGAATACCCCTCTTGGGCTTCTTCTTGTATGCTCCCTGTGACTTGACCGAGGCAAATCGATGACCTTGAACGAGGGAATTGGCCAATTGGACACCCAGAGGAGTAATAGGTGTAAAAGCCGGCCTGGACAGACTAGCCACAGCAGCCAATATTGGCCGCTGCATCGTGAGGAACCTCATGCCGGCGATTCGTGACGATATGGGCTGAGTGAGGTTAGCAATGCTTGATCCTCAATTGATGGAGTTTTTGCGCTTAGTCATCGCTTATCGATAAGGATGTGGACAGCTTCCCTAAACTCCAACTGTAACATCATCATTGGTCTGTAGAATACATCTTCAACAAAATGCGGTACCTTTTTGCTGTTCTGTCTCTTTTGACTTTGGTCAATGCCCAATTTGGTGGCTTCTTTGATCAAATGTTTAACCAGCAAGGAGGCCATGAGCATCATCAAGCGCAACAGCAAAACAACCCAAGCGATGCGAACCACTACAAGCAGAATTACGAGAACTGTTAGTGCATCTACCATCTTTTGACTTTGCTAACATGTTCAGCCATCTGCGATAAATACCTCTGCCCCGATACCCTCGCATGCGTTCACTTTCCCCACCACTGTCCTTGCGCTTGGGATGCTCAACAAGAAAAGTTCGAATTGGCTGAAGGACAACGTCTCTGTGTTTCTCGTGGGGGATTCAGACCAGGCGAAACAGCTCGAAAGATTGAATTGGCAAGAAAGGGATTACTGTGAACAGAAATCGACCACGAAAACACCACGAACGATACCAGAAGACAGAATCTGGGATAACCGTAAATATTAGGAAATGAAACTTGTCCTCTACCGATACGTAACGAGACTATGTATCCTTTGTCTCCATCAGAATCTTGAAAGCGAGCGAGTAATCAGATAACCTCACACTCCTCCTCTGCCAACGCCCAATAATGATATCCTCAAAACTCCATCCTAATGCCCTAGCCAGTTCACAACCCTCATCATGTCTCCCTAACATCCTACGCAGTACCGTTGGGCACGCGCGGTACCTGTGGCACAGGTGGCACTTCACCCTCGTCATCCTCATCCTCATCCTCATCCGGGAGCGTCTCGGGGTGGCCCAGGAGCTGGGCCACATTTTTCATTTCGTAGTGTCTCTTTCGGAGCTGTTCAAACTTTCTGTGCTTCTCACGCTCCTCGGGAGACATGCCTGCCAGCTCCTCCTCCGCGTCGTGGCCGATGCTGCTCTCGTCGTCGACGTGGACGCTCTTTTCGCTGCGGGGTGACGGCGCGCCCGCGTCCGGGATCTCCTCTTCCGGTTCGCCCAACGAAAGGCCCGGAATGTCATCTTCACGGCTTGGACGTGAATTCTTAAGACGAGCACCAGCGTCCGCCAGAGGATCCTCGTCTTCGTCCGACGGGTCCTCGGCTGGGTCGTAGTGTTTGGCATAGGGAGTCTTTGGTTCTGTGATCTTCATGGTAGAGGAGCGTTCCTGCTCCGTGAGGTAGAGGTTTACCTCGTCCCACTTGAGTCGTTGAGATGGTTCGAGAACGTCTCCGATGGAATTGTTGGCACCTGATTGACGACGAGATCCAGTAGGGCGAGCTCCAGAAGAAGAACGACGGTGACCAGCGTTGATTTGAGTGTTGGCGATGGTGAGTTCCTTATCGCTGCCGGGACGATCGTGGTTCGGCGAGGTAGGAGGAGATTTCTGATACGAGTTCTTGAGGATGCCTAAAAATGTTAGAGAGGTCACAAATGGCGTCAGGCAACTCACCTCGAGGTCGTTGAGGAGGATGGGTAGGAGGCGAGTGCGCCGGGGGGAATCAACAGCAGAAGCCATTTTGGTATAGTCGGAAGCTTGAGTTGAAAGGGTTAAAGCCAGAGCTCAAGCTCAAGGCGTTGTATCTGAACTAAGTGCGGTTGAACGTGGTGTTTGCTTGTGATGTAGTCGCGAGATCAGGTTGAAAGATGAAACCCTGTGCTCGTGAGCAGATCATCAGTAAAAGAGGCGGGGAGAGCCTATAAGATCCAATGACGCAGTGGCCTGAGACCCCAGGATTTGGAGGGGCTGGTACGTACCTGACCTTGATTAACGGCGTGTGGTTGCAAAACGAATGATGTTGATTTATGAATGATAATAAGGATTTTTCTGTTAATTCCGTTATTCTAACCTTTTCAGTCAAAAGTTTTAGTAGTGCATAACGGTATGTGACGGAAATACCCTTGTCGTCCCATTTCTAGTACACCCTCTTTGATGCAAGAAACATCTCGAACATCGTGAGATTACGCACGTGAATGTATTAATGAGATGTTATTATCATCTCGCCATTCAAAGGATACAATATCATAGTCGTATTCTCATGAACTTTGTACTGTCGCGAGATCATCAAATAGATCTGATCTTATCGTCAGCATCGTAACTTGCCAGCCTCAAAATACGTCATTTTCACAATGAAGGGGTCGTCACACAGCTGAATGTTTAGAGGGGAATGGTTGGGTGCGATGCAACCTCAATCGTCATTGCGAAAACCACTCAAACTTGAATGATTGGCCATCTCTACGATGAGATGAAACGATATTATCTTGCTTGGTCTAGATCTTGTAAACCGCTCATGCCAGCATTACCATCAGCGGCATATGCATCTTTGCCAGCAGACTCCAGATAATGCAGTCCAGATAAGCATGCCAGCTACTTGGGTGAGTTGTTCTCACTTATCTGTCAGCAGCTCCACCATCTTTGCCTGCTTGTCCTTCAACTCAGAGTTCTCTCTCTTCAAAGCCCGGTTCTCAGCCTCTAAAGCCTCAACACGCTCCCTCAAACGTTCATTTTCATCTTCCTGCACGGTACTCTTTTCTTCTCCGGGACCGGTAAGATCCACAAAGTTCGTTTCGGGAGTCACGCTATGAGTTGAGGTGGTGGTGACGGCGTGATTGGGACTCTTTGCGAGCCTGTTTGTGTGGCCGCTGGGAGCTTGCATTTTCCTCCAGGCTTCTCTTCCCACCTCTCGATCGAGTTTTGTCTTGAACAGATCCGTTGATAGCAGGCTTTGTAATGCGCCATGGGCGAAACCCGTCAAGATCGCGGTCCACGCGTGAGGCAAAGTGCTGACGACCAGCAGCGCTGAGGCTTTGATACATTTCCCTTCTGGAAAGTCTCTGCATACCAAGGGCGCGCCATTTGAAATCGTAGTTGTTGGGCTGCGAACTCATTTCGATTAGTGCTCTTTGTGTCCATGTAGATCCTGCATCAGGGCATCAGTGCAGTTATATGTTGCGGCAGTTGACAAACTCACCGAGTAAATACGATCCAACTCATCCAGTGGCATCACAGGATTAAATGTAGACTCAAATCTCAGTCGAATGTTCTCTTGCAAAGAGAGAATGAAAGAGAAAGAATAGAAGAGAGGGGGATTCGGGCGAAGGTGAAGAAGCATCGTGAAGCAGGCACCATGAATCAGAGTGGAAGCTATTAAACAGTGACGGCTGCTAGCACTGGCATCATAAGCAATGAGTTTGGTTTTGAGAACCTTTTCTACAGCCTCTACCATTGATTGAGGTGCTCTGCAGGCCAACAAACACCTCCACAAGTGACCCAGCTAGGCGCAAGGTTGGGCAATCAGCGTCCACTCATCACTGGTAGCTCGTGGGCTTACAGGGACTACTGTAAAGACTTATTCCTAACTTTGCAGGATCACGGACGAGTTTGCTAACTAGGTATCAATTTAACTAATCTAAGGATTACACGCTTGCAGAGTGGACTACCTAATTGACGACAGCTTGATACTTACCAACCATCTTACCAGACTTTGGGTTAATACCGTTCATCCAGCCTCAATCAGAGCTCTTCTCATTGTGACCACTCCTCATCACGGCTTCCACCCATGCTGTAATACTTGCCAAAGACGCGAGTCTCCAGGTCCGAAACACCACCCGTATACTTACGAGCCTGACGGCGGAAATAGATACGCTTAGCCCATTTCCAAGATTCAATACCGAGGAAGAAAAGCACAGCTTCAACAAAAACAATACCCCATTCCCAAGAGATAGGAGCATGTTTGAAGACGACAGTGTTGAGTCCAGGTATATAAATGATAGGGAACATGGTAACAAAACCAGCGATAATGGCCCAGAACAAGAAAGGGTTCCTCCAAACGTCGTAGATCCACTGTGTGAAGTACTTCTTGCTCTTGGGCTGCATTCGGAAGAAAGACCTTCTCATGTTGATCATCTCCCAAGCGAGGAACAGGGCGAACCAGGTTAGGCATGCAAAGGTTGTTGAACGAGCACGGAAAATGACCCTGCAGTCTTCGCTGTATGTGTTGTTGCAGTTCTCTCCAATGTCATCAGCGCCATTACCGAAGCCGTACAGAACAAGGACGAATGAGGAGAGGCAAAGGGCTGACATCCAAAGGCCATAGACGACCATGTCAAGCATCAGTTCAGGAGTAAAGACACCTTGTTTCAACTGAGAATGTTAGTAAGGATCATAAAGACAATAGAGAACATACGTTTTGAGGAGGACGCTGCATGATATCTGGGGCGGCAATCTCAAAGCCAAGACCCATATCAGGCATACCAGATGTGATCATAATGATCCAGAGAATTTCAACAGGTGCCAAGGGGAAAACCGATAAATTGTTCCTATCCTTGAAAACCAGGCCAATCAAGAGTGTACAAGCTTGGGCAATATTCTCAGCCAAGACGTGTAGAATAAACTTCTGAATGTTGTCAAACATTCTTCGGCCTTCTTCAACAGCGTTAAGGATAGATGCAAAGTTATCATCAGTCAAGACAATGTCGGACGCTTCCTTGGCAACATCAGATCCAGCCTGTCCCATAGCAATACCCACGTCCGATCGCTTCAAACTAGGCGAGTCATTGACACCATCACCGGTCATGGCGACGAAAGCCTTGCGACGATGAAGTGCTTCAATCATGCGGACTTTAGTCTGAGGGGCACAACGAGCGACGACAAGAGGCAAAAGGGGAAGTTGATCAATCTCATCGTCAGACAGCTTGTCAAACTCTGAAGCAGCCATAACCATGACCTTGGCGACATCCTTGGGGATCTCAGACATCTTGGCAGGGAGAATACCAACTTCAAGAGCGATAGCACGAGCCGTTTCGGGGTGGTCACCGGTAAGCATGTGAACGCTGACACCGGCTTCGTGACATTTCCTGACTGAAGGGGCAGATTCAGGGCGAGGAGGATCGTACAAGCCGATGAGTCCACGGAAGACAAGGTCCTTTTCAAATAGTCCACGGTCAAGTTCAGCCTCGTTATCTTCGACATGAGGAATATCCGTTCGACTGGCGAGAGCAAGAACACGAAGACCAAGTCGAGCCAGAGACTCCATGTTGCTCAAAACATCTTCCTTGATGGCGTCGGTGAATTCCAGAATCTCGTCACCAGCAGCATAGACGGGACAAGAAGCCAAGACGCGTTCAACTGCACCCTTTGTGAAAACCCATTGCTTCTCAGATTCGCTGTCGTGGAAAATAACGGACATCTTCTTGACATCGGAATCAAAGGGGAATTCGGCAACTTCATGCCAGCGGGGCTTGTCGCCGGACGATAATCGCATACGGTTCCAGTTGAATCGAGAAGCAAATACTTGCATGGCGATCTCAGTTGGGTCTCCACGGGCATGCCACTCACCTTCAATCTCATGGACAGTGGCAAGATTGGCAAGCGAGGCGACATTGAGGTACTCGACAAGGCTGGGATCTTGGGCTGGTTGGGAAGCAGGGTCGATCGATGTACCTTGAGACTTTTCGTTCTGGAAGTTGATGTTCTTGGGCTGGTCTTCGGTAAGGGTGATATCTCCAAGGGTAGGGTTGAATGGTTCATTGGAAGCGCCAACAGAGTATGTGCCCCGTCCAGGGATCCAAGCCTTTTTGACAATCATTGTACCTTGGGTAAGGGTTCCGGTCTTATCAGAGCAAATGTCTAAAAGGTTAGCTATGTTTGCATAGTAACGCATGGAACTTACTGGTTACGGCACCCAGAGCTTCCAAACTCTTTAGGTTGCGTACAATGACATGTCTCTGGACCATACGCTTGGTACCAGCAGCCATAGTAATGGTAAGAACAACGATCAGAGAAGCTGGGATCATAGAGAGACCAGTTGCCACAGCATAAATGATGACCTCCCTTTGCGAGCTAAAATCATTGGCTGCCAGAACAATAATAGCACACACAATAGCCGTGCCGAGAAGAATGATTGCCAACTTGGAGAGCTTGCGCTGCAGGGGAGTACCGACATTGACACCAAGGAATCGGCCAACAGCATCAGAACCGGTCAAAGTCCAAGCTTGCATCCATCGACCAAAGTTGGTGTTACCCTCGGCATCACGCTTTGGCTGTCGACGCTTGGAAGACTTGCCACGAAGAGCAACAGCAATTTGACCGATCTCAGTGTATGTACCAGTAGCGAAAACAATGCCGCGAGCTCGTCCCTTTGTCACAGTAGACGAGCTATAAGCAACGTTGAGTCGATCACCAGGGCCAGTATCATCTGGAAAGGTCTTGTTGATCTCCTTGCGAACGGGCAGAGACTCGCCAGTGAGAAGTGCTTCGTTGGTTTCAAAGTTGACAGCCTCAACAAGACGGATATCCGCAGGAATGGTGTCGCCAGTCTTGAGCTCAACCATATCACCAGGGACAATCTCAGCAGTCACAACAACTTGGTTGTTACCGTTGCGGACGGCGTGGGCGGTAGGAGAGCTAAGAGAACGCAGAGAATCCATAGTCTTGGCCGCTTGAAACTCTTGGAGGAAGCCAACGACAATGTTGAGCACAATGACTGCGGCTACTACACCACCCTCAATCCAGGACTTGATACCAAAAGAGGCAGCCATAGCAAGGATGAGAACCTGTCCCCCAAAGGGCAAATGAGCGACTCTACCGTTATCTCTAAAGCTTCCTATCAAGTATACTCCAAGGAAGCCTATGGAATGTAACTTACTAGAGTCAAGGCATTTGCGATCTGCCCGATAAAGATCTTGAGAGGTTGAACACCTTCTTGTTCACCGAATTCGTTTCGACCATAAGTTTCAAGACGTTGCTTGGCTTCAGATTCAGTTAGGCCATCATCGAGATTACCATCAAGCTCCTGGGCGACCTGCTCAAAGGTAAGAGCATGAGCAGGTGCCGTCATCGGAGAGTTGGCTTGACCCGAGATGTGAGGCTTCTCTTCTTCGTTCTTCTGGCCCATTTTGAAAGTTGATGAAGAGGAATGAGTTGAAGAATTTCGAGAGAGAAGAGGGACGAGGCCCTTTTAAGCTGCGCCTTCACAGGGGATCAACGAAAACAAGATACCTTCCAAGTCGGACACCGATGAACCATGAGGTGGATGAAGGTGGATGTGCCAAGAGTGACCATCACAGGAGGTGCATGGCGAAACAAAGGTTGCGCCAAGCTCGCTCATGAGTAAACAATTTTATTTGGAGGAGAATTTTTATATGTGGAGATGATTGGCATTCAGAGTAATATGCCAAGGCGATGAGTCGGAGGATGTAAGCCGCGTTACGTTGAGATGTTGACGAGAGTTTGAAGTGTTGAAGACATTGCCACCTGAGTTAGTGACACAGGTAATGGATGTCTATTCCGAGTATAACCTGAAAATTCTGTAGCATCGACTCACTGTCCAACTAATATGAGGCTTAAACAACCTCAGATTTAAGCAAGAATCTTTATCTGCGTTGTAAATCATTGGTTAGGCAATCAATTCAGAGCTCGCCAAGTTTATCTCAAGAGCTTAAAGTCGTTAGTGGTTGGTCCTTGCTTCTTGGCGTCGATGGGGTCCTCCAACCTGGTTCTTTCGATAGAGCACATGGCAATGACATAATTTGACGCTGGAAATAGTTGTTCTTGGTCTTTTTAGAAGCGCAAGTGTTTGAGCACTCGTAGAGACGTTTGATTGTCATTATGTTGGTGCTTGATATGCTTCAAGTCGTTTCTAGATCAAATTCCGTAGAAATGAACGTATTGGAAAGCGGGTCTCTTCATCGGGGAGTCGGACTTGACCTCCTATTCTGCAGGGTCTAAACGATCCCCAGATTCCCGTCTCCGCGATATGTGAGATAAGATTCGGCAATTACGTAGTAGTCTTGGGATGTTTAAAGAACCAGGATTAACAAGTGTAATTATTATTCGTATTATAAGATAATACTTACGTAGGAGAAGAGAAAAGAGGATGTTGGCATTCTATTCGTCCTTCCTTATTCACCATGGCGCGGTGGTACGCGATAGAAGTTACAGCCCTCCTACCGTGGAAGGTACCCTATGCTTTCCAGGTTCATTGTGGTCGGCTCTTGCCCGCTCAACCGATGCAAAGCTTTCAATGACCAAACATCAACTTCGCAACACTTTGCCAAGCTCTGCCAAGACAATAACCATCTCGTCATTTGCTCTAAAGTCACGGGCTCGGAATACTCATCAATTAATGGCCAGAACTGTTGATGCACAGCCATGCCGTTGCGATATTCCGAACCGGCACCAAACACTCATTTCTGATGTTCTAGAACCAGGTCTTTGGCTTGCAAGCCACGACTACAAAGCACGTTAATCAGTCTCGATTGCTGTATAATTGCAGTCACATGTCGCGACCATTATCAGGCAATTCTGGTTCTCCTCAACTTGACTACTGAACCCTCAGAAAACACCGCAATTCCGTTTCTTCATCGCTGAAAATGGAGCCAGTTGGGATCATTCTGCTCGTGCTTTTTCTCTTCATCATTATCATGGGTCCTTTGTATGTCTTCCATTGTCAAATTGGCCACCTGCTAACTTGAAAAGAGCATGCTTCAGAATGAGCGTGCGGAGAGCGTCGGAGAAAGTTTTCAATCCCCAACCTAATCAACTGGACAATGCGCGTCAAAAACTTAGCACCGTTACAACCTCAACGGCCATTCCACAAGCGAATCCCGATCCCACCCCCGATATTGAAGCTCAGACTCCACTCTCCGGGTTCGGTGAATGGTGAGTGCATCCGCTTCCGGTGAAGTTATTGGCAGTTTTGTCTCCGCTTTCATGCTTCTCGGCCGTAGCTTGTACGGGCCGCTCCTTAGATCTTACTGACATTCTCAGTCCCATCTGCATAGGTCCTCTTGTTCCGGAACCAGTACATACCGTCAACGCTGACCCACGTCCGATTCTCGAAAAAGTTTCAACGGTAACGTCTCACGAGACAACAAATCAAACCAACCCCGGTCCAAGTGTGCAAACAACAGCCGATGAAACCAAGGACGACATCTTGACGATGAATACGTGCGGGCATTCTTTTCATTCAAAATGCCTTTCTTCTTGGTTTTTGATTGAACGATATGATTGCCCTGTATGCAGAGCGCCGTACTACAAAGGGATACCACGTCGCGAAGGAGCTTTGAGCGTGACACCGTTCTGGTGATAACCGCCACACTTGATTGATCACTAATCTCAAGTTTAAATTGGTCCAAGATTGCTTTGCCAAGCCAAACAGCGTCTCATTCAACTGTCAGAGCATAGCTTGATGACGCTTACAAGCAGCCTGCAGCAATACGGATTCCTGATTAGTCCAGCCTCAGCCACAACAGTTACTTTTCATCATCTCGATGCCGAATATTTGAATGTTTCAGTTGTTTGGAACTTTTTCGAACGCTTCTACGGCCTCCTCCGATTAAATTCATTGGCTGCGCTCAATTTGTTCCGGAGTATCTGCAGTCTTCCGTTGCTGGGTGGTTGAAGCGTCACAGCGGAGCAAAAGCTGGTGACATAATACGTACCGCCACCATGGATCGGCGATCATCCCGCCCACCCAAGTCTAGATGACTTCATCGCCATCAACAAAGCCTGGATCGAGGGATTTGGTCACCGATCGTTTGGACACTTGACAGTTCAACAAGCCATGCAATTTAACAGGTGATCCAGGGGGCTTCATGCCCCATTGTGTTACTAGAGACATGTTTGCTCCGGAAATAATGACAGCAATAGCCCTACCGGAGGCAACATCGTTCCCAGACCATGCATGACGCGCCCTGCGTCATTGGCTCTTCGGGCCACTTCCTCCGACTACCATCACTTTGAATCTTGGAGAATGTTCGTTGCCGAATTTATCAGGTACTTGGCCTGTCGACTTTTAACTGCCTTCGCCTCATGACATTCAATTCTTCCTCAATACATCAATTGACGTATGTCATCTCGTTTCTTGACATCTGCTGGAAGGCTTCTTTCCCTGCGACTTTCAGTTGGTAGAGCATACAGCACGACCATGACACAGAAACGGAAAAGAACCGGTGCTCATCCGTCACCTCCGGTACCTGAGATGCCTGATGCTCCCAGAAGAAGCAGCCGAAGAATAAAGGATGCTGCCGAACGCCCAAAGGCAGACGCATCAAATTCGATGAAAGCTTCTGATCCAAAGAAAGCAAAGGCTGTCTGGGATACAGGCAAAGGTGTCGAAGAAGCCATGCGCGAGCTGAGCGAGATGGAACAAAAGTTACAGACTGCCGTCCGAACACAACGACTTGCCGTTGAGTCCTCAGACCTTCAAGTCAAGAAGGAAGCCGCCAACGAACCTGATATTCGACCAAAAATGTACTCGCCGAACCAGGATACTGTTGTTCCTCGAGGAAATTTGGACGGGAAACCAAAAGCTGTCAGCTCTGTGCCACTGGATGAGTACGACGCCAAACGCGCTGCTGGCGATGTCGCTGATGCCAAAGGGGAAGACGACGGCATGGACCGAGGTGCCAGCAGGCCTCCCCCTGTGAACAGTGAAATTCTTCCTCTACCATGGAAAGGAAGGTTAGGATATGTGAGTTTGGCATTGTAACTTCTAGACATTACTGACTTTACAGGCCTGCCTGAATACATACTTGCGCAATGCAACCCCTGCCGTCTTTTCTTCGAGGACCTGTCGCATGGCTTCCATTATTGAACACCGACATCCGTTAGCAAACCCTGATGAACCAGAACATCCTACCAAGAACCGGCCAGACAAGAACAAACCCGCAGACCACGAACGGGGACTCAAATATGTACAAGAGTTGGGCTTAGCGAATGCAAGAGATATTGTCAAAATGATTCGATGGAATGTCAAGTACGGCATCAGATTCATGAGACTGAGTAGTGAAATGTTTCCATTTGCAAGTCATCCAGAACATGGTTACAAGCTAGCGCCCTTTGCGTCAGAGGTGCTGGCGGAAGCTGGCAAAGTAGCTGGAGAGCTGAATCATCGTTTAACAACACATCCTGGACAATTTACACAGATTGGTTCCCCACGCAAAGAAGTTGTTGCCGCCGCCATGCGCGATCTGGAATATCACGATGAGATGCTCACTCTACTCAAACTTCCTGAACAACTTGACCGCGATGCTGTCATGATCCTTCACATGGGTGGCACTTATGGCGACAAGCAAGCAACTATTGACCGATTCAAAGAGAACTACGCCAAACTTTCAGACAGTATCAAGCGACGCTTGGTGTTGGAGAATGACGATGTCGCATGGAGTGTTCACGATTTATTGCCTGTTTGCGAGGAGCTCAACATTCCTCTTGTACTCGACTACCACCATCACAACATCATATTCGACCCATCGATAAGAGAGGGTTCCAAAGACATTATCGATCTTTATGACCGCATCAAGGCTACATGGACCAAGAAGGGAATTACTCAGAAAATGCATTACAGCGAGCAGACTTCCAGTGCTGTCACACCAAGAGATCGTCGCAAGCATTCCGCCAGAGTCAAAAGTCTCCCACCATGTGCCCCCGACATGGATTTAATGATTGAAGCCAAGGATAAAGAGCAAGCTGTTTTCGAATTGATGCGAACTTTTAAACTGCCAGGTTGGGACACTTTTAACAACATTGTACCATATGAACGACCAGACGAATCACGAAAAGCCGTCAAAAAGAAGGCAAAGAAGGGCAGAAAAGCAAACGGCGTCAACGGAGAAGTGGAGGATGATATTCAGGTACCTGAAAAGATTGTCAGCGCTGAAGATTTCGGTATGGGGGGTCCTCAGGCAAGAGTGTATTGGCCTGAAGGTATGGAAGAATGGTTAAGACCGAAGAAGCGAGAGATCAAGAAGGTAAAGGAGGGCAAAGATGGGACACCTGTGATGAAGCAGGATGGAGATGAATGATTACGCGTGGTTAATGTTTGTAATTTCATGTAAATATTGTACTATTAATAAAGATAATGCATGAATATTGTGTTCAATTGTGTGGTGTTGAAAATCGAGGTGCAGGAATATACAGGGTAGGAGGTATCCAGAAAAGTTTTCAAGACCTTCCCAAGTCAAGTTTCCCAAGTCAAGCTTCAACTTTTCTTTTTACAACAAACAAGATGGGTTCTACAAATTTTCACGGAACAAGCGAGAGCTTTTTGCGCTGGTTCAAGTCTTTGCCAGATGCTACATTCTCCGACGCCATTAAAATTGTTGATCTTCGTGATCGCAATGCTGGTCGTGGTATAAGTAGGTGCTCATACATGCCTGCAGGGTCAAGCTAACAAAACAGTCGCTCTCGAGGATATCCCTGCGGAAACAACTCTGTTTACCATTCCGAGAAAAGGAATCATCAATGTTGAAACCTCGGAGCTGCCAAAAAAGATCCCGGATGCTTTTGATCTCGACAAGCCTGATGATGATGATGCACCAGGACTGGATTCGTGGAGTTCGCTCATCCTCATCATGATTTACGAGTACCTACAAGGCGACAACTCCAAATGGAAGCCTTATTTTGATGTTCTTCCTTCGTCATTTGATACGCCCATGTTTTGGTCCGATAATGAGCTTGACCAACTTCAAGCCAGCCATATGCGACACAAGATCGGCAAGGCTGATGCTGAGAATATGTTTCAAAAGACACTGCTTCCTATTATTCGAAGCAACTCTGAGATTTTCAATGCTGGAAACAAGACTGACACAGAGCTTATCGAGATTGCCCACCGGATGGGCAGCACCATCATGTCGTATGCTTTCGATCTTGAAAATGATGAGGAAGAAGAGGAAGAGGCGGATGGTTGGGTTGAGGACCGAGATGGAAAGTCGATGATGGGAATGGTACCAATGGCGGACATTCTGAATGCCGATGCCGAGTTCAATGTAGGTGAATGTCTTTGATGATTGGCAAAGCTAACAGAATAGGCTCACGTCAACCATGAAGAGGAGAGTCTTACCGTGACCAGTTTAAGACCGATCAAGGCGGGTGAAGAGATTCTCAACTACTATGGCCCTCACCCGAACTCGGAGCTCCTAAGACGATATGGATACGTTACCGAGAAGCATTCTCGTTATGATGTTGTTGAGATTCCTTGGGACATTGTTGAATCAGCCTTGACCTCCAACTTTGGCATCTCAAGTCAAGTCTTGGAGCAGATTGTAGGTTACATGCACTTGCAGATGACTCAGCTAACCTGAATAGCGTGGCGCTCTCGAGGAGGACGAAGAATTCGAAGACACATTCGTTTTGGAGCGAGAAACAGGCGAGGTCAACTCGGATGGCACCTTTGTCGAGCCTGCTCGATTCGAAAGCATGCCCGAAGATCTCCAGGAACAACTCAAGACATTCCTCAAAGGCATCAAGAAAGCACAGCCCAACGCTATCCCCGACAAGCGAAAGAGAGACGAGATCCATCAAGCTGTACTGGTCAAGATACTGGAGGCTCTTGTAGCGAGATACCCGACAAACATTTCCGAAGACGAAAACCTACTCAAGCAAGCCCTCAACCAACGAACTCGCATGGCTATTGTGGTCAGACTTGGAGAGAAGAAACTGCTTCAAGAAGCCATTACAGTATCTTCTGGAGACGTTGAGATGACAATGGACGACGAATCTGGACCAGCCAAGCGTACAAAGCTATCTGGTTGATCCATCAGCGGGGTTATGTGATAGATCTTGTTTCCTCTCCTCTCATGCAAGAGGTGCAGAAGGCGATTGCGAACCATCCGCAAGGCAACAATTCCAATCAAAATCACAATTATCTACTATTTAAATGATTCATATCTTGCACATATTGTTTTCCAACTTCTTCCTTCTGATCAGCGACCACATTGATGAAACTCAAGTTGCTCAACCACACAGCGAGATATGCTGACAAACAATTGGTCTAGATCAATCCAGCCCCCCAAGCACTGTTGAGCTTACAGTCCGGCTGAGACATGGAGTAGAAGTCTGCTCTGCTCTCACTTTACAAGAAATGCCTCGCTAGACGCGGTTCCGCACTCGCGCCATACAAACTTCAACCGGAGATGTATGATAACGGTTGAAACACGAGTCCACCATGTTGATGGCCTCGCTGTTGAGCTATTCAATCGACGATCTGTCTCGGTTACATTTAACCATCTTACGGTGTACGCCACCCCCAAAGACTTGCAAGCGAGCACAAGGCATACAGTTAATGCTCGGACTTGAATGATCCCGAACTCAACACCATCAGAGAAGAGGCTTGAACATTGGTTGCTTCCTGGTCACCTGTCGAGGTCCCACACGACTTCAAGACACACATGTCTTGCGGAAACACCGATGTCCTTCTGGCCTCAGATGCAATTCAGCTCTTGTCGCATAAATCCAACGTTGCCAAGTCGCAAGTCACCAGATTATCAAGGGTTAGCGCCAACAACTGATCGACATCAAGATCGAATCTCACCCATTGGCCAGTATGGGATACTTACCCGGTGGGAGTGTCCGGTTGGGGTCTACAGTCCATCTATCCGTGGAGTATGGGTCAACCGGTGTCAAGCAGAAGAAGCGTAAGAGGGGTCGGGCCGCAGTGATGTTGCATGAACTGGGGTATGCTCTCCAGTATTTCCTGCCCACAGCATACAGAAGTACCATGAAGCGTGGCACCAATCCTCAATTCAAGAAGTCTTGAATAGGCTTTAAGGGTATGTGAAGATGTCTGGCAGAGTGCAGGAAAGCTGACAGTGGATGTATGGTGGCGTCATTCTCCCACTTTATTGCTTCTATCACCGGAAGTCGGGATTCCTTAATGGTTTAGTGACCGAGGAAGCCCAAGTGGTAAATCCGAGATGAGGCTCTGCGGATGAGTGAGTTTATAAAAATGGCAATTGCTCAAGTGTGATCGACAGATGATCTCCAAGTCAAATAGTGATCATGTTGAAACAGGTACGCTGAAAGCTCAGCTCTAAGCTCAACTAACACTGTCAGAAAACATCGAAGCATAGCTCAAGCCGAAAAGGAAGCTCTTCAAGCCAACCTAGCCCGGGCTTCTTGTTTATCACCAACAAACTCGTCATCCACAACCCAGGACGTGACGATTATCTTCACCTTATTCCACCCAGCTCGCCAAACTACTACCGCGGCGAAGTCCCAAGCAAAGTCATGCGCTACAAGAACGGCGAAGTCTCAGAAGCAACGGATTGGCGATGGTTTCGAGACGCTTCCACGCTTCCAGCATCCGAAGGACAATTACTGAGAGTGGACGGCCGCGGAACCTGCATCACAGATCAATATGGACATTACTACCCGGCTGAAGAGTATAAAACGTTTGGAGTTGCTGCTTGCAATCCCCTTCTTCCAATCATGGTAGCCGAGCAAGACCCTCTCGTTACCACATCAAACTGGGAACTCCTACGTGTATTTCATCCACCATCAACCCCCGGACTCTCTCAAGTGAGCACCATTACCAGTACCATGGGTCCTGGGCCTGGTCCTTTGCTACACGTTGCTGGCAGATCTCCCGCTTGGATTCCTGGCCTACTCCCTATGACCTACAAAGCACCTCGACGTGATGCACCACACTCAGTAGGCCTTGGAGGAGAACTGCCTATTGTTCTGGGGCTCATGGCATTGAATGCACCTCCAGGCAGTGAGATGAGCAACCATTCGATAGAAAGTGTATTTCTTGGACACAGTCGATTATGGAAACACGGAGCTTGGACAAGTCCTGATGCTCCCAGAGGACGTAAGTTGTCCACTGGATTGCTGATATAGCTAACGACCATAGACCCCCCAACAGCTTGTGAAGATCCAAAAGGATTTATTGTCAAGGTGTTTTTTGACCCAGACAACCAATACTCAACTCGAGAAGATCTCCGCAGTTTTGAGTGGGAGAGGGCTATTGTTCGAGATTGACCCAAATGTTTGACATCAACTTAAGCTTGAATTGATTTAGTCTATTATTCCGTATGAAGCCCCCTGCTCTGCAGTCTGCCCCATCGTTATCCCCATACATGAGGCCAGGTGTAGGACCGTGAATCACGGCTCGGTTATGTATAGTCGACTCAGACTGCGTCAGGAAGTCGTACAGCAATATCGCCAGATTGGGTAATGTATCGAACCCAAGGAAGCGAAGGATATTGCAACTGCAATTGTTAGTCTTGATCGAATATTTGACGAATTTCGTACCTTTGGCTCGGTAATCTTTAGATACCGAACCTGAATACCACTTGTGGTAAAGTAAGGGATCTCAAATTTGACCTGGATAGGTCGTTTGGCACCCTTACCCACACCTCCGACTCCTCCCATACTACCGCCGAAACCACCCATCATACCACCACCTTGTTCATCATCTCCTCTCACGCTTGGCAGGCCCAGCTCAGCACGCATGAGGAATTCCTTGCCACCGCCAAATTGTTTAATCTTCCAGACAATGGCACTTTGCTCGGGGGCGTAATGAACGGATCCAATGTTTGTTCGGAAACGAGGACTATCGGCGTCATCTGGAACAGGAACCACGATTTCGACATTGTTGGCAGTACTGCGGCGCTTGAATTGAGCTCTAGCCTTGAGCATGTATTCGATTCGAGAGCCTGAATGGGATTCGACAACACATTCAACCCAGATCAGAGGCTTGACTTGAGTGTTGAGACGGTAAGACATGAGCTCGAATTCGCCGTCAGGGGGGATAAAGGAGATGGTTCGGTCGTTTTCGAATCGTGATAGTCGTACACATTGGTGGAACTTGACGTCTTCCATTTCGATAGCTTTACCGCGGGTGGCTCGGCCGGTTGTCTCAAACATGACCTTGTCGTTCAATCCTAGACGCAACTCGGGCATACCACTGAGATAACACTTCATCTTGATAGCGCCAAGAATCTCTGATCGAAGGACATTGCCGTTTGCAGACACCAAAAGGTTGAGAGACTCGACAACATCGAGGAATACTTCGTTCTTGCGGTAACGGATACCCTCTGATCGCCATGACACAGCGTTTGTAACAGCAATTGGTGGTCGAGCTTGAATCTCGAGCTTGTGAGATTCCTGGGTGATGTACTCCTGAAGGATCTTGGATTCTGTTGTTTGAGGATAACCAAAATCCATCATTTCGTCGAGAAGTTCGTAGATGATGACAAAGTTGTCTCGAATGGATTCTTCTTCTAAAGCTTTGAAGTACTCGGTAAAGACCTCGACGATCTTGTGAAGGAATAGGAGGATTTCGGCGGCATTCGTGTTTCGTTTCGTAAGGGCGAGGAGGTAGAGGTTGTTATGGCGGATGTAGAGGTACTATTCGGTCAGCAGAAGCCTCCAAGCATGGAGAGTACATACGTTGATGCCTTCATGGGAGAAGCATGGTGGAACAGCAGAGGAATCTTCCTCAGCTTCTGAAAGGAGTACGGGGAACTTTTCAACTGCTGACATGGGAATGTCACCACGATAGTTACGGGCAAGAAGGGTCTAAATTGTCAGCGAGGTCATATTCAATGGCGTTCAACACACCTTGCCCTTGAGATCTAGAAAGAAGAGTGCGGATGCCATATTCGATGTCTTGGCGATGAAGCGGAAAGGAGGTCGCGATAAGATGCGACGGTCAAGTTCAAGATGAAGAGGTCATGCGCAGTGAGCAAAACAACAACAATAAATAAAGAGAGGCTGAATAGTAATTAAGGACTACAGAGAAGTGCAGGCAATCATCATGGTCCGAGGCGCAATCGTTTCGTTGGTTAAGCTGTTTCGCTGGCATCTTTTGGATGCCTGGTCATTCCAGCTGGTGACGACACGGTAGAATATCGGATATTGGTGGGGTAGCTTGAGCTTCACGTCACGTGAGAGATGGATCAGAAATTTTGATAAAAGCTTTGGTTTTTTTTGGTCTCTGTTTGTTTTCTCTTCTCTTCAACGCACCCTCTAGACAGTGCAGACCATTACCTAGCCTGCAACCGAATGGCATTCTGTCATTTCAGCCGTGGAGCCGTTGATGTGAGCTGCGATTTCGTGGTGCGGAGAGGGAGACCTGGCTCCATTAAGAACTGCCCGAGTATTATTAGTTGCTTTGGCGGTGTCAGAGGAGCCGGACATACAATTCGTGATTGAGACATTCGATCTGGGGTAACGTGGCAGGTGACCTCAGCCACGACTTTGTTGGGGTATCGTGAACCGAGGGTCCTCGACTTGATCCAGGGCCTTTGCTCTGACGAGATCTGAAATCAGGGATCTTCGTGGTTGTCACAATTGGGCATTCGTAAAGATCGTGGCAAAGTTAAATTTGCAAGATCATGTCCAATGAGCTTGTGACCGGTGCATCCATCTAGCGTTTATCACCAAGTCGAACGCGAGGTCCTCCAACAGTCTCCAAGCTCACAATTTACACCAAACGACTATGACGGAGTAATTTCAGTGTTTGAGATTCAGAACTCAACTCAGTCCGTGCAGACATGATACCTCCGTTCAACCGATTCAGGGTCCAAGATATCAGTACAAGTTGTCCAATTTCACCCGTCACGATCATATCGCTATCCGCACAATGACACCGTATCATTGACACATGTCAAATTCACATGTTGATCAGTTACACATCGGAGACCAAATACAGGTCCGTAAAGTAACCGAATGCCGACTGGTTTGGATAAAGAGTAATGCAAATGCAACCTTACTTGAAAAGGAACATATTAGCATAGCTCAGGATGAGCAATCAATGAGCAATCGCATCTGACGTTATCAGACAATTCCATTGGATGGAAAAATAACATTCAAACGCATCAGGAAAAGGATATAATCCTCTGTGGCATGTGCTTGAGTTGATATTGTTAGTGGATTGCTCATGACTCGGGCGACCCGCTTAACAATTGTGACGATGAGTATACTTCTTTGCATGTGATGTCGGTGCATCATCATCCCCAGTTTTGACACGTGCTAGAGGCCCAGAGGGGCTTCAGGTACAATTCCTAGTGACTTTAGCTTCGACGTTGAACGTTGAGCTGAATTGATCTTGTGATGCTGCGGACAAAACCTAGGCCCAACAAATTTATCGCATCATAGTCAAGCGAATGGTATATCTTGCGATGATGCCCTGATATTGGGTCCAGCTCTCTTAGCGATCTTCCCCACTACGCCTCTAAAACAAGTCACCTGAAGCCACTGTAGCCGGCCCGGTTTTTAGTGGGTTATCGTCGTGCGCTGGGCTTGTTTGTTCAGCCGGTCCCTGCAGCTCAGGAAAGAAGGTCCCGCGAGCGCCTGACGTTAACAGGTTTCTCGTCTTGTCCCCCCACGATCGCTCCTCTCATTCCCAATCCATTCTCTCCCCCAACATCTCCGCTCCATCATCAATATCAGTATTCCTTTCTTTTCTCTTTTGTTTCTTTGCGATATTATTTGCGGCCACTGGCCGTTTCTTTCGATGCTTAGTTGACATATCCGTGTTATCGCCGACCATGGAGCGCAATCACATGCTTCCTGATCGGGAGACCGAGTCTCGTCATGTCCTCGGACCACCACCTGCTCGACCACCTCAATCTCTAATGGCATTCTCTCCTCCAGCTTATTCCAATGTCGCTTCACCAAATGCGATAAAGTTTCCTGATGTTCCTACCGATATACCAACTTCTTTGCCTCCTTTGGCTAGATTCGAAGCCGATAACGATACCAAGTTACCACCTCTGAGTTCGCTTACGAGCGAAATGGCTTTGGAACCAACAAAAGCTTGGCTTCCTTTACACCCTATGCCTTATCCGCCAGTCCTCGCGCATAGTATTGATAGTCCGACACGAATGGATCTTGACGGGAGTAGCAACAGTGTTGTGAGCGCTGCTTCTCCTGATCGTCTTGATGCGAGGGCTGGTAGCGTCAGCCTTGATGATCCAGATGTACGACTGGCAGCTGAGGCGCTTGGTGATTTGAGAGCAGGTATGTTGTCAGTTCTGATCAAAAATCATTTCTAACGTCATAGACTTTATATCTTCACCACCTCATAGAAATTCCTCTCTTCCAGTTAGTCCACCGACTTCTGGGATTCAATCGAATCAACCACAATCTCCACAGCCTGAACCGCTTCTGTCTCTACTTACGACGACTCATCCATTATTGGCGAGTACAATTGAGGGCGCCACTTCGGCATATGGTGGTGCCAAGAACTTTTCACCGCGTTTTCGATCTGGCGCCGAATATGTTGAAGGATACCTAACACCTATTGCGAATACCGTTGGTTCGGTTGGTCGAGTAACCGGTGTTGAAGGAGGTGTCAGATGGTTTTTGGGCGCTGGAAGACGGCAAAACAGTTCAACGTCAGACTTGGAAACTGGCAACAGCAAGAAGCGACGCAAAACGGACGAGGATGAAGCCGTCAGCAACAAACGATTCGAGAGTGAAGGAATGCAACAAATGAGCGATGAACAGATGGATACAGCACCTTCACCGTCTTCAAAGACCATGTCTCGTCGCATGTCAACTACAAGCACCGTCGATACTCTTCCTGCTTACGACGAGTTGCGATCACCCGCATATACCGAGACTGATGCCAATTCACCACGACCATCCCGACCAAACAGCGCTTGGCAATCACGTCTGATTACGTCTACTTCTGGTCTCAGTGTCGCTATGAATCAGGAGAGTCTGCGAAGTCTCAAATATTGCCTACAATGGCTTCGCTGGGCCAATGATCACATTGCTCGCGTGATTTCAGCCCTAAAGACTACCCTTGAAGAGTACGAAAAGGTACCAGATGGACAAGCTGGCGAACGAGCTGATCCTGAATCTCGCTCTCAACTTGCTGCTCGCATCTCAAACCTCAAGGGCGACGTCCTCAGAACCCTTCGAGAAGCTATCAACACTGTGTCAAAATACGCAGGAGGCGCATTGCCTGAAAATGCACGAATTCTTGTGCGACGTCATCTCACTAGTCTACCCCAACGATTCCGTGTCGCCACCATGACCGACAGGAATGCCGGGCAACAAGATAACGAGACTGCTCTCACTGAAGGTGCACACAAGGTTTTGGTTCTGGCCAAAGAAGGTTTGGACATGGTTGTTCAAGTAAGTGGTGTTGTAGATGGAACAATTGTCAGCGCTGAGCAATGGCTCGACCGTATGGGCAAACGAAGAGCTCAAGAAGATGAGAAGCCAATGCTTCCTCAAACTGAGGTCAATGGGGATGTGAAAATGGGTTAATTGGAAACGACAAACGAAGTGGCGGTGATACCTGCGAGTTCCAATATCACGAGGAACTGCATTCTTATTCGAATGACAAACGACCAGTTGGTGACGAGCGAGTTGGATTTTGTTTCTGGCGTTTGGTTGGCTTTGTAGCAACGAATATGAGCTTGCTTTCAGCATATGGTCAATTATTGATTGGCTGTCTGATGGTTATCATCTTTCAGACACCTGAATGTGATGTGCGGGTCGGAACAACACAGTACCGGCTATTTAAGACTCTTTGGATGCAACTCGATCACTCAATCATGGCACCTCCAAGATATTCCACCACTCGAGTCAAAGCTTGTCAACATTGTATAACCGCCAAAACAAAATGTGATCGCAAAGAAACTTGTGGGCGATGCGCCTTGCGGGGTTTAACATGCAGTTATCCTGGAAGATTTCGAGAGCCGAGTATCGTAGATTTGCAGCACTCTGGGAACTCAGAGAGCAATTGGGAAAACTCGAACACGTCGGACACTCTGGACTTTGAGCAGAGCTCACTCCAGACAACAGACACTCCAACTGGCGACCTTGACTTTGATCCACTGGACCTTGTGTGTCCTATCAACAGTGACGACATCAAGAACCGATGGCTCAACTCTTATGTTCCTCTGCCTGGTCAATCGCCCAAGAACTACACTCAGAGTGTCATCAATTTTGTCTATCGAATGCTGAAATCGTATGCCTCGACAGCAATTCGAGGTCGTCTCCCACCATTCATCCATCCTATGCAGCAATCATTGGTGCCACTCTCAACCTGTTTTACTCTGGTCCGAATATGCGACCCTTTACCTGGCAATGTGAGTATTGCCGCAGATATTCTCCAGCGAGAAATGACAAGACTTTACGAAGAGCGAGGGACATATGACGGCATCAATCTTGTTGGAGTGTTTCAAGCGTACCTCATCTATTCCATGGTTCTGTTCTTCCACCTGGGCCCTTCAATGCCATTTCTTCGTCAGGCAATGATCAACCTCCAAGAGATTGCATGTGCGACCTCTCGTGAAGGACTTGTATGTACGGCAGAACAACGAGGTATCCGACCAAAATGGCAATCATGGATTATGGCTGAGGCCAAGAGACGAACACTATACACCATGTACTTTCTGGACAATGTATTATCAGCTCATGATGGTCTCACCACGTATCTGGGAACTGAGTTGAGGGGACTATATTCGCCATCGAGCAAATATCTATGGCAAGCTGATCGCAATGGATGGGAACAGACCTACAACTCTCATCTGGCTGAATGGGGAAGTGAACCCTTTCGACTGGATGAATTGTGGCCATTTCCAGATGGAATGAGTGAGGAACAGATAAAACGACAACGACGGCGGGTAGATCGATGGTTGGAAGATGTTGACGAACTTGGGACAATGCTATATGCAGCCTCAAGCTGCACTCACGGGGGGTAGCGCTGACTTCCTCACTACAATATCCGACACAACTCGGGACCTTCGTCAGATCGTACAGCCTTGTCGCCAAGATCAATTCTCCTCCATATCGGCCAACTTACCTCTAACCGTTCGCGTATGTCATCAAGAACATGTTTGCCGAATTACGCCACAGGATCAACGACCTAACCCGTCGCCTTGAGTCATTGCAGTGACCTCAACCAAAGGAAGCCCTGTAACAGAAACAAAGTTCAGCACCAACCGTTAGTGGCGTTGATCGTTGACGGCTGGGTCCCCGGTGATCCACTAGTTAAAGCTTGACTCTCAGATATCAAGTATTCATCGCCTCCCATCATCCTGTATCTACAATTACAATGAATTTAGCTTCATTTCCACGATATGTGGAATGCAACAGGTCCCGACTCGAATCGAAATGCCCCCCCTGGGGTTGTAGCCGACTATAACAATCCTGAAGATGTTTACTGGACGTTGAACATTGTCTTGACGGCTATCTGTGTATTCTTTATTACATTACTTTTTATAATACGAGTTTATGTGAAGCGAACGATTAGTCGGAATTCTGGATTAGAAGATTGTATGTCGATATCTGATGTTGAACAAAGCTGACAGTTTTAGGGACATGTATAGCAGCATTTGTATGACCAGACACCTAATATGTGGCTATTGCTAACCTTTAGATCACCTCCATCATATACTGCGTCACTGTTTTCATGAGTACGTCCATTTCTCTTTTTGTTGCGTCACTAACAAGATAGTGGCCCGATATGGAGCAGGTTATCATGCTTGGGAGATTCGTAAACCAGAATATTACAACTGGCTAAAGGTGAGTAGCCAAGTGTCACACGATCGGTCTAACAAATCAGTGGTTTTACGCCAGTAGGGTTGTCTATATCCCAGCTGCCTTTTTCACCAAAGCGACCATTCTACTTCTGATGGCACGAGTTTTTGCTGTCGAACCACGAGTCGCCAAGGGAATCAAGATCTTGATATGGGCTTTATTGGTGGCATGCATTCCGATTCAAATCCTTCGAATTGTCAACTGTTATCCTATCCGGACATATTGGGATCCAGATGTCAGAAACGCACGATGTCTCAACCAACGAAAGATCTTCTTTTCAGATCTAGCCCTATCGATTGTCGCCGACTTGGTTATTCTTTTGATTCCAATACCTTTGACTTGGAAACTCAGAATGTCAATAGGAAAAAGGATCAAGATTGTCTTGCTTTTAGGGGCTGGTGGAATTGCCACAGCATTGACACTGTTCCGTGTTGCCAAAGCGGTTGACTTTTTGAACTCGGATGATATCACTGTCGATTATACGCCGATTGGCATTCTAACGTATGTTTTGTCACCCGATAATGCATGTCTAACGATTGTAGGGCTCTTGAGATTACTATAGGCTTCGTCTGTGCCTGTCTTCCATCTCTGAACCTCCTGATCGAACATCATGTCCGTAAGCGTCGACGAGAACGAAACCCGAATTGGCCACGCGAGCGAACACGAACCTCTTTGTTCAAGAAACGCTTCCGATGGATTAGTTCGTCCACAGAACACATGTCCTCTCGACCGAATCGGCCTTCAGATGGAATGATTGACTTGGACGTGGAAATGGCCATGTTGACGGGTCAACCTGTACGGTTACGAACGGGTAGAACAGCAAGTGCAGGATCTCATGAGGTTCGACCACTTGACCATCGACTTAACTCTGGTGACGGACGAAGAGAGGGATGGCTGTCTCGAGATCAGGACGATCAAGACGAGGTACAGGACAGCAAGTTTATCATGAGAATGGTGGAGGAATCAAGAGCCAGAGCAGACGAGGGGGCTAAAGAATCCTGGTGTCCAGTTTGGGATGGACCGAGGGATCCTATGGCAAGTCAAGGGAGTTGGAAGTAGAGCGTGCGGACGCATTAGAGCATAGAATTGATATCTCAGGATAGCGAGAGCTTCCACCCAAACTTGTGAATAATCTCCCTCCAGTCTTGGTTTGTACTCGATACTTGAAGATCTCTTGTATGCCAGATCAGCTTGAGTGCATTCCAAACAGCAGATATGTTGCTAATGGGCCATTTACTATCCATCAACATGAAGTGATCCAACACGACCTTTCGTTGCTCATCCGATGAGCATGCACAGCCTGCCAAGAACAGTGGCCACATGGGGAATGATCTTCGAGTTTGTCCTTCAACGATGATATCGGAGAGACAAGAAAGAAGTGATTCATGAAGTGCCAGAATTGATGGGTGAGTGATGGCTGTGTTGTAACAGACAAGGCGGAGGTAGATTTGGGCCGCAATTCTGAAAGACTCGGCGCTTCGCAAGAGGTAGTCGTCAGAGCCCTGAAAAGAGAGGTCCTCGAGTCGTTGTTCAATTTCCTGGCCTGTTGTGTACAGTTGATCCTTGGAAATGTCGTGAGTAGATAGTGACGATATTTCGTTGATGATGTCGACGAGATCCATTGAGCAGCCAATCTGTTCATCAACCAGATTTCGAGAATGCGGGAGTGTAGCCTCAGCTTTGGCCAAAGCAGCCATTGCTTGGTGTAAAGAGTCCTGGTGAGTAGGTTGTGTAGTCTCCATGAGAATATATCGAAACCGGAAATACTGGAGTACAAACTCGGCCACATTGGGGTCAATACTGTTTCCGAAACTCTCAAGTAGAGCGAGTGCGCCTTGAAGATGACGAAGCCATGTCGGACAAGATCCATGTGCGATTTCAAGAGATGCCAGAAGAACACAAGTGAGAAGATTGCCTTCACTGCCTTGGGGATCTGGAAGTGCGTGTTGTAATTCATGGAGAGCTCGGACTTTGTACTGCATTGACAGAGCACGGTAGTCTCTTCCATCCGGAACAATGTTTTGTGCCCATTCTGCTGCGCTCATGGCTAGGACAGCGGAGAACAAAGGGCCTTGGTAAAACATTCGTGGAATGACTGATGTACGGAAGCCATTCCGACTGGTATCCACGTAGACTCTGCTCCTGGAGATTATTTCGACATCTAATCTGTTAGCAGGTGACTAGTCGCTGTAGGATACATACAATATTGTACGAGAGCTTTCTCGACTGAACGTCCCGACTCAAAGGCAAACGGTGATAAACTGCGGGGAACAGATTCCTGTGTCCAAACAATTCCCTTTCCTTCAGTCGTATTGCAAATAGCAACAAGTTCCCGAGGTGAAAGATTCAGAAAGCTATGGCTCTGGTTATCAATCGGTACCAGATAATGATCATTTGAAGCCGCCACGATAAACTTTAACGGATTCGATGCTGAAGCTGGACTCGGAAAGATACAGTCATCCCCGGCTCTTTGACATCGTCGACATGTTGGTTTCTCTTCGTCACATCTTCGTTTTCGTCTTCGACAGTTGAAGCAGCCATCTCGGCTCCGAGAGCCACCTGACATGATGCATTGCAGTTGGTGTTAGTTGAGCGTTGATGGTGGGGAACGGATGGACTTCCGATCAACGCCACGTGACGGCCGACGATGTTTGACATGCATTAGCCTTCCTCTTTCATTGATAACCTTGAATAGCTACTATCTCGCTCTATCAGTGATCTGACGTCTGAATACATTTCATCAGTGGATTCCTACAGTTACCCTGCAGCCATGCGGAGACGGATATTAAACGGCCATACCAATGCATCATGACGATCACAGACACTTCTCTGTACAGTCCACAGATATCTACGTCGCATTACCATTCAATAGATTCTTAATACAGCATATTTCCCTCATGTTCCTGCTAATTCAATACCTCAATGGCTATGGCCACATCCCGACACATCTCCGATAGTGGAGGGTTAGCCCGCAGTGGGGTTCTCGGAGTCATACTCGGTCGGCATACGGAGGCTAACATACGTCGATCAATTCTTTCTCACTTACACCAAATTCTCTCCCGTCAATTCAACGCTCAGCATAGCCTTCAACATGGCTAATGATCATATCCTCACCCTGTCATGCCCTGACAAGTCCGGCATCGTCTATGCCGTGACTGGCATCTTTGCCGCCAACAAGCACAACATTCTCGACCTCCAGCAATTCTCTGATCCCGTTTCCGAGCGCTTCTTCATGCGTGTTCACTTCGGACCTACCGAGACCGAATCCACCGAGCACCTCGTCGAAGCTTTTGATAAGCTCGCTAGCGAGTACAAGATGGACTACGATATCCGACCCGTCGCCCGCAAGACCCGTGTTCTCATCATGGTCTCCAAGATCGGCCACTGTCTGAATGACCTCCTCTTCCGCATGAAGACCGGCCAACTGCGCATGGAAGTCCCCGTCATCGTTTCAAACCATCCCGACTACGCCGCCCTCGCCGAGAGCTACGGAATCGAGTTCCACCATCTCCCCGTTACAAAAGACACCAAGGCGCAGCAAGAAGGCCAGATCCTCGATCTCTGCAAGAAGCACGGCATTGAGCTCATCGTCCTAGCCCGCTACATGCAGGTTCTCTCGCCGACGCTCTGCGAAGCCATGTCCGGACGCATCATCAACATCCACCATAGTTTCCTGCCTTCTTTCAAGGGCGCCAAGCCTTACCACCAGGCTTACGAGCGCGGTGTGAAGATTATCGGAGCTACTGCTCACTTTGTGACTGCTGATTTGGATGAGGGTCCTATTATTGAGCAGCGGGTTGCTCGTGTTGATCACAGCATGAATCCTAAGGAGTTGTCTGAGGAGGGATCCAATGTTGAGAGCCAAGTACTTGCTGCTGCTGTGCGGTGGTATGCTGAGAGGAGATTGTTCCTCAATGGACACAAGACTGTTGTCTTTAATTAATAAAAGTTTGATTTGACTTTGACGAAGTTCTATGCGAACTATGGTGATGTGCATGAATCGTTGTGTTTACCTATGACTCTCGAGGCGTCTGTATGCGGTGATAGTGAACGAGCTGTTACCAATCCCCGAATAGCTCAGCTGGAAGAGCGTTCGGCTGTAACTGATATATGACACCGAAAGGTCACTTGTTCGATCCAGGTTTCGGGGATTTCTTTTGCTGTTTGTAGCATTTGACTGTTGTCTTCGTTCGGTCGTGAAGGTCTACTTTTTTTCCCCACAAACTGAAACACAATTTGGCGACCGCAATAGAAAGAGTATTTACAGGAACAATAAAGCAAAACGTAGTAAACGACACAGTACGACAAAAACCCAACTAGCAAAACGAAGTTTGTCATAAAGAAAAGACGCAAAAAGATGAGTTCCCCGAAACCTGGATCGAACAAGTGACCTTTCGGTGAGATGCTTAACAATTACAGCCGAACGCTCTTCCAGCTGAGCTATTCGGGGAAATCTCCGAAACCGGAGGAATAGCCATTGGACTTGGTTGGGAGAGGGAGAATAAATTATACCTATACGCAGCGTCTTTGCTTGAGGCACATTTGAGCATTACAGTTGGCTTACCCTAAGCTGGCTTGCAATGAAGTTGGTTTCGAAAGTTATATTTGGGCGAGGAATGATATCGCAAAGTTTGAATCTGAAGACAATCACATGAGATGAAACAATACCCTGCGTCATCCGTGTCACAATGCGACGCCTCAACACCAAGCTTGCATTTGAGGATACCTCAACCACTGCATCCAGTCTTCAGTACTCCACAAAACCGCAGTTCGAATCGTTGTTACAGATTAGCTCACCCCATCAATGAAGACACACGATTAACCACAATCACCATATACCCAACTTTCCTCGCCGATCGCCATAGCTACTCTTCTGATCGTCAGAGTCATCCCCGAGTAGCTCAGCTGGAAGAGCGTTCGGCTGTAACTGTACCGTCACCGAAAGGTCACTTGTTCGATCCAGGTCTCGGGGATTCATTTTTGCTCTCATCTGCAGTCCCAAACATATCTCCCGTCATCACCTAACAACTCTCACAGTCCTTCCAACCTCTCCTCTCTCAACCTGCTCAACCCTACCCCTAACCTTCTTCCAAACCTCCTCAGCAACCTCCTCCACACTCCCGCCCGCATCAACAACAACCAGATCCTCTTCCTCCTGCGTCCAACCCTCGCCCTCATCCAAACCAAGTCCTTGCGCTGCAACATCCTTCCCACCCATACTAAGACCCCAGAATAATTCCCGTACACGTTTCTGCATATCAGATCGTTCATAAACTTCTCCACCCCAGCCACCTCGTGCTTGAGCTTGCTCTTCGGTCAGATCGAGAAACAATACAAGATCTGGCCGGGGAAGACCGCGTTCTGGTGCTCGTGCCCAGGGGAGGGTCAGAGAGGGGTTTTGCTTGGCGGCTGAGTAGACTATGCCTGAGTGATAATACCGATCGCAGACAATTGTAGTACCAGAAGCGAGCAGAGATTGAATTTGTTTGCTAAACAGTCAGAATTGAAGTGTAACAGACCGTATACTCACACAGCTTCCCATCTGTTTGCGCTGAACAAAAGATGAATAACATGATCATCCATCTCAACATCACTCTTGAGATAACCATCAATCATTTGGCCAATTGGTGTAGTCCTGTCTACAAATCATCAGCATAATTCACCACTTCTTCAGCGACTTACCAGGAAATCTCATAACCTTGACCTTTTTACCCTCCTCAACAAATCTCTGCTCCAACAGTTTCACCTGTGTAGTCTTTCCACTTCTATCCAAACCCTCCAAAACAATGAATGCGCCCCGGGCCGAATCATCGGCAGTATCAGAGCTCGCGATCGCGGCTGTAGCTAAATCGTTGATTGAAGCCATGATGGTTGATGAGGGGAAGTGGATTGCTGACGAAATATTCACACTGTTTTGGTTAGTGGTTCACGTGGGACACAGTGCGACAGAAATCAGATCATAATTTGCACTCAGTAGACATTCAGACAGTTCAGGTAATCAATTAATACTCAGACAATAATATAATCACGAAACTAACAGCCCCAGCTCTTGGTAGCCTGAGAAGAAAAGGTACGCCGGCCGAACTCCTCCATCCGTATCCATTCCATTCCATCATTCATTCCATATCCATTACCATAACAATTCATGACTTGTTCATTTCCTCATGAGCTTGTGTCAGCTTCGTCATGTGCGCTACCGCTTTCCCATAACTCAAAACTTTCTCCCGTTCCTTCAATTGGTTCCAAAACTGCAGCCTTGCTTGAACCTTCTGTGGGCTTGGCCATTAGGTTGTCGATATCTTCTGTTGAAGGATCGATAGGCTTTTCCGCCACTGTCGCAGTCGCGTTCACCTCAGGTACTGGCTCATCTTCAGGTACAAAAATGACAGACGTCTCATCACACCCTTCGGCATAAAAGTCGGCAGTGTTCATTTCTCCCAATGCGACACGCTCTTTCTCAACAATCATCTCATCAGCTCTTGGCGCGCGACGAGTTTGAGAGATATCATCAGGAGGAGGAACATTTTCCTTATCGCGACCCTCAGCACGATCTCTGTTGAGCTTTCGTTGACTTTCCTCGTCGGAAGAAATATCAAGTACACATGTGCTGTGTTGAAGAAGGTTGGTCATCTCTTGTTCAGGTGTGTCCTCGTGAATGTCAAAGAACCAGCTAGCCTTCATGTCTGGTTCATGTAGAGCAGTGATGGGTTCTTTCTTGGCGCCATAGCCAGGAATAGTACCCTTGAGAGCAGCATCGAGAGAAAATGGAGCGGCAGAACCAAGACTGAATGAAGGAGGATCAACACGAGTGTAGGGACCAACAGTACGTCGTCGGCTAGATGCGATACCAGATCGCTTGCTTCGTGTAGGAGATCGACCAGCTGGAGCATAAATGGGAGAAGACTTTGAAATGCCAGAGCTGAGTTTGGCGGGTGATTTAGGTTGAAGAGTGCGTCGGGTCTTGGTAGGGCTCGTAAGGCGATTAGGAATGGGAGATGCAGACACAGATGCAGGCACAGATGCTGACACTGTAGACTTGAGGATAAAGGCGGAGGGTTTGAGGATGCTGTCCTTTAGGATGTCCTTGTCCTTTGAACCTTTTGATCGCTTGGCAAAAGTAGGATCGACATTTTCAGAATCATCGGTATCAATCAGTTCAGCCTTTCGTTTACCACCAGTAGGCAAAGCTAATCATGTCAGTGAAGCCCAAACACTCCGCATCTCCACATACCATTTTGCCTGTTCTTGAGACTTGTCAAGGTCTGAAGACGAGTCCCATCAAGGGGAGCAAATGGTTGACGAGTGACAGTAGCCATGATGGACCCAGTAGCGAGTGAAGTTATTGTTTATTGTTATCGCGTGAGTCAAACGTGTAAATGAGTGAAGACGATGATGAGTGAAAGTGGGAGAGAGCGGGTAGAAAAGAGGTGCTAAAGGTGGGTTCTGGTGCGGAGGGCGCGTGGAGAAGATCGGTAATAAGGGAGCTCAGCGCGAAAGTGGGTTCACTCTAGGGCGTCGTGCCTTGGACGTGAGCGCGGACGTGACGGGCAGGCCACTAGAAGCAGGTCACTAGAATGCCTACAGAGGGCAGTGGGCCAGACAGGTATGAAACGAGAAATGTAGAATCGCGACCGTGTTAATTAGTACGCAGTAAATTAGCAGCAGACATCAATTCAGATCAAGATATGGCCTCTTGATGCCTGAGGTGTTTTCCCCTCAATCAATGCAAGTTGGTCACCGCTAACTGGGCTCTTCTAAAATGATTCGTTCAATGCAACATGCCTTGGCCTTGTGGGACGTCCAAAACTCCACAAGCGTCAACCCAGTTTGCTCCATGTCGCGTTGAGCGCCAATGCAAGGGAGATTCAGCATGCAGGATGAAGACATTTAATGTAGCGCGAGTTCGTGTTCCTTGATCTGTGTAATGCTCCTGAACTCATTGCCTGAACTCGTCAATGACCATGTTGTGCCCAGCCAGCTTTGTGCGGTCACCAATATGCGACCATGTCTCATCACAACATTGATAGCTTCCGAAACCCAATTGGTTGTCGTCTTTCAGCTGATCTGACAATCGTGTTGATCGCCAACCAGCTATTGCCTCCACTGAAACGGGTCCCTGTAAAGTGTAACCTTAACTTGGGTTGTCACTATTAAAGGCCAGACCACCCGCGATCTCTCGCGTCGTGTCCGTGTCGAACCCCTCTTGATGATACTTACGTGCAACGCCAATCCAACTAATGCATTGAGCTGCAAGTTGGAGGCTGGGAGACAGACATTTCGGCCTCGGCGTTTGCCACAAATTTGACCAGGTCGCATGCATAGCCTCTGCCAACTCAGAGACCATATGTGACCATAAATTCTGTAATCTCGCTCACCAATGCTTTGATAACAACTCTCTCTACAATGGTCACCTAAGGTTGCAGTTGAAGCAATATATCTATTGTAAAGCCTCCTATGAAGTGATAATACTACTGTCGTGTCTGAGGTTGAATCATAATAATATTATCCACCGATTGTCGTCGTCTGGACTCTCGACCCTCGCCGCTTGTCCTCGCTCACTTGTCCTCATGAAGATGGTGTGGCCCACGAGTTGCCGACCTGCTCGGAACTTGCTCATCCCCTTCAAGCTTGTGTGGCCGTGGTGGTTTGGTCCGAGTCACCACATCATGGGCCAAATGATGAGTTGAAGGATACGCTCCTGGTGTCTTTTCGTCTTGTAGAAGCTGATGACCAGGACTAGCTCGGTATGTTTCAACTCGATCGAATCCAATATCGTGATTGGATTGGGTAGTATGCGTCTCGCTTGCGTCCTGAAACAAATCGTGTCGATGAACCGCAGGTGGACTGGCCGGTGCCTTTGTATCGGTTCGAAGTTGATGAATTGAAAGAGGATACGCAGGAGTAGAAGTGTCATCTTTCAACTTGTGAGGTCCGCTGGTTCGATATGGTCCTTTCGGGTCTTTGGAGAGGTCATGGCTGTGGTCAAGTGTTGCGTCGGTGGGTGCAACTGGATCTTGAGCGATTGATCTCTCTCGTGGCTTGCTTCGGCTGCTTGCAGATGAAGGTGACGTGCTCTCGGATGAACCTTCGGGTATACATGAAAGACTTTCATCGGGTTCTGTATCACAAGTGGTGACCTTGCTGTGCGATCTAGAAGTATTCGCGGATGTGGTCATCGAAGGTTGGGATTTATACCCACAGCAAATGGGCCTCCGATGATGTCCATGATTGATGAGTTCGTGTTCGATCTGAATGAGGCTGTCATATGGATAGCAGCAGCCATATAAATTGTCTTGATCACGGGTTCCTTCGATGTTGTAGAGATTGCGAACATCTGTACGAAGTTTGGAGATCAAGATACCATAGACTGACATGTTAGAGTGGTTGACTTGCAGATGGCACACTTACAAGGCAAGCAGGCTGCGAATGTCAAGCAGGGAGAAGAAATGGAGGGGCTTTTCAGAGGCTTCGACTAGTATTCCTCATGTGTGTCGATGATTCCTTTTTTGCTGATCCTGAACTTGACATGGCCATTTGGGGGTGAATCATATTCATGCTCTCTGGAGGCAGCATCATCGTAGCGTATTTTGGATCGACCGTAAACAATGCAAGGACAGCAAAGTGTTTCCCATAGGACGTTGACTGGAGCGAGATCCTTGTCATCGTACAGCCAATTTCCACAGTATGGCTTCTCCATGGTGTATACTGAGTGAACAAAGGCGGCGAATAAAGGTCAATAAAAGAAAAGAATGATGAAGATAATGTAACGACCAAGAAGAGTGAGATGAAGAGAGTTTGGAGAGGACGGCGATGATTGAGAAGAGAAGGTGTCGGAGGGAAAGGTGATGCAAACGGCAGGTGGAAAGCACTGGCGCGTTGCTTCCCGAGAACAGTGATGCCTTCCTGAAGACATAGCAAGCAGTCACGGGGAACAAAATGAATGGCAAGAGCTCACCGTGAACCGTCTCAATCCCTCCTCTTCGATCACCCATCATCATCTTTATCCATCACTTCATCAACAGAATCATCAATCACCCCTCTCCCATCATCATCTCTCATCATCAATCACCCATCACCCATCACCTTTCATCAACGACTCTTCGTTTTTCAAGCGGAAATATGGAGCTCTCGTTCACAAGTCTGCGGCCCTCAAGCAGTACTAGCACCATCCTTCATCCAACTCCCACTATCCATCTGGCATCATTCATCGCCCTTCATCAATAGAACCATCATTTTCCAAGCGGAAACGCCGAGATCTCATTCACAAGTTTGTAGCCCCTTAGTTACTGGCGAAGCTTCTCGAGCTCAGATCTCGATGTACTGATATAATCTGCACTAGAACCATGTTACCATGATTGATAATTAGGGTGAATACTGATCCATCATCCAGGAATAGGCAAAATTACCATTCTCCAAGCAATGAAGTTGAGTTACCGCTTACAATCATGATCGGAAGCCTCCTCTCCATGACCAGATTCCGGGCTGACTCGAGTATGAACCATCATGGTGATAGAGGTTCGTGCAGAGGATGGAAACGAGGGTGAGGGCGAAGCTACAGAACCATTACAGACACTACGATCACACGTTACAAGCATCGAGCTACTGCCCCCAAGATTTGGGAGTAAGAGTTTACTGATCAGACCCAGACATACCCCCTCGATTTCTCACCATGGCCGACTACGACTTGCCTCTCGACCATGACAAAGATGACTGCTCGTGAATCAGCGGCTGAAGACAAGTAGACCGATAATGCTTCTTCATTGATGTGACATAGCTAAAATCTTGACTGGCCGAGTCAGAGCATCAATTTACCCTGAACAGCATCTTATACCCTCCAAAGCAAGTCGCAAAAGGTACTGCCCCCAGTATCGGTGTCACCAGGAACCCTACTAATGAGATGCAGCCACACTTCTTCCAACCGTGACCGACTGCGACTGGCCTTGCGGCCGTAACGAAGATGACGCTCATGGATCAGCGGGTAAAGGCGAGTGAAGGCGAGTAGACTGACATTGCTTCTGCATCAAGCACCTGGCTGCAGCTAGAACTTTTACAGTCTGAGGAAGAGTACCCATTCACCGATTCCAGCATGTTGTCTCCATAAACAAGCTGCTAATAGATACTGACCCAAGGTTCGATGTCGCTAGGAAATTCACTGATGAGACGCAGACACACCCCGGCATCCAACCATGACTCACTACGACTCGTCTTTGGGCCATGGTGAACTCAACTACTTGCCGACCAACAGGTGACTCGGATAATGCTTCTGAATAGAACATCTACTACAGCTAAAACCGCCACATGTCAGTGACAGCATCAATTCCCCGTCCAAAAACTTGTTCCTCGGCAAGCAAGTCTGTTAATGAGATTCGGGTGCTTGACCCCTGACGACAAGCTTCCTACGGACTCAGATGTGGCTCGAATCTGGTTCCATATGATCGCGGGTGCCCATAGGAGCATACGAAAAAGTCGACACTCATACTCTCTCAGCAATTATTTGGTCCAAATACACTCAGCACGAATCAGTCCAGACAACTGCCACGTGCTTCCTTCCCGCCACCTGCTCAAACATTTCCCATTGTAAGTTCCTCAACCTCAACTACTGAAGAGTGCTAGCGACGATCTGGACCCAATGGTTCCAGAAGAGGCTGCCATCGACATGTGGACTGACATTCAACAGTTATGCCAGACGCACACCAATTCTTTGGATCCATCGACTAGCCTCCCTGCGGCGCTGAGGCAAGGTAACACGATGCAGGAGGATCGGTACTAGCTTTGAGCTTAGAATGATCGTATAGCACGGAACGGTGACTGCACTCTCCTGCACATTCTCAAGAAGCTCCCGATGTCTGGGCCATGGACTGCGATCAGAGGTGAGTCAGTCACAGCGCAATTTAGCACTAATCAACCAAGGCAATCGTTTGTGCTCTTCGCCGACTTCCCTGTAAGTCCTCGGTCTCAATTGCCGAAGTGTGTTGATGATATCTAGACACGATTATGATCGATGAAGAAGCGGCCTCACAGCTCTATCACTCGGCCTTCACGCATACTGGCTTGACGACCAACTTCTAACCGCGGTGCCGGATACTTCTCAGCTCTCTCACTGTCGAATACCCTTCAAGGGATACTGATGGTAACTTGAAAGGATGCAAGCAATCGGTATCGGCTTCAAGTTGACAATACCCGTGTAGCCCTGAGCAACAACTACACTCATACATACTCTGCAAGTGCTTTGAACAATGCTGATAGTGCCTAGACACCACGGCAGCCGATTAAGATGCGACTTCCACAGCTCTATCGCTCGGGCAACAAGAATATTGATTTGATGACTGACATCTAATCGCTATAGCAGATGCTCCTCACTCTTTCAACCCGTCGAGTAGCCGAACAGCCACTTAGAGTCAGTCGAAAGGGCATAACGACCGACATTGTTCTTGAGCTTATGGTCCTCGTGCAGTACCGAGCGACGACTGCTCTCTCATACTCTGTATGCTTCGAAGAGTGCTGATTGTGCCTAGGTATAATGACAACCGATAAAGACGCGGCCTCCAAAACTCTGACACTTGATCACAATACTCACTTGAACACGTCTAACCGCTGTATCAGAAGCTCCTCAACTGCCCAACCCTCTCGGATAGTGCCCACGAGGCACCGAGAGTGATTGAAAAGAGGAAGGCAATCAGCATTGTTTCCAAGCTTGCCATCAGTTCGGCCCAAACGACGAACACACTCTCCTGCATACTCTGTAAGTGCTATTGAAGAATGCTGTTATATCTAGACACGATGACGACCGACATGAAGCGGCCCCTAAGCCACCAGAATCCCTTGATTACTTGACCCTACGGTTGACCTAGGCTGAAGAATGAATAGCGATAGGCACCGGCCTCAAGTTGGAGTGTCAGTGCACAATCCAACGACTGTCCCATGCTGGAGACTGCTGATGATATGCATAGACACCTGATGCAGGTCGAACACCTGCCCGAGGCACTGCAAGAAAGTCAAAGGGATGCTTAGCGATCGACACTGGTTTCATCCAGAATGTCCATGTAGCAGCCAGTGAGTACAGTCCCCGCAAATTTACAAATGCTGTAGAGTGCTGATGATATGCCTAGAAATGAGGGCGATCGTCAAAGACACGGCTTCCTCGACCTCTCGCCGCCTTAGGTCCCGACTTCACGATAACCTCAGAGAAGTCAGATATCCCTCCCCCAACCCGCTTGAACCGCCTGCCCTAGATATTGAAGAGAAGTCGAAAGAAGGTATACGGTTACTTAGCTTCAATTTTACAGTGCTGACTTTACCAACAATCCCCCAAGTCACGTCCATGACAGGACGGTCTAGCATTACTCGGCCCGGATGATTGACTCCATGTTGTTATCCGTCACATCCAGAAGTCATCTACACTCTTTGTAAGTTCCCCAAACTCAAATGCTGGAGGATGCTGACATGTCTAGACTTTGACGCCTCACAGAAGCGGTTCTCCCTCACCATTGCACCCAAATCCTGACTCCGCGATTGAACTTCAACGATTGAGCCTGATATATGGCAATCCGATCCCTTCTACAGGAGACACTGTGTCAAGAATACATGGCGGTTAGAATTGGCTTTAAGTTTACATGCTCGTGTAGCAACAAACGACGGCCCTTCCCTACGCACTTCGTTGACAGGCTCTGACAGAGCCATGCCCCAACAATCTCCTTAGCGATGGCTGTTCAAGCCCACTGCCTATGCGCCCTCGATTTTCTGCACTCTTATCATCTTTTTAAGTTACAAGACGTTGAACGTACGCCGTTGCTTATTTGTCTCATCAGCTGGCAGCCTGCTCGAGCTGAACACTTCAGTTCATCTCGAGATACCAGATACAACCTTCTAGTCTGCGCTGTTGGTGGTTGAAATGTTGCTAACAATCCTTTCAGGACGATCCAAGTCAGGAGGCTTGGAGGAGCGGCGTCCGTTACAACCAAAGAAGTTGTCAATTGACACCACACTCCACAGATTCCAACCGATTCCCTGTCAGCTTTCGACGCTCAACTGCATTCTCCAATGTCTTTGTAAGACGCTCAACGTTTAATGAGAATGCTTATTACTCGCACCGAAACAAAGCTGGCCGCCTGGATCAAGCTGAGCACTTAGCCCCTGACTCGAGATACGAACCTCAAACTTCCCTCTGCTCTGTTGATGCTGGTCTTTGTTGACTACTCTAGTATGATCTTCCAGAAGCCTCAAACAGTCCAGAACCGGGGTCCATCGCGTTCGAGACTTTTCAAGTCGAAAACCCGGTCCTATCTACGTGACGATGTAGTGATATGCGAACAAGGGAGACCATCCCCAAATCTATACGGCCTGCAAGAACTCCCTTGGGCGTGATGCTCGTCAGCGAATGCACCACGGTTGTCTTGCACTTCAAGCGGAACGGCTCATCGACTCGATTCTCATACACACTCCCAACAAGCCTCCAATGCCCATTGACTTTGACGACTTCAAGAGTCCGCGACTCACTAACTCATGCATACAGCTTGGGATACTGTTTGCGTATAGGTACGCTGCTGTCAAGCCTAGGCCAAGCTGAATTGCTTCGCGTCTCGAGATACCAAGCTCAGTCTTCCCGTCTGCGTATAAAGTCCTGTCAACTTCCTCCGATGTTGATGAAGTTGAAGATCCCGCTTAGTCCGTGGCAATGCTGTTCGGGTCAAGCGAAGAGTTATCTCTATGCTATACAACGTTTCGGTTGTTGCTGTAAGTCACCAACCCTTGCATAGAGCTGAAGAACGCTGATTGAGTGCCAGGATACAATGTCGGCAAGCTAAGGTCGAGCTGATAGCTTCGTGCCTTAATTTATCATCTCAATCTTTCCGTTGCGCTGATGGGATCTTGTCAACCTTTCCCTCCGGATCTTGCCAGATGCATCGGCAACCGGTAAAATCGGCGCTCGTTACGGTTGCAAAGGTTTGTCAACTCACATGGAAGACTTCCAAGTCGAGCCATCTTTTCAGGTATTGGATGATCAAACATCGATGACGCTGACAGTCTTACACTCCCAAATGTTTTCTGCGGGCTGCCTCATACAACGCACATCAAGGCACCCGGCGGCTATCGTCCATTGGCCTCACATTTGGTGCATCGTACCTATATTTGTGAGTAACCAGTCCGATTGCATTGTTCGGCGTTGGTCATTGTGGTGAGGACGTGCGGGATCGCTGGTGTCCTTCGCATGTTACTTTCCTATCCATAGGTTACTTCACCTTGGACAGGCCGAAAGTGATTGGATATCTAGGTACAACGTTGAGGCAAAAGAACGATACCGCCCTCCGATGAGACACAGATCTAAGGACGGCAGCTTTTCCCGTCCGCTCCAATTTCCGACGCGATGCACGTCAAGGAATACACCACGTTTGGCATGCATTGCTTCCAATTTGATGTTTCGAACATAAACTTCAGCGAGTCTCAATGTATATTCGCGCTGATCATTCAGGCAAGTTTATGCGCTCTGCGACATGTTTACAGGTATTGCTCCTATTTGCTGATAAGGACCTTGCACAACTGAAAGGTGCTGATCGCATTCTAGACGACGTCAACACATTGAAGCAACTCGGCCTTAAATCTTGACGAAGAAATTGAGATGGCAGCATTCAGGCACTCCCACACCCGACTACCTTGAGCGACACATACACTGAGATCAAGTTTGCATGATGCTGTCGTTTGTGGCACTCTGATCTCAAATTAGACCAATATTTGTGGGCATTAAACACCCTGACAAGGATCCTACAAGTTAGACTCCCACTTAGGAGAGACTTGATTGTCACCACTTATTCGCATCAAGCGCAAAAATCCGAGTACAGTCGGTTCAATCAACTGCCGTCCTGCCACTAAGGTGTTACTGTCGTCATCGGCTGAACCGACTGTATCGCCATAAAACCTTCAAATGTGGCAATAGAAACAATGAACATTCCAGCTTCAAGTCCGTTTTTGGTAAGGAAAAACGGCTACAATATCAGTGGCAGCATTGACGGAACACAATGCAGTACAATGACAGCGCCACTGAACACCTGCTGAACTCAAGTCTAGAATTCTTCTTATCCCATTCCTTGGCAATGGAAGCTAATGCAGGGACCCCAGCAAATGCAGAGACCAGGTTCTGGACTTTAACTGAAGAACTCCTCACCTGCATTGGGGGGATACTTGCATTGGGGATGATTTCGCATTTGGTACGTAAATCTGTTTTATTGATTCTATATCGTTTCTATTATACGCGGAGATTGGGATTAATTGCAGCTCATGATCAAGTTATTAACGAATCCTATACGCGGGTATCCTTGCTAGACACGGACACGATTCCGAGTGCGATAAGAATACACGGAACTCCAAAACACAAGTGGATGCTGTGCCGTGATTGAAACACAACGAATACGCACAAAAGGACCGAGCCATAGAATCATCGGATTCATCGATCGTGGCAATATACACTTGAATAAGATTTCGTGGAAAGCTTCTTATTCAGGGCAGGAATTCTGTGGCTTTCAACTCCCGCTGTTTGACCTTGTGCCTTGTTCCTGGCTGACTCCTGAAGGATCAACGGTGATCACTGTCATGTGTGAAGTCATGCCAGATGACACTCCCAGGACAGTCCACTGACCAAACTATCATCAGTTTATGGAAACGTGACATTCAAGATAGACAACATGATAGACACACGATCACGGCATCTCGGCCGCCAAGAAGAATAATCTTTCTTGGCTTTGCGGAGAGCAATACTCTTATGGCACAGCTTGAATGAAGCTTGACAATTGGGCGAGTCAGGGCCAAGAGCCGGCGATTAACCCATGTTGGTGGTGGCGCTCCAAGAATTAGCATCAGGATGCGGGTAAATCGACTAGATAAACTTGAGCCATTTTGAAGGGATGAAGGTGTTATTCGTGGGAATCGATCTTGGTCTAGGGACATGCAGCCGTGCCACATGGGATCTATGGATCTATGGGCCTTTGAATTCGACCCGTTGGACCATTGACTTGAGGTTTTTGTTATCTGCGGGGGAATTTGGCCACAAGCCCAGTTCAAGGTGCACCAAGGTAGGCAGTGTGTGTCTTGTGCATGTCACTGAATTGTGAATGCATACGCGCGTACTCTTATGCATCAGACGGACCAAACCTTCATTGGTGATGCCATGTTTCGATTGAATGGTGATGGTCCTGGAGCAATCTAGAGCGTAGCAATGGCTAAGCCAACAGTGGGCCACTAGAGCCGGGGACCCCCGCTGGACCTAGCTCGTTTAGCTGCGAGCTCCCGCCAGGCTCAAAGGCGGCAAGCCCATCGTTAGCGCACCCGCTTCGGGCCCAAGCGTTGAATTCTCCAGGGGGCTTGGTTCATTTTGGATTAGTTAGGGGTTCCCTCTTGTCATGTCCATTGCCCATGAGGTTCTGTTCTCCTCTTCTTCGTCTTTCGTGGAAGTCAGTCGAGCGAGTGAGTGAGTGATCAGTGGCGTTGCGTTGCGTTCGTTGAGAAAGAACTCATATACAAGGTTCCTTCTCTTGAGGGTCCCATTACTCTCCCTTGCATCGAACGTTTTCTTCTTCTCATCGCAATCTCGTCTCTTTGAAGAGATAATCTTTGATTCTCTTCTATTTTCTTGGCTTTATTACTTGACCCATCATAACCAATCCAAGCGTTCCATCACCGAACGGACTTGAACGAACCGACGATCCAAGATCCATGTTCTGAACAGAGACCATCACCTGCACTCCTTGCCGATTGAAGACTCTCTTGCATTCTACATTCATTCTTCGACATTTCCTACATCTACATGCGCTGAGTCGTATCCCCAATCAATTGGTTTCACTCAAGTATGTACCAGCCGTTACCAGTTGGTGTCACTGTCACACCAGCCATAGCCACGCGTCCACTAACCGCGATAGCTTTCAATTCAATCCTTCAATCAGTCGACAATTTGATCCCAACAAACAACCCGACATCATGCCTTCGAACTACGAAAAACTCTCCCGCCCAAGCGGCGAAACAAACCTCACAATCCCTGAGAAAGCTGCTACAAATGCGACCGTAACCGAAACCCCTCGCATCAGTACAACATCTACACCTCAAACAGACAAACTCAACCCTTTCGACACCGACATCGAAGCCATGATCACAACCCGAACATCAGAATCATGCATGCACAAAACATCAAGCACCCCCCTCGCCAGAAAGACCGATTGCCAAGTTTGGCCTGGAAAGGATCACTGGAAGAAACAGGCCAAGGCCGCAAAGGCAAAGAACCGCTGCACCTGCATGGCCAAGCTTAGCCAACGCAATCGATGGATCGTCAAGGGTTTGATCATCTTTCTCGTCGTTGGTATTGCTGTCGGTGTTGGATTTGGTGTCAGCAAGCCTCTCAACGCTCCCATATGGGGAGACAAGGACGACAAGTAATTCGACATTTCTTCAGGACTTTGTTATTGCCTAGCGCGCTGGATTTCCTTTCATGAACGGCGTTTGGTGTCATTTGAGTTGGCATTTCTTAGGAGTGATGGATTACAGAACATGGGTCTTGACATTTATTGAGGGTAGACTAAGACTAGAATAAAGTCTCGACGGTGGCCGTCATTTCATCAACTCAAAGTGTCCCGCGTGAATCCCCTGCATCTCCACCAGATCTTCAGGAACAATAGATGCGGCCCGGTCTGTGGGGAACGGAAAGATGCAGATTCGTGAGAAATCACTCTTGATTTGGAAATGGCTGCAAGGTAATAGCCAGTTGAGGTTGGAGATGCTGATGGAGGGGATCCACAAGTACCCGAAGCATCCGATGGGGAATGTCCAAAAGATATAACCAGCCGCCGCCACCACTGAATTGATTGATTGTCTACCTCAGGTAATATTCATATGTGTTTGAGTCTCTCAATTCTTCGCCCATATGTTCCTGTCGTTCTGCATCCAACATTGGAGAGTCTCGGTGTCTCATTGCTATGCAGACTGATACCATCCAGGCTAGAACAATGAGCCCGACAAGAACAAAGCAAGCCAAGGTGTACATGTTGGAGATGGTTAACTTGTGTTTAGTTGATCAAGATGGGCAGAACCGAGTGTATTAATAGCTATAATTGGATGTTATTCTCTGTTCAATAAGAACAGTCACTGTTCTTTGCCATCACTGCCCTTTGCTAGTTACTCTGCATCGCAGTGTTGATGTGTTTGTTCACGACAAAGGATACTGTTCACAAACCATTCACCTTCAAACACAATGAACACAAAGCAGTGAATCATGCACTTGATCACATACGATGCATCTTAAAAACCTCTTCCGCATCGCCCTCATCACCTTCATCCTCATCATTCCATCACATCCTCACACATCAACATGACCAACTCTTACCTCCCAGCTGCCTTCACCGAGTCCCTCTCCTGGCCTGTTCGCCGAGACGATGCGCCTGAGTCTAAAAGCGATCAGGCCGTCACTCTCGGTATTGTCGGCGGCATTATTCTTTTCTTTATAGTACCGCCTCTCTGGTATTTCATCGCTAGGACCATTCGACTTCGTCGGGCAAGGGCTCGAGATGTTGAGCAGGGTGCAGGTCCCCCAGAGACAGTAAACAGTAATAGCACACGCCGGTAGTTCACTCAAAGGTGCCTGTTCAGAACACCAAGGAGCACCTACATGAACACAGCGAATCAGTCAATCATCAGAACATCACATATTCACAGCGCAGTATAAATACCCTTCTCTCCTCATCACTTCACCCTCATCACCCATCCCCAACACATCACCAGAGTATCACCACAATGTCCAACTCTAACCTCCCAGCTTCCCTCTCCTGGCTCGTTCGTCGCAAGGAGGTCGAGGAACTTCCCGATTACAAGACAACGTATCTCATCCTTGGCATCTGCTCTGGTGTTTGGCTCTGCATCGTACTTACTTGGTACATTGTGAGATGTTGTCGGAAGAGAAAGCCCAGAGATGTTGAGCAGGGCACTGAGTCGTCAATAGTTGAGGCTGGTCCTCGCTGACGGTGAGTAGTGAACGCTGGTCGTTTAGCTTTGGGGCGAGTAGATAAAAGAAACGAACAGATTTATTCACCAAACCTTTGTCCAACCGTGAAGTCATGTAAAACTCAAACAGGCTGCTGAGTAAACTCTCGTGATGACTCAATATTAAACCTATTCACATCAGGAACTCCGAGGCGAGAGCCTTGACTTCGAAGGTGTGTATTTAGTTAAAGCTGTCTCCATGAAGATAGCATTATCAGGATAGCCGCGCTGATGGTGAACGCAGAGCATTGCCACCATAGGTCTGTCCATCAGATCACTCGTTCTTTGGGAACATCCCCAGAACACTCCTTTGTTCCATGGTCAAGAAGTACACAAGTGGATAAAGTTATCTGCACCTACACAAACTCTCAATATAAGTCGAATATTCCCCAAAATGTAAAGAAAAGGTTCGTACAATTTACTCTAATATATGGGGTCATATCACACTGAATCATAGCCCCGAAAAGATAATAAAATGAAACAAGGCACATCATGGAATCACCAGAGATTTATTCAATGATTTTACCACTCATGACTATCATCTCCTCCTTCAATCTCGCCCTCGCTATCATGTGCTACTTCATCCGCCGCAAACGACATATCCCCGACGAAGAAGCACCCGAGCTCACTGAGATCAACCAGCCAAATCTTGAACGAGGCATGCTTGTCGAAATCATATCCATTTATCGAGACGGCATCGAAATATACACAAGAGGCAAATCACCCGGCTGTCGACGTTTGTATTGCCATCCTTCACTCCAAGACCCCGAGCAAGCTCACATGTACCTCCACGACGTCCCAATACCTCCTAAAAGATCAATGACAGATCTACGAAGAGAATTATACGCAGGACTACGTCGGGTACAACGAATTTGCAACAATAGCCAACTACCAAAATCACCACGACATGGGCAACCAGTTACAGATCCCACGAATACATAGTCAACTTATCACATCAAATTCCCACAATACATGGACAGCATCGGACCAATCCCACCGTGGACACAAATAGTACAGCTGCATCATTCATCTACATCTAGCATACACCAATCAATACGATTAACAGTCGATTGTATCTTCTCAAATACTTGAATAGCCCGCCGTGACCACCGACCGGTAAAGCTGGCCACATTAATGCGGTCCTGCGCCAATACCCATGTTTATCTATCCCAGAGGTGAATCCTGACCCCTTCCGTAATTTGCCCTAGTAAACTCAAGTTTGAAGAAAAGGTGACGATCCAGTTGTGTTGTATGTAATGACAAAGGAAATGGTTGCGATTCTCGCCTCGCATGTCGTTATGTTGTCAGGTTCAACATTTACTCGTAAATCGGTCGACTACACCGACTGATATAAAAGAAGAGGTTCGCCGACGTTTTCGATTTCGGGGATCGTGCATTTCAAGTCGAACGCTTTGGATAGAACAATTTTGAAGATCTGTCCAGTTAGTCAAGCCCAATAACTAGGGATAAGGTCACTACCTTTTGCACGTTGATGCTGTGACTTGTACTTGAAAAAATTAATGCAGCTCTCATGGCTTTGGCAAACCGTCTCGCCTGTCGTCGTCAGTAAAGCTCGGTTATCCCTCCGGGGGCTCCTAGCGGAGGGCTCTTCCTCGCTGCGCTCGTACCTGATTTGAGATTTCTTCTTGATCTTGGGGAGGAAAGTTGACGAAGTGATCGTACTTCGTACCGACGAGAATTGGAATAGCCGTCTTGTTGAATCCTCGTCCCTGTCGATACCATTCCTTGATGCTATTCAATGTACTCTTGCGGGTAAGATCAAACATGAAGAGAATAGCAACCGCATCGTTGCAAACAAGAGGCAGCATGTTGACAAACTCTCGTTGACCACCAAGATCCCAAATCGAAAAGGTGATTTCCGTGTTACGGATGGAAATTGTCTTTTCCATGAAATTGACACCTAGCGTTTGGATATAATCTTCATCCCAGCTTCCCTCGACGTACTTGACCATCAATGAAGTCTTGCCGATCTGTGCATCACCAACCATCCCAACCTTGATGACAACATGGTTTCGACCGTTGGATGATGGCTCACCGGAACCCTGTCGATAGTCGTTGTAGGCTTGGTGTGCGGGGTTGGACAAGCCACTAGCTGGGCGGGAAATTGGCGGTGCGGTTTGCACGGGAGGAGTATATCTGGTAGAAGGGTCTTCTTGTCGTGGACTTTGAGCTAGCCCTTGGTCGAGGGATGTACTTTGCTGATGATGAAACCCGTTGGGATGGGGAGATTCTTCGATGCCTCCGAGAGTCTCATCATGACCTGGGGCTGGGAGTGGGACTTCCTGGGGAGGTTCATTCATGATGGTCTCCATGGTTGTAGGTTCGGCCGGAGCCGAGGGAATCGTTGAGTCGTCCAGCGTGAAGGTAGTGACGGGGTATCGAGGTTAACGATGTCGAAACGGTGAAACGATCAAGCAGGTATCGAGTCGGATTGATGCGAGCGATGGACGAAAGAAAATCGGTAGAGAACGTGGTCGGAGAGAGTGACAGAAGGAGAGATCAGCTTGTCGACAGCATCAAGCTAGTTGACAAGTGATGATATCGTGATGCGCAGCGGGGAGGTCAAGACAAAGCAGCTGAAAGGTGGCGCAGTAGAAAAGCCACCAGAGGGGAACCGTGAGACAAGCCGTTTAGCGTTGAAACTTTCAGCGGCAGAAATTAATTGCGTACACTATTTTCTTCCGGACCTGAATTTGGCGATGCGTTTTGTTTGGAGCAGGGGAGTTCGCTGACGTTTGGAGAGGATGATGGTGGGAGCCTCTTGTTTAGGCCAGAAGCGGGACGGAATTTCAAGGCACCGGGTTGTAGGTAGTACAGACGCCTAAAGTGGAGGGATGGGTTTTAACAGCACAACAGGGGATGAGTATTTGACATGAAATGTTCTGAAAATAGTTCATTTGACTTAATTCCAAGATAAACTTTGCTAGGTCCTGCTTATGCGTGAAATGTTGTGATGATGATGGTGGTGTTTAGCGTAGCGCAGCGCGTCAACGCGTTTAGACAAGTAATTGGCTGAGATTTGCTGCATGGCTAGCTGAAGATTGCGCAATAACTGCGTCGAATCTGATCGTTTATTCCAGCTCATTAGAATCGTCAGTATTTGTAATGCCAATAGCAACCATTGTTATTGTGTAACAGAAGAGCATACGGTAGATGCAAGACAGCTGGCAGCTAAACAACAATGATTCAAGTCAAACACCCCACGTTGACACATCTCCGATTGGATCAGTGTTCCTCCATGTCTTGTATAATTACCGACCAAAGTCATGTCTTGATTGCAATCACATTCCATACTTGGGTACAGAGTAGAATTGGTCGTAGAATTGGTCGTAGAATTGGTCGTAGAATTGGTCGTAGAATTGCTGTAATGCATCAACTTCATGATGCTGACTAAGTCGGCTTCCCTCCGATCCACTCGGCCCATCTCCGCATGATGCCGACAAAGCTTGAACTCTGATATCACCATCCACATCATCACAATGGCCTCAATTTCTCGGTCTCTACGCGCTGTAGCCCCTCTGGCTAGGGGTATTGCGCCTCGCGCAGCTATCCGCACACCAATTCGAGCTTTCTCTTCCACCAAACTGAGTATGTGCCCAACCAATACAGTGACGTCCACTCACAAAACAGGCCTCGCTCGAAGATACACCAAAGACCACGAATGGATCGATCTCTCGGCCGATAAGAAGCACGGTTTCGTTGGAATCTCCGAATACGCCGCCGAACAACTTGGAGATGTAGTCTACGTCGAATTACCCGAAGCTGGAACATGGGTCGAGCAAGGAGATGCTGTCGGAGCTGTCGAGTCTGTCAAGTCTGCTAGCGACATTAACGCTCCTGTTCGCCTACGAGTCCTACAAGTCAACGACAACCTCGAGGAGAAGCCTTCAACTATCAACAAGGTCCCTGAGGACGACAGCGCTGGTGGTGGTTGGATCGCAAAGGTCGAGGTGGATGAGGAGGGTGCGAAACAATTTGAGAAACTATTGGATGCCGAGGCCTACAAGACTTTTGCTGGAGCTGAATAGAATACAAGGGTATTGATCATCTGCATATACAGTCCTCCATTCGACTGTCATACGCTACTTGACTGTCTCCGGGACTTGCCGGAGCCTAGTGATTTCATCAAGAATACTACCGCCTCCCCGCTCAACCAATGCGCTGGCCAACTTCCTCCCAAACTTGTCTGCCTCCTCATGTGTCTTGACAGGTTCTGTTATGTCGGAGTCAACACCATGGTCACCACGAAGGTTAACGACTGTAGCCTTCATATGTAACTTGTCGTCAACCCATTTAGTCTCAACACCAATAGGAACACTGCAGCCACCTTCGAGTGCCCTCATGAGTGCTCGCTCCGCCTCACAGGCAAGAGCCGTTTGTTCGTTCTCGATCGTCTTGAGCAACTGAATGACCTTTTCGTCATCCGCTCGGCATTCAACTCCAAGCGCCCCTTGACCAACAGCATGAAGAATACCGCCATTGTCAGACTCCAGAAACTGTGTAATGTGGTCTCCGAGGTCCATACGCTGGAGACCTGCCGCAGCGAGAATGATGCCGGTCAAGTCGGGATCCTCCTCAAGCTTTCGTAGTCGGGTCTGGATGTTTCCTCGGTGATCCTTGAACTTGAGTGTCGGGTAACGTCGAATCAATTGAGCAATTCGCCGAACACTGCTGGTGCCGATGATACTCCCGTCCGGCAGATCAGCCAGAGTCTTCCAGCCGTGCTTGTCCTGCAATTCCTTCTTGATCACGAGTGTATCTCTCGGGTCCTCGCGGGACGTGACACATCCGAGAACGCAACCCTCGGGGAGAACAGTCGGCATGTCTTTGAGCGAATGAACAACAATGTCGAGTTCCTTGTTGACGAGCTTTTCCTCCAGCTGAGAAGTCCAGAGACCTTTTCCGCCAAAGTTGTAGAGAGCTGTGTTCTGGTCACGATCGCCAGTCGTTGTCATGCTGTGAATGTTGAATTCATGATCGGGAAAGTTTTTCTTCAGCGCATCGACGACGATTTGAGTTTGAGCCAGCGCAAGAGGTGACTTTCGCGTACCGACGTTTACGACGCCTTTGCTTTGAGTTTCGGCCATGATTGTTGATTGATGAGTGTAGGATGACGACTCGTACCATGGAGGGGCAAGCTCTTTTCCTCCAACGATGGTGGGGCAATTGTACAGTGCGGGGTATAGACAGTTGCAGTGGGTAAGTTCATGATGTAAATGTGGATGTATCGTGATCTCGAATATGACCCGATTATATCGCCGAGTCTGCTTGAATGGTGTACTTAGTGTGACTGTCAAAGTAGACAATAACCTTACTAGCATGGGATGGCTTGTATGAGAGTTGCGGACGAATGACTACCGGCCGTTGAACAACGCCGTGATAGTAACGGATGGTCGGGAGACGAAGACCAAGATACAGACAAACGAAAAGGACAGGATGATTGTATAACAGAAACGAAATGGTCAACTATATAAGAAGAGGCAACTAGCAGTCCAGTCTGGCCATCATCAACACTCGTTAATATGAAGTTTCAACTTACTATCCTTACTCTGGCTGTTCTAGCCCTTGCAAAGCCTCAGGCTCCTCCTGATCCAACCCCAGCTCCCCCAGACCCTGATCCAACACCCCCTTCAACTTCTGAGCAGCCCGCACCTCCTCCTGTCCCTCCTCCGGCCGATCCCCCGGCCGACCCTCCGGCTGAACCATCTCAACCCCCACCTCCTCCGCCGCCTCCTCCGTCTCAGCCTGACCCGTCGCCTCCTCCATCTGGTCCAGCTCCTGTTCCTCCCCCAGCTACTCCAGCACCTGCTCCCCCTCCGGACCCAAGTCCACCACCTCCCCCTCCTCCGAGTTCAACTGCTTCACCTCCTCCCGAAGGACCAATCTGTGAATGCGGATACACTTACTGTTCCTCAGTCCTCAAGGACATGGGTATGTCCGCCAAACCCCCAATGGTCAAGACTAACAGCTGCAGACAAACCATGGAATGATGCCCAACTCTCCGAGGCATACTGCACTACCCCTAATGCAAACTGCGACGGTGAAACACCAGCTAGCAGCATAGACAGCGCTCTGTTCATCTGTCTATGTGACCAGCCGAGTCAAAAAATTGGAAACCATGTTGAACTTCTCTGCGGTTGTGACACATGTCTTGTTGTCAAGCCTGACTTTAGAGGAAGATGCAAGAGTCCATGTCGAGCTGGAGGCTCCAAGGATGACGGGAAGGGCGATGGGAAGGGTAATAAGGTCAGAGGAACTAATCGATTGGGGTTCTGGATGTAGGTAATCGTGGAGGAAGTCACTCATTTGTTTTGTTTGTTAGATCCAAATTGACCCATTGCTATTGACTTGATGTCTGCCAGATGTTCGTATTTGCAGTCGCTTAAGAGTTGATAAACTGAAAGACGAGCGCAGCGAGACAGAGCACTCCGCTAGGAGCCCCCGGAGGGATCTCACACGCTTCCAAAGTCGAATGTTACCAGTGAATCAGATCTCTTCACACCTGCACCAAGTGACATCTGAAACAAAATGCATGATCCAAACATCTGCCACGAATGCAGCTCGAGATCCTCCCGGCTTACACATCAAGTGGATCATGCTCTCTTCCACGAGCATCCATCAGTGGTGAATGCAGATCTAGAAGCTCACGCATCGGCCGCCCCGGGTACGTGACCCCGGCCCGCCCCACACAAAAGCCGGCGCTACACGGGGTTAAGTGCCGAGAATGGACGGCTAGGCCCGTTAGTCTGACGTCAGTAGCAGCAAGAGCCGAACGGAAGAGTTTGTCAATGCTGCTGTGAACGGTAGAGAATTGGTCCGACTGCAAGGGTCCAAGCGTGGAGAAGTGAGACGTCTGCGTTTGGTATAAAGGTGAGTGCGTCATCCATCAGTGTTCATGTCTGTATACCATTTCATCTCGTAACAATTCATCTCAGCATATACCCATCAACATATACCAATTTCACACCAGATACCCAATTCATACACAATGGCTCCCAAGGTTCTCGTCGTTCTCACCAGCCAGTCCAAGATGAACAATGGACACCCTACCGGCTGGTACCTGGTAAGTCACTACTCACTCAACACAACCTCTCAATACTGACCCAACTCTCAGCCCGAACTCGCCCACCCCTACTATGACCTCGTCAACAAGGGCGTCGAGATCGTTGTCGCCTCTCCCGCCGGCGGTGAAGCTCCCCTCGACCAAGCCTCCGTCGAGATGTTCAAGGGCGACGAGGAGTCCGTAAAGTTCCTCAACGAGAAGAAGCAACTCTGGGAACAAACCACCCCCCTCAAGGAATTCCTCGGCAAGGCCTCCGAGTTCGACGCCATCTTCTACCCCGGCGGCCACGGCCCCATGTTCGACCTTGTCAACGATGAGACCTCCATCAAGCTCATCGAGGAGTTCTACAAGGCCGGCAAGCCCGTCGCCGCAGTATGCCACGGCCCCATTGTTTTCGTCAACGTCAAGGTCGATGGAAAGCCCCTTCTCGAGGGCCGTGAAGCTACCGGTTTCAGCAACTCTGAAGAGGAGGCTGTCAAGTTGACCAGCGCCATGCCCGTTCTTCTCGAGGATGAGATTAAGCGTGTTGGTGGAAAGTACGTCAAGGCTGACGACTGGGCTGAGAAGCTGGCTGTTGATGGACAAGTCATTACTGGACAGAACCCTGCTTCTGCCCACGCTGTTGGAAAGGCCATTCTCAAGGCCATTGGCGCTTAATTAGATCATGATACCACGTTAATGCAATGAGACAATGTCCAAAGTTGACATACTATACCTTGTTGTTCCCTCCGGGGGCTCCTAGCGGAGGGCTCTTCCTCGCTGCGCTCGTGTGACTTGAGTGACACCGTGAATAGGTGTAAGCTTATGTATCGCTATCATATTGTTCTCAGCTCAGAATGCCAGCCTTGTCACTGCCTTTAGACCTCTTCAGATGCAGCTTTTAGGTGTACATGCACAATACTCATAGACAGACGAGTGATAAGTCACTGGTCATTACATTACTACTTAATCCCTCTTGAAAACCTTCTCAAACCCAGTCAAAGTGAACCGGTAATGCACCTTATTCTCCTTCACACGCTCAACAGCCTCAGCGCATCCCTTCTCCGAGATATCAATCGTCTCGACCCAAGCAACGATATTCTTCTCAGCAGCCAACTTGAGCATAGCATCCATCTCCTGATGGTTACCGAGATGACTTCCCGTGATCTTACCAGCGTTGCCAGCAAATGTCCCAGCAGTCATCTGAGGAAGCGGCTCATCAGGGATACCGACGTTATGAAACTCTCCTCCAATGTTGAGCGTAGACATGTAAGCGCTCATGTCGAACTTGTGTGTCATGTCGGCGCAGTTGAGGATAAAGTCGAACGTGAACTTGTACTTGTCGGCCCAGTTCTCATCAGTTGTGACGATGACTTCCTTTGCGCCGAGTTTCTTTGCATCTTCCACCTTTGCGGGAGAGTGTGTCATGGCGTAGACTTCAGCGCCGAGTGCTTTTGCCCATTGAATGCCCATGTGTCCGAGACCACCGATACCAACGATGGCAACAGTCTTTCCAGGACCGACATTGGCTCTCACGAGGGGAGAGTAAGTGGTGATGCCGGCGCAGAGAAGAGGAGCAACCTGCTCAGACTTGAGAGCATCGGGGATTTTAAAGGTGAAGTATTCGTGAGCACGGATATGCGATGCAAAACCGCCATGAGCGACACTTCCATCAGGATAAGTGCAGTTGTACGTGTCCACCATATCAGGGCAGTAGTTTTCGTTCTTGTTCTTGCAGAGTTTGCATTCAAGACACGAAGCGACTTGAGCACCGACGCCAACACGGTCTCCGACTTTGATGTCCTTGACATTGTCGCCTACACGGACAGCTTTGCCGACGACTTCATGGCCGACGCAGAGAGGACCTTCAAAGTCGCCCCAGCCGCCAGTGACGGTGTGAACGTCTGAGCCGCAGACACCGCAGGCTTCAATCTCGACGTCGATATCGCGATCTCCCCAGGTTTTGGGCTTGAGGGTTTGTTTTTGGAACTTGTTCCATGATTTGGGGCTGTCGACGCAGAAGCCTTCAAAAGTATCGGGGTATCCCATGACGGTGATTGGCGATGAATTAACAAATAAATGATTGATGGTATCTATCAAGGTTCTCTATTCACAGTATTTATATCCTCTCCTCTCTTCTCTCCTTGCCTTCTCTATCCTCTGCCCTCTGTTCTCTGTAATGACGTCTTGAGTTGAATGTCTATGACGCTCCGCGATAAAAGCTCCGGCGATGTTTGCATTGACAAAACCGCTTATTCTCCATTCGTAGTCTAAATCGGGTAAGCTTCTCGAGGTTCCTCCAATCGAGATGACATTCTCAGTAAAGTTGGAGATAAGGGACGCCTTGTTAAACCGTGGGTCAAATGACGTAGACGAACGATTGGCGAGAGATTACGTTGCAATGAGATTGAGTAGTATTGGGACTACGTGATAATTCCGATTAACCTGATAATACATACTCTTCGATGAGAGGGTAAATTGACTCGTAGAGGCTGCATCTCTGATCCAACGCTGTTTGGTCGATGATTGAAGGTCCTGATGTTTGTGTCTGTCCGACATCTCCCAGATTTGCAACATATCGAGATCCAACGGGCCAACCTGGTCCAGCTTGCGGGTTTCTGACAAATCTCCCCACAACTCCTCGAAGATACTCCGCAAATGTGTAGAGTTGTGGTGACATTGTGTCAAATGTTGGTGAACTAAACAGTAGAAGGACGTCTGAGCCATGAAACTTGCCAAGCCAAGAGTATCTGTCGTCTAAAAGACTTGTGACTGAGGCATTGAAGTAGAATCTCCAGGTTGGATTGATGGAAGCTGATATGTTGGCTAGGATAGCTTGGGGCTGGATGTGTTAGCATGTGAAGTCGGAAGCATGTGAACTTACACATTGCCAGACAAAGTCTGTGTAGATTGCAGCAGCAATGTCGAAGTTGGTCTTGAGACTCGGGTCATAAGCCTTGAGAATTTGCTTCTGTTGGGTTGCGTTGGCCAATGGCTCAGAAAGATACGCCCCAAAGAATGTCTCGAGCGATATGTTTCTGTTGATCAGTCCTCGGCCCTCTTCAGCAACAGTTCCCATAAGCACAGGAACTCTTGCAACATCACCGTCTCGCCATCTCTCGGCCCTTCCACTCAAAATAGTGGCATTGTCAGTTATTGGCAGAAATGCGCTTCCCACTTTGCTCATGGCGTTGATGAGGGTGTCTGCCGGAACATCTCGCATACACTGCAGCTGGTCTGGTCCTTGACATCCAACTACAGAGGTCAAGTTGTCCCAGTATGAGGTATCTCGATGACTGGCCGTACTGCCGAGGTACCCAACAGACATTTGACCAGAAAACATCATTGCGGCGCGGAATGGAGGGGATGTGTATCTGTTGACATGTATATCGACAGACATGGCGCCAGCAGATTCACCCCAGATGGTGACTTTGTCTGGATCACCACCAAAGGCGCGCGCATTCCGTTGGACCCACTCCATAGCGAGCTGTTGATCATAAATGCCGAGGTTGATCTCATCTGTAGATATGTCTGGGGAGTTTGGGAACCCAAAGGCTACATCGTTAGTCAAGCTCAGAGACCGAGAGTTGACTCACCATTTGTTCTGTAGTTAAAAGTAAAGACGACAATGTTTTCATATGCTGCAAAGCCGCTCAGATCGATTTCCCCATTGCCCTGCTGCCATCCGCCACCGCTGATGAACAATACCACAGCCCGTGAAGGATGAGGGTCTGCTGGAGCAAAAGCATTGATAAAGAGACAGTCTTCACTCTCGCGGGATGCTGTGTTGAACAGTCCTTTGAGAAGATCGATCTCCGGGGCGAGTTCTACAAAGTTAGCTTCGCTTCATTGACGGTAGACTGAACTCACCACTTTCGACAAAGAGCTGCCTACAAGATGGCCCAAACGTGGTCGCATTCAAAGGCCTCGTCCATGGTTCAGGCTTCTCAGCTCGACTGAAGCGCTGCGGTTTGGCGGCATAGGGAATACCGAGAAATTTATTCACAGGCGAGGCAGCAGGAAGAGTTGTAGTGAGACCAAAGATTGGACCTGAGTCCAGAGTAGCTGTTGGAGTTTCAGCTCCGACGTAGATTGGAAGCAAGAGTCGTGACAATGTGAGAGGCTTCATGATTGCAAGGGCATTCGAAACGGATTTGCCGTAGCTGGGAGTGTCATTTTAAATACTCGACAGACGATGCTTGGTTTGAATGGTTCATGATGAAATTTACATCGATGTGCAGAGCCGTATTGCTCGGGTTCATGGTCGTCGACGTGGAATACGACGAATGCGAGATCGTCAACGCTAGTCGCGCAACATGCGACATGCATCTCGACGATCAAGTCTGACCCTCGTGCAACAGCGCGAGGAATGCATCTCATCCGGCGCTGTCGGTGATCTCGAACGGCATTAGGACGCACAAACAGGGCAAAAGCATATCAATTACTTGAATCAAGTACAAACAAAATCACTCTCCCGCTTCACCTCGCCCTCCTCTCACCCTTTGCCGCATCCAAAGATCTCTGCTTCTTCTCATCATTCGTATCCTTCGCAAAACTCGCAACATGCTCAGGCACATCAACCCTGTTATACGGACCCGGAATCGGCTCCCCAATCGTCTGATACACAGGCAACACACCCGTCCACGTCGAATTCACCAGACTCTCATTCTCCAAATCACTCTTATCATCCGTCGTAGATCCCGCACTAATCTTGGCACTTGCCGAAGTGATCTTCACCTTTAGAATATTCGTACTCTGCATCTCCGACGCCAACGGAGGCTGTCGCGTATGTTTCCAACGATCAGTCACAACACTATTGCTGATAAGTTCCATCGCATATAACTTCTCTTCATCTGATTTAACAGTGGTCGCGTATCCGTAAAGAACAGCAGATCGATAGTTGTAATTGTGAGAATACGTCGCCAGAGTCAAGACGAGTCCATCAACGTGAGATGCAGCAACACAAACAGGCATTCCTTGAATCTCTTCTCCGTCAACTGTAGATGTCTGAGCCAAATTCATGATCCTCGACGATACATATCCGTGGAGATACAGTTCAAGGGGATCGCGTAGGCTTGAACTTGGTCGATCAAACGATCCCAGTTGTCCTATCATAGGCAACACAACCGGAAATGGTTGAGAAGGTGTATTGAAAGATATATGAAGAATTGGACATGTATTGACGATACTATGAACAGTCTCGAGGTCATAAACCCCGTGAACTTTGTACCGTTTGACGGTATTCGTAGAGTCTTTTGGGTACTGAAGGTTATGACGGCCCATTTTGATGTCAATGATGATTACAATTACTACAATACGATAGGACATTCACTTATATATCTATCACAGGCTAGAACTGCCTTGAAAGGTAATTATTCGCGTGATAAGCACTCCTTCAGCTGATGCTCGGACCGGAAAAACTTAGCAACCCCACCTCCACATCTTGATCGTGGCCACACTCACCATCATCAAGATACCCCGCGACATCAAAGTCGCATCAAATCACCATGGTTCTTCAAGATCTCGGCCGTCGCATCAACGCGGCGGTCACAAACCTGACCCGAGAGCAAAATCTCGATGAAAAGGTGCGTCGCCCACTCCTCTGTCTTCGTCGCTAACAATCCAGGCTTTCGATGGTATGCTCAAGGAGATTTGCGCCGCTCTCCTCGAAGCAGACGTCAATGTACGACTCGTCGGCCAACTACGGAAATCCATCAAGTCGACAGTCAACTTTAAAGAACTCCCCCCCGCCGTAAACAAGAAACGCCTCATCCAAAAAGCCGTCTTCGATGAACTCGTCAAACTCGTCGATCCCCACGCCGAACCCTTCCGACCGAAGAAGGGAAAGAGCAATGTCATCATGTTTGTTGGTCTCCAGGGTGCAGGAAAGACAACGACATGTACAAAGCTCGCGCGACATTATCAGTCCAGAGGTTTCAAGGCTTGTCTGGTTTGTGCTGATACGTTCAGAGCTGGTGCTTTTGATCAGTTGAAGCAGAATGCTACAAAAGCCAAGATTCCCTACTATGGTTCTCTCACAGAAACGGATCCTGCCGAAGTTGCGAGAGCTGGTGTTGATCAATTCAAGAAGGAGAGGTTTGAGGTCATCATTGTTGATACGTCTGGTCGTCATCGACAGGAATCTGCTCTCTTCCAGGAGATGGTGGATATTCAAGAAGCCATTAAACCAGACGAGACTATCATGGTTCTTGATGCTTCGATCGGTCAACAAGCGGAATCACAAGCCAAGGCTTTCAAGGAGGCGGCTGACTTTGGAGCCATCATCATCACCAAGACGGACGGTCACGCGCACGGCGGTGGTGCTATTTCTGCAGTCGCTGCGACACACACTCCAATTGTCTTTATCGGTACTGGTGAACATATGCTTGACTTTGAGAAGTTTGCTCCTCAACAATTCGTTCAAAAGCTGCTTGGTATGGGAGATATGGCTGGATTGATGGAGCACGTGCAGAGTTTGAACCTGAACCAAAAGGACACCATCAAACACATCCAGGAGGGTATCTTTACGGTGCGCGATTTGAGGGATCAACTCTCCAACATTATGAAGATGGGTCCTCTATCAAAAATGGCTGGTATGATTCCTGGCATGAGCAACATGATGCAGGGCATGGACGACGAAGAAGGCGGCGCCAAACTCAAGCGAATGATCTACATCTGCGACTCAATGACCGACAAGGAACTCGACTCGGACGGCAAGATTCTTATCGAACAACCAACTCGAATGACACGGATTGCACGAGGATCAGGAACATCAGTACGCGAAGTGGAGGACCTCCTAACCCAACAACGAATGATGGCAGGCATGGCAAAGAAGATGGGAGGAAACATGAAGAACATGCAACGAGCACAGCAAGCCATGGGAGGAGGTAACAAGGCACAACAATTAGCGGCCATGCAAAAGAGGTTACAGAGCATGGGAGGTGCAGGCGGTGCAGGAGGTATGCCTGATATGGGTAGCTTGATGAAGATGCTTGGTGGAGGTGGCGGAGGTATGCCTGGTGGTATGGATATGCAGGCTATGATGAGGCAGATGGGTATGGGTGGTGGTGGCATGCCTGGTATGCCTGGGATGCCGCCTGGAGGTGGTAGAGGTAGAAGGTGAGCATGTCGTTGAATGGAAGTGTCATTCAGTCGTGATTTGTCCCTGTCGATCAATACGCATGTCTTAGATTTGAAGATACCATAACCTCAGCAAGAAACTTCCTGACCTTATCTAGGTGTCAAACAATTAGTAAATATGTACCAAGCTTACCTAAATCATAGAAGAGGTCTTGAGCTTTCTTGCTACCCTAGCCTGATGATGGAGCTGGGTTGTGACTCGGTCTGCATAGCCTCATCCTGAAGGATTGCACCGTGCACTATGTTTGAGGCTGATCGCCTTTCAAGTAATTGCCGGTTGTTATTCATATCCATGTCGGCAATCAATTCTACACAGCCTGCTCCTGCAGGATGCGATGTATCGGCTGTAGATAGTCGTAAATGATAAATGCCCTCTACCCCGACATCACTGCACACTATATCTCTATCCAACATGAAGTACAACGCATTACTCGTCGCTGCAGCTGCAGCAGAACCTCTCACTATAAAACTCGAAAGTCGTTCTCACAGCCTCAATCTGTCAAATTGGTGGAACGTGACAGACTTCCAATGGTACGGAAAAGTCTCTGTAGGAACACCACCTCAAGAATTGTAAGTCATCCGTCCGATTGACGACCTAGCTAACAACTCAGTAACCTTCTCATCGACACCGGCTCAACAGATCTTGTCATCCCAAAGAAAGGATGTTCGACATGCGATGATCACGCCTCGTTCGACCCTCAAAAGTCCGAGACTTATTCTGACAAGCCGGGATACAAGTTTGTGGCTAGTTATGATACTTCTGGGGATGCTCAGCCGTACGCGAAGCCTTTGTCGACGGAGGGCAAGATTATCACAGATACGGTGACTATTGGGGGCCTCAGTGCAGAGAATCAGACTTTCTTCCTTGGTGGTGACTTTCCAAAGGAACTGGGCAAAGATCCAATGGGTCCCAATATTGATGGCATCTTTGGGATCGGTCCTCCGGGGTCATCTGTGTTCAGCGCTCTCAACAAGACTTTCACGCCGACGTTTTGGAACCTCGTCAAGTCGGAGCAGCTCGATCCTGTTTTCTCGCTGTTTCTCAACACTGGGAATGACAGCATTGGGGAAATGACGCTCGGTGGTGTTGACTCTTCGAAATATGAGGGCGAATTGACAAAAGTCCCTTTCAACGAGACTGTTGTTGCTTTGGGGGGCAGCTGGTATATCGACAACCCTGCCTACTACGTCAACAAGGCTATCACTCCATCTCTTGAAAATGCAACAAGTCTTCAATCTGTGGCACATCTTGACACCGGTACTGCATATATCATGGCTCCAGATCATCAGACTGCGAAGGACATGTACGCAGCCATTAGTCCGGAGATCATACTTCTCGACAAACTCGGTGTCTGGGGAGGTCCTTGCGATGTAGTCAAGAAGCTTGAACCGGAACTGACATTCACCGTTGGATCTGGTAACAGATTAGTCAATTTGACAATGCCAAAGGATGCATTCAATCTTGGAGAGCACCCCTCTCATCCCGGACAATGCCAGACTGTCATTCTTCACGCCCCAAAGCCAATTAGTGATCTCGCAGCTGTTTGGATCTTGGGAAGTCCAGTTCTCAAAGGCTATTACACTGTTTGGGACGGGAAGAATCTGGAACTGGGGGTAGGGCAGCTCAAGGAAGAGCATAGGGAGCCTGTGACGCCGGGGACTTCGATTGCGACAACTCTGGCGCCTTGCTGGGCGTTGATAGCCGTATTTGCGTTGATATAGCTGTAGAATTTTTCCGAACTTCACCTATGTCAAACTGTTAGTCTAAAGGTCTACTAAGCCTATGCTAAATTCACCTAAACTCTTCATTGTTGAGGAGAGATCTGTTTACCGCTTTGTTCAAGAGACTTATTGTTGTCATACCAAGATAGATTTTGTCAAGAGTCTTGGTTCCTGACGTATACTGAGATTGGATCCGGGATGTTGCATTGACAAACCATGGTTCGTTCCGTGTCACCCTTATAAGAATTGCTTTGTTACCTGCCGCTCCTCTGGTCAGGTCCCGGGTATCGGGAAGACAAGTTGGTTGTGGTCAGGAGATCCCATTTGGTCGTTGATGTACAATCAACAGATGGATATCAACAGACATGCGGTTGGTGTTGTATTGATTGTGCTCCACGTGGATGATAGAGGCGCCAGCCTACTGCACATGCTTCTTGACCTCTCGATCAACTCCAAGCCACAGCATATCCGGTCGACTGTAGTGCCCACAGACATCCACGAAACTCTTACACCGTAAGATTTCATCCAAATCAAGTACGGCATACAATATTCCCTCCTCGCATTGAGGCATGTCGTCGGTGAGAATCCTCCCATCAGGTCCAAAAATTGCAGAGCTACCTCCTCCTGGAGTACTCATGACAGCGCCCCCCGTCGTGTTCATGAGGCTTATTCCCTGTTCGCTGATGACGGATGTCGCATGAAGTACAAAGGCTTGTGACTCCATTGCGTATGTTTGAGATAATGTACGGGCGCCTGTTCGTTAGTGACTTGCACAGAACCGATGAGAATGAACGAATGTCTTACCTTCTCTCGACATGGACCACAATTCCTTTTTGTCCTTGTATGGATGCAATGGCGGCCATGCAGCAACATGGATCTGCTCGCGGTGACTGTAGAGATAATATTTGAGTAGGGGCTGAATATGTTCCCAGCAAGAGAGTGCTCCGACACGGCCGACACGCGTATCAACAACGCTTGTGAGGGCATCGCCAGAAGCATCACCAAAGATTGTTCTCTCCATGTGTGTAGCTTTGATCTTCCTTCGAAGTGCAAGCAGCTTGCCGTCAGAGTCGATGATGGCCTGTGAGATGTACAGAGTGTTGTGGAAGTTTTCCGAGAACCCAAGGACGACTGTCATGTCGTTGTCGGCCGCGCATTGCTGGATTCTTGCCATCTCTGGGCCATCGGCGCACATCGAGTTTTTGATGTACCGGCTCGCAAGATCTGTATCAACTGGTCGCGCCCTTTGCCGTCAGTACTGAAATAAGCGCCATGCATATAACTTACCAGATCCAAGCAGGATATCCTGTAACCCAACACTCAGGGAAAGCCAGCATCTCAGCACCTCCTTTGGCTGCCTCGACGATCAAAGCACATGTCTTGTCGACTGAACCCTGCAAGTCAAGCCATTTGGGTTCAGCTTGTGTGACTGCAACTCTGACTTGATGTCGAGTGTCCTCTGAGTCTGCGATTCCCAGCTTTGCCATTGTCAGAAGAGTCTTGTGCAGTCGTTGCAACTGATGAGTGTTTGAGTGAAAGAGGGTTGTTGTAAAGTGCCAGCACAAACCATTTAAGGCACGCAACATCAATCCCAGACACATCAAATACATTGACCCTGTCATCGAATCGGCTTCGTATCAACGGCGGAATCTTGACATCCGCCGCTAATCACTATCGGCTTCCCCGCAAATTCAATCTCCACCTCCCCGCGATCTAGGTGTTATCAGCGGCGGCTCTTTTACATCCGCCGCTAAAGGGTGGAGCATCGCTGCTCATAACCAGATACCGATAGATACTCTAATCAATCCCTTTCCGAGCTCGTTTCGGGAGTGTTCCGCTAGCCTGTAGCTGTCAATTGATATGAACTTCACTTGACATAAATGGACCATGGGGTACCATTGTAGCCCAGCACCTCTCAGCGTCACTCACATCGCAATGGCTTTTGGCGTCCTTGAAAGCAATACTTCTGAGCAACCCTCTGGGACCGTCTTCCTTGAAGACTCTCAAGATGGCATGCACACAATCTTAGTACCATCACCCTCAAACTCACCCAATGATCCTCTCAACATGTCCCGAATCCGCAAGGAGCTATACTTCTTGACCCTCCTCTTTGGTGCCTGCGTAACTGGCGCTCTTGGTCCTGTCCTTGTCCCAGCTTTCGGCATCATCTCACAAACCTTCCAAACACCACTCTCCAATGTGGCCCTCCTCAATGGATCACTCATCCTGGGCCTGGGCGTAAGCTCTTATTTCTCGTCAGTCATATCAGATCTCTGGGGTCGTAGGATGATCTTCATCTTGACTTCGATCTTGCTGGTAGTCTCCAACATCTGGGCGGCTGTTTCGCAAGGTTACGAGTCGCTTCTGGCAGCTCGTGTATTCCAAGGTTTGGCCATGGGACCTTGCTTTTCTCTGGCTGGTACATCTTGCGTGAACGACGTCTTCTTTCTTCACCAGAGAGGTCGAAGAGTCGGTCTATGGAACTTTGCTGTCATTGTCTCCGTCAATATCGCTCCTGTCATCAGTGGATATCTCATTGTTGACATGGGTTGGCGATGGGCTTTTTGGTTCCTTGCTGTTGCTTTCGCTGTGGGGTTGATCATGGTTGTTTTCTTCCTCCCTGAGACAAAATGGGACAGGGACGAAGTAATATCGAGTGTTGCTGGAAATGAAAAGACGTCCGATGAAAAGGCTACACCCCAAGATGTCGAGACCTCGGTCACTCCCCCAACATGGAAGAAGATCGTTGGAGTACATCTCCAATTCGCCAGCGCAAAAGAACTACTGCCCAGTCTTGTCAGCCCTGTTCTTATGCTTCGACATCCTGTTGTCATTTGGGGTTGCATCATGTGGTCAATCACCTTTACCTGGGTGATTGTTCTTGGTACTGTAGCTGACCAAATCTTTGGCGCTCCACCATACAGCCTCGACCCAACTCAGGTCGGACTCGTCATTGGTATAGCTCCCCTTGTTGGATCTGCTCTGGGAACATTGACCTCTGGTTGGATATCTGATCTTGCCGCTCACTACATGTCCGCATTCAATGGCGGTCTGTACGAGCCTGAGTTCCGACTTGTTGTCATTGTACCGTCTGCAATCACCATGGCTGTAGGAGCCTTTGGTCTTGGGGATGCGATTGAACACGCCAAATCCACCATGGCTTGTTGCATCTTTCTGGCATTGATCAACTTTGGGGTCGGTGCAGGCTGTACAGGTATCGTCACGTATACCAATGATGTCTGTATGGATCGAGCAGGTAACGCATTCGGTTTGGCAATGGTACGTCTTCCTGCTTCAAGGGTCAGCGCTAACTGTCACAGCTTATCAAAAGTTCTTTTGCGTTTGGCCTCACCTTTATGCTCAACGATTTCTATGCCACAAAAGGACCGATGGTATTCTTTAGTACCTGGGGAGGTTTGACTTTGGGTATCTGTCTGACCACTGTTCCACTATATGTATTTGGAAAGCGAATTCGAAGTTGGATTGGTCAGCACTGATCCGGCGGTGATAGTCGCTGGGTATGGTAGACTTTCTGGACTCAATATCTAGCTGGAAGTAATTAATCCGGATCAATTGAGCTTGCATTTCCATTCAGTCGCTTTCGTGAAATACCCATTCTCCCGTAGGCGTTGACAGGTCAATAGTATCCAAATTGAGAGGCTCTTCAAGATTGGCAAACAACATACCCCAGTCAAGAGAATCATTGACGGTATCCTCGACTTGGGGGGTGGCAGTCGTGGCCATTCCGAGGGGAACACTGTGCCTCATAGGCAACGCCGAAACAACCTTCCATCTGTGGGCCAGCTCTTTGAGGAGCAAAAGACCCCGATTCGCCCTCGGCCATCTCATCTTGTCCAATGCGTCCACGCAAACTCGGAACCGATGCACCGATTGGCTGCGAATGGTCGAGTTCGTTGACGTCGCATTCAGCAACAGACTCACGGCAGCTGTAAGAACACAGTGCACCGCAAAGAACGGGGCATTCTCCATCCTGGCTTCTTTGTCGTATTGTCGGATCAATCTGACCAGGTCATGTGCAGAGGTCATGTTTGTTCTGGTGGATAATTGATGGGCGGCACTCCCTCTGGGTTCCCTAAGATACGGCCGATGTATCAGAAGGAGAGACATGTTGTAGACCATATGAAGTAGGATGACTTGGGGGTTCATATTGTTCTTTCGAAGTTCAAGATCGCGGCCCATTTGGCGGAAGAAGGTCATATGATGATCTCGGGCTTCCGAGAGAAGTTGATGCCGTTCAAAAGGCTCAAGTTCACCAAACTCGAACGAGTAGCTGAACAGTTAGCTCCAAACTTCATCCATATATGGCACTCACATCTTGTCCATATATCGGTCGTGAATAAACCACATCTGGCAGTGGGCATCAAATACGGTATCCTCTGTCGTGGGGCTACTGCATGCTTTGAGGTATGGTGTCGCTCGAACTCTCCGCCAAGGAATCATGCAATTTCGTCCGAGCATCGAGGTGGAAATTCTAGAGATGTAAGTATCCATCCGTTCTTTGGCGAAGACCTACCTGTCCATCAGAAAGACCGACCAGAACGTCTGTACTCGTACGCTCTTCTCATCAATTGAGCCCGAAGGCGGCCCAACTGGTATCTGCATGACATTTTCAAGAGAGCTCACATGGAGTCCGAGATGAACTATCAGACTCGCCGCCATGCCTGTGATGTCAGTCTTTTGTCAGATGACCGAGGGATACGTACAGTTATACAGCCATGCATTGTTCTCATTTTCCAGTGCCAGCTCACGCCAAGTCAATATCGCCAGAGCCTGTACCGTCACAATATTGGGACTTGTACGGCAACACCTCATCACGATAGCCTCAGCTCGGTCAGCATACATCTGCCCTTTCTGTGAATCGGCGAGGAGACTTGCTGCTGCCAGGACAGACGCCTGTAACAGCTCACTGTCAAGAGTCTTTTGAGGCGCTTCGAGAGTCTCAATCACTTGCGGAGGTACGAAATGGTGGACTGGGTTGATGTGCTGTCGGAATAAGTCGAGCAGTACTTGAACACTCTCCGTTTCCAGCTCTGGACTGGTGGGATCGGTCTTGGTAGCCTCGATGCCATGGTTAGTAACAGGGAAGCAGAAGCTGCCAGAGGGACCAAGAAAGGATGTCTCTCCGCTATCATGAAGGTTCATCCGCCACATCATTGAGCTCACGTCATTGATAGCAGAGCTTTCGCCGTCATCCGCCTCGGTGTGCATCGAAGGACCGTCATCTTCGAGGCTGCTCGATGCAAAATCTGGAAGATTAGCATACCCGCATGCAGCTTCGAGTTTCCGGACGTAATCTTTGAGAGCAAGAACTTGATCTTCAAGGTTAGATACAAGTTCGGAATCTCGTTGCTTCCTTGTCAAGTTAGCGATGCCAGATCAAGATTGCAGACATACCTCTTGGGCCTTTCCAGTACGTAAATGCATTCAATGTTGTTCTTCAAACATGATGAGCATGGAGAACTTCCATCACACTATGATTGTTAGTGCCATAATCGACGGACGAGGTGACTGACCTTTCGCTTCCTCCTCCGACACGTCTCACAGGCTTTGGAGACTCTGGGCCTGGATTCCATTGGAAGCGGGGACTGGCCGGGATATATGGGTCGCGTCAATCCAAAGGCGCCATTATTAGTCTCCCCATCTGTCGTGCAAGGTAGAAATCCCAAGTTTGGGTCCATGATAATTGTTTGGTGAACAGATGAAGGCACGATAATGGAGGGTGAGTGCCGTTTACAACTGATGAGTCAGCACGGGTAGATCCCGAGACGCTACCTCCGGAAGGCAGGAACTCGAGACCGCGATCAGTGGAAAAGGACTCATTGGGATAAGTTATGGGACTTTATAATTATGGTCCATAGTATGATACGTTGACAGTATTCTGACGTCTATTGTCTCTAAAAGTACTTCTGAGTTTGGGCAAAATGCATGCCTGCAGCAAAGTGAAAAAGTTTGGCCGCAATAACTGTACGCTCTCTCTTGGAGTACTCAACCAAACGCTCATACAACTCAGACAAAGGAATAATCTCTCGGTGAATGTGCTCTCCATCATCAAGTCTTTGTTCCGGCTCTTCATCGTTCTCGCCCAATTGAACCTCAACCATTGCCAGTTGCATGTTGGCGTTTGTCATTCCGGGGTCAGCAGCTTGCGCAGGACTGACGCTCAAAACCTTGCAATCATATCCAGTCTCCTCCTTGAATTCTCGAACAGCGGCTTCTTCGGCTGTCTCTTCAGAGTCGATGAGTCCAGCAGGCCATTCGATAGTGTAGGCATCAAGAGGAGGTCGGTACTGAATGACGAGTAGAGTGGAAGCGGGCTTGGATGGATGGAGAAGAATGTTTCCCATGGCGACAGCATCGACCCCAGATTTTCCTCTCGTTTTGCGCGTTGCGACCTCCCATGTCCGTGCCTTTCCAACTTGATCAACGTACTCAATCTTCTTGAGGGTTATCCACCTTGCCTCATCAATCGGGAGGTCAGAGGTTTTGGTGATGACGGGTTCTTGTGTTTTTTGAGACATGGTGAATGGTCGGATAAAAAGACGCAAGCGCTGGGGTTTGAAGCACTGGCGAAGAGGGAGATGGCGCATGTGGTGGTTTATGAGCGCTTTGTGAGGATGTTGAGTGAGCGGGGAATGAGTTTGTTGACGGTGTGGGCTACTGTGCGTGAACTGTGTGTCGTCACTGCGACCATCACGACATTTCAGTGTTTACTTCACTGATAAATGAGCTCGATTGAGTCGATTCATTTATTGAGAGCCTGGTCTCACAGTTGTCTGCTATTTTACTTGTAGCATTCCTTCTTTAGACTTTTCTCGCGGTCTGCGTTGTCAGTCCGAGTTCTGGTTTAGGGTATTTCAAAGATGAATCAAGTTCATAAAAAACATGAACCAACACAGGAAGTGTTTCGCTTATATCTGGGTGATAAAGGCAAGTTTAATCTCACTGACTCATGATATGATCTGTGCTGTAAGAATTATGAAAACTTACCCTGACTTATGATGATGTATCTCATGAACAACACGGTAATCGGTAACAGCCTGTGACCACTGATTCCCAAGCACCTTGCATCCTGAAACAAGAATCTGCAGCAATATCTCAGCTGATAGAAATAGATACAAAGTGAATGGTTGATTGGTACGGGCCGGATGGTCGCATCTAAGCGCCGGCGCAAGACAAGGGTCAACCAACAGCTTCATGGATTCTCAGATGCTCATTTAAACCGCAGCATGAATCCCTCAATTTAATCTGTACGACAATTAATTCTATACATTGCACTGAATCTTTACAATGCCCTCAATTGATGCTGACACGCCACTTCCCTCAACTGAGGGTATCACGGAAACAAGCTCCAGTCCAGCTTCCCCAAACAGGCACCGCACTCCTTCTGTTTCTATTACCCCTCCTTCTGGCAGGACCAGGGGAGAGTCTCATGGGCTCACATCTGCCATCAACAACATTCGTCTCTCCGACACAAATGGTAATCATGAGTTGGTCATTTGGATTCCGCTAATACTGTGTAGGACACACTCTCTCTCCGGAACCGAGGCGCTCAAGAAATGGCACGCCCCGAAGACGCCGTTCAAGCACCGGAGCTGTTCAGCAGCATGATGTTGCCGACGAAGAACTTCCTGATGATGCATTCCATTCCCCCGAGTTCCAAGGAGCTTTCCGAGATGCCAAGCAGCTGATGTCCAATATCCAAGGCGTTTTGGGAAGCTCAAATATCCACGAAGGGTCCGAATCGACCATGCGAAAGCTTCACGAGGAGGCCGGAAAGCTTGCCACCTTCGAGTACCCAGCAACCCGTACCGTCGGATTCGTAGGCGACTCTGGTGTTGGTAAGTCGCCATTGATACGTGATTGCACCGCTGACAGTAATAGGCAAAAGCAGTTTGCTCAATTCGCTCCTTGATACAAAGGGGCTTGCAAGGACTGTAAGTAACTCCTGCAAGTTTCGGACCATGCTCACATCTCAGAGCAACAATGGCGAAGCCTGCACATGCGTTGTGACAGAGTACCATTATCACAATCGTGACACGCTTGACATTCGAGTCAATTTGTTCTCAATCGAGGAACTTCAAGATCAACTGGGTCGACTTCTCCAAGTTTATCGTACATTTGAACTTTATCGGGATGAGATCACTGATGCCGCTGAACGTCAAGACATGGAAGCGAATGCCAAAGTGGCCAAGGACACGTTTCAAGCCATGTTTCGCGGTCGACTGACTGATGAAGCATTTCTGATTCGTGAAACTTATGATGACGTACTCAATAGACTCACTCGTTGGGCAGCTGATGCAAGGCCTTCCCCTCTGAGGACTTGTCATACAGGTCTCTCTCCCCAAGCTTGCTCCAACACTCTGATGGAGCTTTCTTCTGAGCCAGCGTCAAGAGATTCGCCAGCGACATGGCCCTACATTCGGAGCATCAAGTAAGTTACATCCCAAGATTGAACTTGACTAACGACAAAGGGTCTTTTTGAATGCGCATATCCTCAGCCGAGGGTTGATTCTTGTGGATCTACCCGGCCTTCGAGACCTCAACTCAGCTCGAAGGATCATCACTGAACGTTATCTCCTCGAGTGCAATGAGATATTCGCAATCTGCAACATAGGACGTGCCGCCACTGACGAGGGTGTTCATCAAGTGTTCGACTTGGCCGATCGTGCTCGTCTGTCCAATGTTGGAATAGTCTGTACTCGCTCTGATGTGAGTAACAGTGGGCATGTGTGAACATCGCTAATTTTTAGGACATCGACCCTGAAGAGTCAATCCGAGATTGGCCAGGCAGAAGAGCAAGACATATTGAACAGCTTTTGGACCATATCGAGACGGCCACCAAGGAAATCGAAGAATTACAGGCGGACATTGAAGATTACGAGGCCGGAGATCTATCCGAACAAGAAAGACAGGAACTTGTAGAATGTCGGGAGGATCAACGACGAGCAAGGTACGTTTTCGCTGTTGTTGGTAACTGCTAACAATCTCAGCACTCGCAAACAGAACTATGATTTTGAGTAAGTTGGCCAAACATACAAGACCTGGCTAACATTTGCAGACTCAAAGAATATCTGATCAAAACCCGCAATCGGATCATCACTGAATCACTCACAAACACTTGCGCCGGCCGGGTGACAGACGCTAGAGTCTTTTGCGTGAGTAACACAATCTACTGGCAAAACAGAACTGCGAGGAAGTCTGAGGCCAAACGATATCTCGATCTGAGTGGCATTTTGCACGTACGCAAACACTGCATCTCGATTGTCGCAAACAGTCAACGACGCATCGCCACACAATACATGAAAGACCAGATCCCTGCGCTGCTTGCTGACATCGAGCTATGGGTCCAATCTGGAGCACGTACTGCGAGCGAAGAACGTCGCGAGGCACTCTGCCAAACTCTTGATAGTGTTGAGCGTCGTCTGAGGAAGGTATGAGATTATCAAAGTTGTGTTCCGACTGACTTCAATAGGACTTTGCATCGCGCGCTTTTAGTCGCTTAGCAAGGGGATACAACGAAGACTTTGCAGAACACGTTTACAACAGTGAGTAACTCGGTTCGGTCAGAATCATACTGACCTTTAGATCGTCATGTTTCTTCATGGAGCCGGTCAGCCAAAAGTGCTAGCCAAGATTGGGCAGGGGTACGTGCTCGTGATATCTTTTGACCAAGCTAACAGTCTCAGTGGCATCACAGTAAGTGACCAATGTCGCAAAGTTCAGCACTAATGAACAGGTTCTTATTCTGCATTTTGTCGAAACTTTGGGGACTACTGCACACCTGCAATCGGATCACGAAATTGGAACGAGGAAGCCATGGATGGGATGGTCAGTGACCTTGGAGGGCCTTGGGAAGAAATGTGTGGTGCCATACAGGAGCGACAGTCGAGTATGCTTGAGAATGCCGACGCATTCACAGACTTGGCCATTGAGAAACTTGGTAAGACCGAAGACCTTGACTGGGCATGCTGACAATGAGTAGAAGAGCACAATTCTGTGGCTTTGACTCAAGCTCTTGAAACTCGTCAAAGGATATTTTTGGCTGTTGTTGAGAAGGTCAATGATGAGTTCGAAAACAACCTCAGGTGAGTAACTCTGGCTTCATCGACGTCGCTAACAGGCCAGGATCCTCCGCATCGAGTCACTTTCTGGCATTCGAAGCTCACTTTTCGGAAAAGCGATGGAACAATTTTACGGTAGATGCAATGCCGAATTCGGTACGTCTACACATCGTCTACTGACACAACTAACCCTCCAGGCCGAGGAAGTGATGCTCGTCGAAAGGCAATCATCAGAGGGGCTTTGAGCGATGAAGATTTGTTCACCAAGCTCATGAGAAGCCTCAAAGACAGTTTCCGGGCCAATTCAGAATACATGCAGACGAAAATACGAGAGGCGACTGTGGAGTACATGCGCGTTATCGAGGAGCGGTTTGACCTCGTTCGGAGCGAGAACGTGGCTCGGGAGAGTGAGCAGGATCCAGACTTTCGGCTTCGAGTTGATGAAGTCGCCCGAACTGGAAGGGAAACTATGCAGAGGGTTCACCAAGTTATCTGATGTGTTTGAATCTTAATCAATGTCAAACTCCGATTGTATCCGACAGATTGCCAATTCGAGAAGCGGGGCTGGTTGTAAGAAGGCGTTACATCACTCACGACTGACACCTTCTGAGAACATCAGAGCATAAAAGCATCGAGAACTGCTAAATTTCTACAGCATCCTAAAAATGTCTCGCACAATGTTTCGACACGGTCTGCGCCCGCTCCGGCCCCATGTCTCGACATTTCGTCGTTACATCTCGACTCGAGACATGACGGCTGCTGATCTGAAGAAACTGAAGGTTGATCAATCGCGATTGATGGACACTCTTCACGACACCTGCAAATGGGGGACTGGGCTCAAATGGGGAGAGTAAGTCTCGTGGTCCGTGGCAGGCCAAGCTAACAGTCTAGCAATCCAACCGACACGGGAATGTCACGACTGGCACTTTCGGACTCGGACAAAACAGTCCGAGATTGGTTTGTCGAAACTACCAAGTCTCTTGGATGCAGAGTGACCATTGACTCAATTGGAAACATTTTTGCAATTCGACCTGGCCGTAAAGATGGACCTCCAACTTTGGCCGGAAGTCATTTGGACACTCAACCTACCGGTGGTCGCTACGATGGTATTCTCGGTATTCAAGCAGGAATCGAGATGCTCAAGATTCTTCAAGACCACGATGTTGAGACAGAGTATCCTGTCGGTGTGGTCAATTGGACAAAGTAAGTCATCCTCCCAATGTCGACTATTCTGACCATTTAGTGAGGAGGGTGCACGATTCCCAATCAGCATGATGGCTTCTGGTGTCTGGGCTGAAGCGATCTCGGAAGAGCGTGCTCACAACTTGAAAGAGGTGTCCGGGGACGCAACAGTCAAATCTGAACTGGAGAGAATTGGGTACCTCGGTGATACACCTGCAAGCTACAAGGCTATGCCAATCGGGGCTCATTTCGAACTTCACATCGAACAGGGCCCGATTCTTGAGAGGGCTGGAAAGAAGATTGGAGTTGTTCAAGGCGTTCAGGCTTACAAGTGGTTCACTATTGACATCACCGGACGAGGTATGTGAAGGCGACTCGGATGAACATGGCTAACAGATCAGATGCCCACACTGGTTCAACTCCATTCTCCGACCGAGCCGATGCTCTTTTACTCGCTGCACGATTGATCACGCACTCGCATCGACTGGCAACAAAGCACAATGCCCTCGCATCGACTGGTATTCTGAACCTCACTCCTGGAAGCACCAACACCATCCCCGGTCACGTCAGCTTCACTCTTGACATTCGATCGCCTTCTGATCAGACGGTCGAAAAGCTTGAGGAGGAGCTGCGCCGCGACTTTGATCTGCTGGCCCGCGGAACAGACGTAGACGGATTGCTGTCCGGATCAACTCCCGCCTTGCCACTGTCTCTCAAATGGCGGACCGACACAATCTCAACTGCGACAAAGTTCCATCCAGATTGCATCCAAGCAGTTAGAGAGTCTGCCGAGTCTACTCTTGGAAAAGATGCTGCTATTGGCATCTCTAGCGGCGCCGGTCATGACAGTGTCTACACGAACAAGCATTGTCCTACGACCATGATCTTCATCCCATGCAAAGGAGGAGTCAGTCACAACCCCGAAGAGTACTCATCTCCAGAAGAGTGCGCTATTGGAGCAGAGGTTCTGTGTCAGGCAGTTGTCCGATATGATCAGAAGAGGGCACGAGTCGCATAATTAGGGCAGAGCTTGTCACAAGTTCATCGCAACTTCAAAATTTATGAAAATTCACATGTATACTCATTTAGTGCCACCAAATCAAGGATGTATTAGAATCGTCGCTGCCAGTGTTCCAATTGTACAGCTTATTATCTCCCCGATCTTGATCACTCCTGGGTTCAACGGACGTCCTTTTGATGATCATGCCTTCTTGAGAAGCGCCATCGCGCTCTCAACGCCGGCCAATACTTGCTTCAGAACTCGGTTCTCTTCCTGCAATCGACCCTTCTCCTCAACCTCCTTCGCCTTTTCGGCTTCTGCAATCTTCAGTATCCTTTTCGTCCACTAATATCCTCATAGAGCGTTCTAATGCGGAACTTCAATTGCTCGTTTTCCCGGTTGGCCATCATCACCCTTTTGCGATGTTCGTCCAGGTTGTAGTTGTAGTCGATCCTCTGTCGAGAGTTTTCCTTTTCGAGTGCCTCAACTTTCTGGGCAAGGGTCTTCTCGTCTTCGGTCATTCCTGTGTCCACTGTTAGAAAGCCCGATGTGGTAGAGAGCGTGTTCACTAACTCGTTGACGTAGGAGCGCAAGGACACCTTCAAGGAGAGAGTACTGCGGTAGAAATTGTGAAGTTTGGAAGAAAACAAGTTTAGGAGGAATGAAGAGTTCTCGGCACGGGTAGTTTCGTGAGCGGGACTCTGATTCATTGGCACTTGAGGATTGTCGCTCAGTGACGACGACTGGCGAGCAGTGCAAACAACCAGGCACCGAACAATAAAGATTTGAACAGACAAGCCCCACTGAGGTTAACTTGGGCTCTGGAATTCTCAACACCAAAATTCTTTTCCGCATACACTACGCAGCACATCACGTCACAGCAAATTCTTTCACGAATCATCCAAAATGCCTTCCAAGATCAACATCGTTCTCGACTCTTCAGAGATCGACCCGCTAGATCCTGCTGCTCGCCGCTTCTTCATGGAGGCCTGCTTTCGGAGCCTCGTCATTCCCCGCGACGTGCTACAGCAGGCTCGTACCAAGGGCATAGAGCTTCAGAGCAAGCATCTTGCTGGGCAGGGGCTCCGTGATGTTAGCGAGGTGTACTTTGAGTACCACGTTGATGTCACCATCTGGAAGCTCATCTGTAAGTAACACTATTTACTATCCACATGTCGTACTAATCTTCATAGTCAACCGCCTCAAGATGGCCAAGAACAACCCCTGGCCTTGGAATGTGATCATTGACGAGAACGATTTGTCGCAAGGCACCTGTGCTGTCTTCAGAGAGTGGTGTCAGTCTCATAGACCAAGTGGAGAGACTCGAGAGCAGCAGCGCACCCCAATCCCAGGCTCCCCAGCTCTCGCAGCACCAAGCTCCTGTTCCCTCATCGACCGTACCTCAATCCCTTGCTGAGGCTGAGCGGATGGCCAAAGAAGCACGCGAAAGAGTTAACAAAGGCGAACTTGAGGCCTTTCGCCTTGAACGCATCGCTAGACAGTGGCGTGTCGACGATGAGGCATCCGGCGCAAAATGCCGCCTTGGAGGATTCGCAGATCCTCATGCTCCCCCCCTTCGTCTCTTCAGCAGAACTCAGCCACTTGAGGCCCAAGAGTTCATGAGCCCCGAAGAGGTAGGCAGAGCTGCTGCTCAATTCTTGAAGACGAACAAGGGTTACATGGTGAAGTACCGCTTCAAGCCGGTGAAGTTTGACGCTCAAGACTTCTTGGCCAACGAGGACATGATCATGAGAGTCGACCCTTCCTCTGATCGAGCCCTGAAAAGGAGACTCACTGGCCGTGAAGAGCTGGATGCAGAGAACTTGTCCGACGACATGTCGATGAGTGCTCCATCTAAGCGTCCTCGTCTGGGTGATGCTGCTGCGGGTGACGCTTCCTCTCACGTTGGAGCGTCCGAAGATGAACAATCCGCTCGCCGGTGAAGACAGACTGGTAGGGTATCCATTGTTGTGTTTGCCCTTCCTTTGCTAATGACTCTATAGCCAACATGGACGGCAACGAATGTCCCCCACGGTGAAGACTCCAACTCAGCGAACTGTGTCATTGATAGGGCGGTGGTGAGCGGGAATGGTATGGGTAGAGATAGATGGAGGATGTAAGTTGGTAAACAGATGAATGTTACATCACTGGGAGTTATTGTTTTGTAACTGCCTTGAGTATACGGTCACCTTCATTCGGCTCACCAGCCGTGTCTACAAGAACAAGTGCCAGCGTTACAATAGCATTACTCAGTATAGCCCTTGAAATTGTGGCAGCTACAGACTCCGAAACTAATCCCAAATAGAAAACAAGACAACACGGCAAATGCCAAAGAAGGGTTCTGCCTGTGCAATCGGCTGATTCGAATACCACTAACTTCCTTTTGGTCTCATACATCACTGAATTCTCCGTCTTCCCCACCATTGTAAACCCCGCCAGTGAATCAAACATCCAAATTTGTCAGAGTGAAAGGCTCATGGCCTCGACAGAACATATAGCTATATATGGTTAGTATTGAACCAGAAACAGTAAAGAGAACATACCTTTTCTCCATCTATACGTCAGGCTCAGACTTGACAACGCCCTCATCACCCTCAGACTTGATGTCACCGCCGAGGACCTTGGGCCGAACCATATTAGCTGGCTGCCAGCAAGTCACGTAGACCATGTCCCAATTCCTCGTCTTGTCATCGACTTCAAATACGTAGTTCTCGGGATCGGCCTCGTATGCTGCCTGGATCTTCTTCAGGCCATTGAACCCCTTGACTTCGCAGAAGCCCTTGGACCAGGGGAACCCAGTGACGACTCTCGCGTCGAATTCGTTGCTCATGCAGAACTCGTGCAAGTACGTGTGCCAGGCCTTTGAAGATCTGAGGGCAGGCCTGTTCGCTCGCTGAGAAACGACGATCTTGACCTGCTCTGTCAAGCTCATTGACTGGAACTGCTCACATGAATCGATCAGGTGAGCACGGCTGTTGCAGATAGTGCAACCACCTACGCTACCCTTGTAGCCCTTCACGATACAGTCAGCCAGAGTGTGCTTTTTGCTGCTGCACAGCTCGCACTCTCCTTGGACCACAGGCTTCTTCTCACTGGGAGCCTGGATCTCTCTGCCGAAGAGGCCAGCTGGCTTGCCGTCTTTTCCGCAGAAGTTGTTGCTCATCTCAAGCTTTTGAGTCTGCCTGATTTCGATAGAGTCAAACACCTTCGGAATGACGGGTGTCATGATGACATTGACGGCGACGGCATCCGGCTCTTCGTCCATCAGCCGTTTGGCCATCTTGTCAAGCCCCGCTCCGGTTGATGATTGGCACCAATAACCTTCGGGGGTACTGGCATACCAGTTGGCTGAGTAACCGCCACCAAGACCCGTGGGTGTGAGTTTGGTAGCGATGACACCATCCTCGGCTGCCACGCGAGTCATCCAGGCCGTCGTAGCTCTCTTGAGCCCAGGAGCATCGTCTGCTTGAGACTGACTCCAGCTCATCGCACCACTGGACCTGTATGAATGGGGTCCGCCTCTACTACCACGCGCGCCAAAGAAACCGCCCCGGCCGCGGCCAGAACGTCCTCCTCGCGGGGTTGAAGAGCGTCCCCTTGGATTGGTAGAGATGCGCTCTTCAAGCGTCAACTCTTCCATGTCTCGCCGAGTCGGCTCTTCCCTGGCCTCACGGCGCTCGGGAGGTGGACCCAGAGGACCAGGACGACGTTGCTGTCGATCCTGGGCTTTCTGCTCGTTGTTTCGAGAAGGAGGCATCGTGAATCACTGTAAAAATTGAAAAATTGAAAATTTAAAAGTTGTTTTGGGCGTGGTGATTCTGATGATGCGTTGTGGAGGTTTTTTTTTGAATCGCGCATCAGAGAAATTTCTTTAACCTGCGGGCTTGTGCTCAAGGTGAGGCTCACCTTGTCATTGACCTTGATCTGCCAGCTGCTGGCAGTGCCAGCAAATCATTGCCAGTTCTAGTCAATAAATGAAAGACATAAGACTGGCACGGTATTATACATGGTTGTAACTACTTTATTAGTGTCGTAAATGATGTTGTAACTACTCCATTAATGTCGTAACTCGACAGATCGAGAAATCATCACGAGGTTGTCTTTGGCATTAATAACTTCACCGTGGTTCATCTGCACAACTGTAAACCGAGTATATTCATCTATTCAGCTCTCAAAAACTCCAGGGACGGAGAATCTGCCACTACCACCCTGACCAAGAGACATCTATCATGGTAGTGACAGGTACCATCACTCGAAAGCGAATGACGGTCCCCTTGGATAACCCGTCGGAAACAATGCAAATCTTCGCTTCCACGTTGAAGAAAGTCCAACAGGCTATTCTTCTCGTACCCAAGAATCAATGGGGCAATCTCAATTGCAATCTCTGACATGTCGAGTTCACCATTGATCTCAGGTACAGTAGGTACATCGCGAAGCTCATCTGCCAACCTAAAGTACATCCGGCACAGTTCTCCAGTCACTCCCCGAGGAATGATGACAGATTGAGCTTGCAGAGTAGACAGCATATCCTTGGTGGTGCTATGCTCCCTCTCGATGCGTTCAATGACTCCATTCGAGCTCTTGACTTGATCCAAGGCAGATTCCCAGTCGTCTCGAAGGCTCTCATTCTCCGCCTTGGTATTTGCGAGTTCTTTTTCAGAACCGCGAACCATTTCTTCAGACTCCACCAGTCTCTGTTCCGAGACTTGCAAATCCGAGTTGGCCTGTTCCAGAGCTTTTGTGACACGTTCAGTACTCTTGTTGGCCATGTCAAGCTGTTGTTGGAGTGGCTCAATTGTAGAAACCCGAGGCCGCAGTGTCTCAAGTTCCATGTCCTGTCTCTCAATGAGAGACTCTTTGTCAGTTATCCGACCTTGCAGCGTTTGCCTCTCGGAGTTCCAGGCAGTGTGCAACTCACGAACGGTGTCATCATGAGAGCGCTTGTCAGACAACTGTTTCTCCAGCGCTTCCTTCACAGTGGCCCATTGCTCCTTCATATCAAGGGCGTGCTGTGAACGAAGCTGATTGAGCTCATTACGAACCGTGGAGCATTCATCCTCCAGTTTGGACTTTTGGAGAATAATGTCCCTGTTGTTCGACAGAGCCTTGGTCAGCTCGGCAGAGCAAGCGTCATGGAGCTGTTTCTCACGATCTAATGTGCGTTGGAGATTCGCCATCTTTTGTCTCATCTCCCTAGCGGTTTGCTCTGCCTGCTGTAACTTGTTGGTGGCCTCGGCGAGTTCTTGACGGTTGGCTTCAGCTGTTTGAAGCATGGGCTGAGCCTCGTCAAGTCGTCGCCTGGCCTCTCTACCCTGCGAGATCTGTAAAGTTGCGTCCGTCAAACGCTTCAGCAGATCGTCTCGGGCTGTCTGGAGCTCATTGATTGATGAGTCCTTTTCGCTTAGAGATCCCTCATTCTCCTCGAGTTGGGACCTAGCCTCCAGTGCGAAAGAGTTGGCTCGGGCTGCCTCGGAAGACAGGTTCTCATTCTGGTTCTTGAGTTCCCGGTTCTCCTGGCCTAGCTCAATCGCCTGGGCTTGCAAGTGTTCAAGTCTATCAGCTAGACGTCCAACATTCGCGAATTTAGTATTCAAGGACGCCACTGTAGGCAGTCCAGCAATACCGTCTTTGATGGTGTTGGCAATGGCGACAAGTGGTCCAATCTGGTCCCTGATGCCTTCCATTGTCACACCGTCTTTGAGGGATGATTCGATCCGCTCCTGGACTCCTTTGACAGAGTCCACAGCGGTCGCAATCACACCCGACTTGTCTTTGATCAGAGACAAGTCGCTCGTGTTCTTCTCGGTCGACACAGACAAGTCTTGAAGCTTGGTAATGATGTCTTGATTGAGTAGACGGCCAGCCTCTTCCTTTTCAGCTGTGGCTTTACCTACAGCCTCAAGATTGTCTGTCACGGCAGACCTACAGGATTTCACATTGTCAGACACCTGAACAACGCTTTCCGATAGGTTTTGAACCCACGAGCCCAGAGACTCTGCAAGGTTCTTGAACTGGAGCTGCTCATCTTTGAGCCTGCCCTGTTCCTGTCGGAGGATGGCTTTCTCATTTCTGATTGCCTCTCGCTCTGACTCTCTCTCAGTCTCAAACGCCTTCTGCTTCTCCTCTAGGTCATTCAAATTGACCTCGGCTTCAGCATGAAGGGTTGCAACCCTGCCCTCTGCCCTCTCCACTGTCCGACAGGCATCCACGAATTGACGGCGAAGGATGTTTGCGGATTCTTGATCGGGGAGAAAGCCAAGGACAAGGTCGAGCTGTGTAAAGTCAAGGACTTGACTGGTTTCTTCTTGCGCTTCCATTTCTCGAGGTGAGTATTTCGTTGGAAGATGTTGAAATGGCAAACACGAGAAGATAGCCAAGTCAACTGGAAGGTTCGCCCTCGTATCGGTACGTACCGGATTGGAATCCGCGCCATCACACAGTGCCCAACAGGCAGTTTGTCCTTCAGTGTTGACGATTATCCCTTTTAAGTCATATGGTAGTCTACGAAGTAAATGCGATAATCCTTGTTACAATGCGGTGCCGGCTCATCTCATGTACACGATACACCAGAACATGTTCCATTGAAAGACAATCCCTTAGCTGTCATTGGCAATACACTGTGTAACTTCCGTATTGATTGAAACGAACTGCGACTTCCTCATGTTGTGATGTGACACTCCTGCCGCCTCGATGTCTCCTTCCTATCCAGCAACTCAACCATAACCTGGACTTCTCCTCATCCTCCAACCGTTCTTCTTCATCATCCGCATCAAGATGGCTTCAAGACAGTCTGCCCCAGGCCAGTCTTTTGTCGGCCCGCATAGCTTTCCACAAGCGAAGCTGACCCAAATTGAGGAAGCTGATTCCATATACAGCAAGCTCAAAGGTCGGTTGGCTGCCTTGCGTCAGGGAGCGAGTCCTGGAAAGGACAACGCTACCTCGGCTGGTTACGATCCGAATGATCGGAATAAGATAACAGCCCTCCTGAGAAACACAAAGAGCACTTCCAAACAGTGTGACAAGCTCCATGGAGATATCCAGGTAGCAAAAGCATCAGTCAAGGAAAAGGCAAAGAAGCCTCTGATTGGCATTGATGGAGAAGACGAAGAGGCCCGTAAAAAGGCTTCTCGTCGAGTAGTGGATTTGATCGCGGGATCTCCTGAAAACGTCCGCATATTCTTCAATGGATTGGGTCTTCAGGTGACCCCCGCGATGAAAGACACTTTACGAACGGCCCTGAAGGAACTCCCGGTATCCAACAATACCCGGGTAGCCCAAGGATCCAATTCGTCAAAGGAGCTGGCTTCCGTCAAAAGGGCAGTAGATGACAATCGCAAGCTGTTGGATGAGGCCAACAAGAGCCGTGAGAAGTATCGACGTGCCTGGATGTCTGCCTCCGAAAAGAGCAACGAGTTGACGAAGGAGTTACTGGATCAGTCCCACAGCCTCTCCAAAGCCAACCGGGACCTCAAATATGTCAAGGACCAGTGCCGTGAGGCACGAGAAGATGTCAACCGTCGCGACTCATCCCTTGATAAATCGAAGCTGAAGATCAGGACCCTCGAGGAACAAGTCCGGGTGCTCAGAGGCGATTTGCATCGAAGGGATGACGATGTTTCCTATATGCATAGGGAATATGCAGATCTGGAAAAAAAGTTGAAGGAGTCCAAAGACTCTAATTCAGCTGCCGAATCCGAGGTGCAGCGACTGCAGTCGGAATTAGATACCAGCCGCAACGGCCATTTCGCAGAGATGGAACGTCTTGAGCTGGAGAATCGTGGTGCTGAGAAAGGGGCTGATGAGTTGAGAAGGGAACTCCGAACGGCTGAAGCTAGTCTCGGAGAAGCTCGAAAGAAACTTGAAGATGCCCAGCTCAACCACTCTGATGACATTGGGCGCCTCAGCTCCACCAGGGAAGAGGTTAGCAAGGTCAAGGAGGACTATCGCTTGCTCAGCAATACCGTTGAAGAGCTGCGAGAGGACCTTGGAGAAAAGGGTCGAAGAATCCTGGAGCTTGAAGAAGCTTCCAGGCAGAAAGACTCCATCATCACTCAGCGTGATGAGACTATCGAGTCCCAGGTACAGAAGGCCTCGGCATTCCTGCGACATCTGTCGATAAATGTCAAGTCTGATGCCTGGAAGCTCGTTGCTGAGAATGTACTTGTCGACTCGACCTGTACTTCCACCACTTCAGCAGACTGGCTACCATGGGTCATCTTTCCTTCTTGGTCCGGTGACGTCTCTCTTGTCATCCGGCACGATACCCGTAGCCCCGAAGCTGTCGCGTTAGATGTCCTTGCTATCTTGGATGTCAGGTTGGCAGATACCAAAGACTTGTTGACCTTGCTGCATCGCCTGCAGGCATCCATGAAAGAGTTCAAGTCGATGGTGTCTTCCATCACCCAGCTGCTCATCAGAGCGTTTACCAATTCGGTCGGCGACTCTCGCTTGCATTTGATGCACCGAGTCGCTATGTGTCAGATACTCGATGTTCTGGCACGGACCGATGAGGCCCTGCAGTTTACGCAGGCCTTGGACGCAGTTGACCCCCGGGTCCGGCGCCTGGTGGATGCTCTGAGAGCCTATCGTCTGGATGCATCTGTCCTGTCCATGGCAGAAGCACTTAGCTACCCAAGGGTTGCTCTCGTTGGTTTCAATCGTGAGCCTCGGGGTGTTATTGCTGTAAGTCCAGATGATAACGGCATTTGCTGGGTTGAAGCTTCCCATATCAGCATCACTTTCAAGGCAATCAAGATGCAGTCAGATGTGGGAACCTTTATAGAGTTGCCTCTCGACAGTTTTGAGAGACTGAGCTGGGCCATGACACATGTGTGATGGTGAGGCTCGTAGTGTAGGATTAGCTTGGCTACATCCTTAGTGTTGTGCTATGTTCTGTCGTCCAAGGTCTTTGTTGGTGTTTGGGTGCTGTTTCGAGGTTTGGTTATGGGCTGGGACTTGGTTTCTTGATGGATTGATGTTGCAAATCTGGGGGTCTCGGGGAGCAATTGAGATAATTACGCACTAATGCATTGATAAATGGATGACTTGATAAATTGATAGAATAATTTATAAAATAAAAATTATTAAAGGGCTATGAAATAATGTTAATTTTAAATATTTAATTAAAATAAAATATATTATTAGTTTTTTAATTTAAAATTATAAAGAATTAAAATTAAAGTTTATAAATAAGGTTATAATTTTCTAAAATAAGTTTATTTTTCTAACTTATAGCTTATTATTAAAAGTATAATTCTTAAAAATAATTTATATTTTTTTTAGAAAAAGTTATAATTTTTTAAATTATAGCTTATTATTAAGGTTATATTCTTATAAAATAAAATATATTTTTAAATAATAAGTTATTTTTTTTATATTTTTTTTTTCTTTTATCTTTAGCCTTATATAAGGCTATTAAGCTTTTTAGCTTTTTTATTAATAGTTTAAATAATAAGACCCTTATAGCAGGCTATTATTATAAAAGTTAGAATTAGATAAGGTTTATCTGCTTTAATAATATAATTACTAACTTAACTAAGTAATACTAATACTAATTATATCTTAGTAGCTAGATTAACCTTCTTCCTTTAACCTATCTAAAGGACTATACCTTAGTTAACCTTTATAATATACTATACCTAATTTATCTATTATAAAGTATATTATTTAACCTAACTTTCCCTTCTAACCCTTCTTACTAATAGCATAATAGCTATACTGCCTCGATGCCTATATAAAATAGCCTATAGCTATATAATTATGCCTATTATATAACTGGCTATAATCTTAATCTAGCTATTAGGCCTGCCTTAAAGGCAGCTAATAAAGAAGAACTCTATATAATATATATAATAGTTACTGCTATTATAAAGAACTTCTTATTAAGGGGCAGATCTAACCTTATTAAGGTAGTTATTTTTAATTATAGCCTAATCTGGTTAATTAGTTATATAAAAGAGAGGCACTATATTAGTTTAATTAATTTAAACTAGGTTAATAATAAGCTATTAGGTCTTAAAGACTTAAAAACAGCCTTAAGGAAAGGTTATCCTCTTTAGTTAAATAAGGCAGCTTTCCTTACTGCCTTTATAAGCTTAGCTATATATAAAAAGTAACTTCTTAATATATTTATAAGGGCAGCTAATATTACTAGAGAGCTACTTTTAAATTAATAAAAAGTTAGATAAATATAAAGTAAAGGCAGGGTTTAGAAATTTTATTAAAGTTAAAATATATTAAAGTTAAAATATATTAAAGGAATTATATTAAGTTTATTTATATAAATTAATTAATAAAAGTTAAATTAACTTAAAGTTATAACTTAATTAATTAAATATATATAATAAAGTATATAATTAATTAACTTTATATATAAAAATAAATAAAGTAAAATTAATAAAAAAAAATAAATTATATTATTATATAATAAATTATATATATATAAAATAAATTATATTTTTTTAAAATATATTATATTTTTAAATAATAAGTTATATTTTTAAATAATAAGTTATATTTTTAAATAACAAGTTATATTTTTATAAAATACATTTTATTTTTTTAAAATATATTATAATTTTAAATAATAAATTATACTTTTTTAAAATAAATTATATTTTTAAATATTAAATTATATTTTTATAAAATAAACTATATTTTTAAATAATAAGTTTTATTTTTAAATAATAAATTATATATATATATAATAAATTATATTTTTAAATAATAAATTATATTTTTATAAAATAAGTTATTTTTTATTTTATTTTTTTAAGTTTATAAATTAACTTTAAAAGATATATTTAAATATTTTTAAAATTTAATATAATTTAAGTATTTATTATTTTTATAATTAATAAAGCTTTATTAAATTAAATTATTATAATTAATTATTTTAATTATAACTTAAACTTAATTATATATATATTAATTAAAAAGCTTTATTTATTAATTAGGCTTAACCTTTTTTTTATAACTTACTTAAAAGGCTAAAATACTTTAAGTTAGTTTTTAATATAATAAATTAAGGCTATAATTATATATTTACTTTTTTATTAACCTTTATTATATATTATACTTTAATTACCTATTATATAATAAGTTATTTAATTTAACTTTTAATTATAATTATTAATAATATTATTTTTTTTTTTTTAAGTTTGCAAGTTAGCCTCGAAAGGTATATCTAAGCATCTCTAAAGTCTAATATAGTTTAAACATTTATTGCCCCTACAGCCGGCAAAGCTTCATTAAGTCAAATCATCATAGTTAGCTGCCTCAATTGCAGCCTGAACCTAGCTGCACATATGCCAGCTGAAAAGCCTTACCTGCTTATCAGCTGGCCCCAACCTTCTTCCTATAACCCACCTGAAAGGCACGCTTCAATCATCCATCACGCTTCAGTAAGTCATCCGACCCGACCCGACTTTCCCTTCTGGCCGCAACCGCTAACAGCATCACAGCTGCCCCGTCACGATGCCTGCTATCCGAAGAAGCCTGCAGGCACCTAGGCCCGATAAGCCTTATCTAACTAAAGGCCATAATATAATCCCTAAGATTGAAGAAGCTCTTAGGCGAAATAAGGGTAAGGGCGATATGCTATATATAATGGCTATAGATATCGGAGAGGCCTGGTTTAATAAGGATAATACTAGCTGCATTAGGATAGTAATCTTTAGTTATAAGATCCTCCTGCTTATATAGTCTATCTATAAGAACCCTTTAATTAATAAAGACTTCCTTAAATGCAAGAAGCAAAAGCTTAAGGATCTAGAAAGGAAGCTATATAGAGAGGTATAGCCAAGCAGGAGAGAGAGGGGGTTCCTTAGGGCCCTTAATGGCAGCTTGTATAATAAGTGGCTTAAGGATATCCGGTAGCAGGCCAAGGAGGTACTAGAGAAGACCGAGAACCTGTAACGCGATGTAGATAGAAGCGGGGTAATCGCGGGGTTTAGAGGAAAAATATATTAAGTTTTGTGTAAGTTTAGTTGCCTAAAGTTAAAGACCTGAAGTCGTGACTGAATTTGGCGTCGGCAGCGAAAAGAGGATTAAATAAGTCATAAGACAGATCACGTAACTAAATAAGCAAATCAGCTATAATATCAGTGCACCATCAATATAAACAGGGGATTAATAATATTATAATTATATTATTATAATACCTATTTAATAAAGCCTATAATTACTTAATAAGGCCTTTTATATTAAAATACCTAACTTAATCCCTTATTTTATAATAGCTCTTAAAGACTATATATAATAATTAGGTCTAACTATATTAAACTAAGCCATATTAGGTTTATTATTAGCAGATTGCATAAGGCATAAACTAAGTATTATTAAAGTATTATATCTCTTAATAGTAAATTTAATATATATTAGGCTTAATTAATATAAAGAAGTTATATTAATAGCTAGTAAGCTAGAATTTATAAAAGTATTAATAAATATATTTTATATATTTAAAGTTATAATAAGGATTATTAGTAAAATAAAATTAATCCTTTTTAAACTAATAATATTTATATATTAATCTAGATAGACTATTAAAGTAAAGTTATTAGTCTTTATTTTATTAATAAACTAAACTATTTAAAAGGTTAATTTAATATAAAAAAGATAGCTTTTGTTCTTTATTAGAGAAAAAATAATAAGGCTTATATAATATAACTATTAAGGTTATAATATAATCTCTCCTTTTTATTAAGTCTTATTCTTAAAACCTATATATCTATCCTTTTATTTATTTATTAATTATAAGTCTAAACTTAATCCTGTTTTTATCTAAATGCTAATAAGATATTAGGTTATATTTCTAAAAGTAAATTATATCCTAAAATGCTAGAGGCAGTTAAACTTTCTAAGTATATTATTAGATTTAGTAATAAAATTATATTATATTCTTATTATTTCTAAAATAGTCTTTCTTATTAGGTTAAAGGTAACTAGTCTTATTAATATTAAAACTATATTAAGACTAAAGTAATATATAATAGTTTAGGTATTACTTCTTGTTATAAGTCTCTTATCTTTATTTATTTATTCCTAATTTAATCCCTTAATAGTAAAGAAGAATATAAAAGTTTATACTAAGTTAGAAAAGGAGGAGGAAGAAACTAAGGCAGTTCTAGAGGCTATTATAGCAAAGTTAAAGCATATTTATAAATAAAAGTATATATTAAAGCGAAAAGGTAATAAGTTATTTATATAAGGAATATAATCTTAAGAGGAGTTAGGTAAGATTTAGGAGGAGTTTATAACTATCTTTAAAGCTTAATCTTTAAGTATTATAGATTTAATTAATTAGAACTTAATTTTAGGTAATATTCCTTTTAAGTTTACTAGTAAAAGTTCTTTAGGAGTTATTAGGTATTAGTAAGGTATTTAGATAGTTTTTATATATTTTCGTTTTTTAGGTAGTTTTTTTATTTTATTAAGTATTTGCATTTTCTGTTTTTTAATTATATTTTCTTAATTACTTCTGCTTTATAGACTTCTAGTCCTTTAATCTTTTATAATTTATTACTAGTTTTAACTTATATTATATTAGCTACTAATTTAAGTAATAAAATATAAAAGACTAGATAGAGCCTAACTTTTTATAATAAGTCTAGTTTATAGTTATTTTTTAAGATTTTCTATAATACCTTATAAGGTCTAATAAATTTATAATTTAGTTTATAACTTAGTTAATCTATTTTAATGTTTTTTATAGCTAGGTAGATTATATCTCTCTTTAATAAGGTTAGTCCCTTTAACTATTTTAAGTTATAGTAGTTTTTTATATATTTTCTAATAAATTTAAGTTTTATTTTTATTTCTTTATATAGATTTTTAAGGTTATTACTTTTAAGTATAGCGGCTAGATTAACTGATTTTTCTTATTATATATTATAATATATATTTAGTATAAATCCGAAGTTAGTATAAGCTAGTATAAGCTTAGTGCTTTTATTATATATAGTATTATAGGCAAGTTAGGCTATTAGTAGCTTTTTAACTTAATTATTTTATTTATAATTAATATAATATTATAGATATTATTTAAGTACTTAATTTATTTATTTAGTTTATTTATTAACTTATAGTTAGAATGTAGTTATAAGTTTATAATTTAGTTTAAGTTATATTATAAGTAATTGCTAAAAGTTTAATATAAATATAAGTCCTTTATTAAAAAGAATTTCTATTAGTAACTTATATATACTAATAATATATTAGTAAAAGATATAAGAGAGTTCTTTTATATTTATTACTTCTTTATAAGGTAGATAATAGGAAAACTTAATAAGTTAGTTAACTATAATTATAATACTATTATAGAAGATTTTAATTAAGGGTTTTTCTAATAAGGATAACTTAGTTATAAAGTCTATTATAATTAAGTCTTAAGGTTATTATATTATTAATAATAGTTATAATTATCTATAAGGTTTATATCTTTAAGTTTTTATTTTTAAGTAGAGATTGCATTATTAAATAACCTTTTTTACTATTTCCTTTATTCCCTTTATATTGTAATTTTCTTATATTCTTTTTAATATTTTTATAATGCATTAGTGGCTATATAGGGGGTATTTATATATATCCTATACTAGTTCTTCTTTAAGTTTATTTAAGATAAATTATATATATAAATTATTAGTTATTTCTTATAGGTTATAAGGTCTTCTAATTTTAGCTTCTCTTAACTATTCTTTAAATTTTATACTTTTTTATATTTAAATAATGGTTTTGGCTATTCTTGTAATTATTTTAACTAGTTAGGTAAACTAATATTCTCCTTTTAGGTTAATTTCTAAGAGTTATTCTTTAGTTTTAATAGTTCTTATATTAAAGTTAGGTTATTAGCTAATAGCATCTATATATCTATTATTAGTTCCCTTATAATATACTATAGTAAAGTTAAATTTATATAGGTATTTAGTATAGTATAGTTATTATTAATTTAGCTTTTATATTATTATAAAGTAAGCTATATTCTTATAATTAGTAAATACTTTTATTAGGTATTTACTTCTTTTAAAATAGTATTTAAATTCCTTAAAGTAATTAATAATAAGGAATTCTTTATTATAAATAAAATAGTTAAGTTCTGCTTTATATATCTTATAAGAGTAAAAAGCAATAAGATATAATATATTATTATTATCTTATTATCTTATTTATTTTCTTAAGGTAAGTTAGTATTATAACCTATACAGCTACGTCACGTGGCCCCTACAATTTCTACCTATTACAGAAAGATTACTTCTCCTAGTAATAATCCTCTTCTATTAGATTACTTAAATCACGATGCTCTAAGGCTAGATTACTATAGATTACTAATAATCCCTAGAGACCTAACCTTTAAATTACTATTATTCCTTACTAAGCTATTAGGCTACCTTTAGTATATAAAATATATTTATTTAATACTTTTATAAAACTTAGCTTATTAATTATTAATTAAAGTATCTTTATATTAATAAGCCTAATATATATTACTTAATTATTAAGAGATATAATACTTTATAAATACTTAATATTATGCCTTATATAATTTATAAATATAAACCTAATATAGATTAGTTTACCTATTTAAAAAACCTAATTATTATATATTAATAGCTTTTATTTAGATTATATTATATAATACTAAGTAATACTAATATAATAATACTTATTACTTTAATCTAGCCTTTTAACTTAAGATATACTTAATACTATCTACAGTAAGAGATACCCCCTAACCTGGCAGATATTCTTATAGAAACTAATAATAAAAATAAAAAAGATATTACCCTTACTTATCTAAGCACTTATAAAGGGGAAGTTATAAAACTTAAATATAGACTTAAATAGCTTAGCTAGTAATATAATAACCTCCTAGAGAATGCAAAAAATAACTTTAATATAGCTAAGAATAAGATTAAAAATCTAAAGAAGAAGGTAGCTAACCTTATTAAGATTATAAAAGTACTTAAGAAAGAAGTAAAAAATAGTTAGAAACTCTATAAGGAGTATATTAAATATACTATAGCCCTTATAATAACTAAAAAAGACCTTAAAGAAATCCTTTAACCTTACTAGCCTAAACTATTTAATAATAATACTAATAAACTTTAAGGATTCCTTATTAGCCTTTAAAGCTATTAGATATATTATCTTATTTAGTTTATTACTAATAAATTAAGAGTTTAATATAATATAAAATTCCTTAAAGATAAAGCGCTATAATTAATAAAACTTATTATCTAAAACTATATTAGTAAATTATATAAAGGATAATAAGAAATAATAAAGTATATCTATAAGAAATATAAAAACTTTAAATTAAAACTTAGAAATGCCTTTAAAATAATAAATAAAAAACATATTATAGAAATAAAAATATAATAGCTTAAGTAAAGAGGATTTACTGCAGATTATCTAGCTAAATATTATTACTAAGTAGTTAAGCTAAACTAGGGTAAAGAAGCTTATATAGCGCAGGTATATTTAGGATTAAAGTTAGAAGTTAAGGATATAATAGTAAATATCAGACCTAAACCAAAAAACCTAAATAAACTAGTAAATATTATAATAGAGATTAATAATTAGTAATATAAGTAATACTATAAGAAATAAGTAAAGAGATATAAAGGATTATATAACCTATAGTAAAACACTAATAGATAACAGAATGCTAACTAAAAAAGGAAGAGGTATATAAATATATAATA